TTATCTTCTATGTGCAAATGGCTGTCGAAATTATAAAAAAAATGTAATATTTGCGATAAAAATCACCTTTTATAACGATGTTTTTTGTACTTAAAACTGCCATAACTTTTTCAAATATTAACTAATCAAAATAATATTTCTTTATATTGAAACCTTAGGTAATTTTCTTTCATTTGATATCATTTTTTTTTGAAAATCTAACACTTATTCTGCTCACAGGGGGGATTTAAAATAGCAACTTTTTTACAAAAACTAACTTTTTCAACTTAATTTTTGAAAATGTTCCGGAAATACTGCGTCCTTTAAACATATATCAAATTAAAGCTTATTTTATGTACTACTAAATGAAAAAAAAAAATTTGTCCCGACGACCTATCTTCTATGCGCAAAAGGCTACCGTATTTAAAAATATGCTATTTTTTATTAAAATTCTAGGTTTTGTATTTTATTTTATTTTAAAATATTTTATTAGGGGAATAAACTGACTTTCATGAATATTATATAATTTCATTGACATAGAATAAAGTTCATAAGACATATGATATTATACTTATTAACATTTTTTACTTTTTTAAAGTCGAAAAAGTAATTTTTAAATTTGAGTTAGCTTAAATAGCCAATTTTATCATGCAACAAAAATCAACGAATAGTTGCCGAATGGGTAACACCTTGATCTTTAACGCCTAGGGTACGAGGTTCAAATCCGTTTGTGGCTTCTAAAATTTTGCATTTTTTTTTTGAGTTAGAATAGAATTTTCAAATCATTTGATATTTATCTCATTTAGATTCAATAATTTCAATAAATATAAAGGATCTTATCACTATAGTCTCCCCTCGTGAGAAGAAATTGATATTCATGTTAATATTATTTTACTATGTGGTTCTTTTTCTGGCTACGATTTATTTTGCCAACCCTCACTAGACCTACTTTTTTCAACGATACGTCAAATGATTCATTTAAGTTTATGATATTTAAGTTAATGATTAGTTTAAGTTATTACTCTTAAAAATCAAAAAAATATTCCTTATTCAAATAAAAAGTAGCTTAACTAGATTTGTCCATACAAACAATTAAAATCATTAATTTTTAATATTCTTAAATTATTTATTGTCGAATTAAATTTGATATGATAAAAGTATTCAACTACAAAAGTAAATAATTTTACTTTATAATTTATTAATTTTTTAACTCTATTTCTGTGTGCTACTACCAGTCTATAATATGCCAAATTTTTTAGTAATATGTTGCTATATAAATCATAAATTTAAAAAAAAAATGATTTTTAGTTTCACCTGAAGTTAACGATGGAGTTTTACAATTATAATTATATTTTTGATAATATGCTCAATTGAGTAAATCTTTTTAACTACTTTGGTTTGATTGGTTCATTTAATTAAAGTAAATTATTAAAATTAATTAAGTTCTGAATATTTCAATTGCAGAATTTTTTTAAACACCAAAAGTTATTAGGATATGATTACTATTCTTTCTATTTCAGTTATCTATTACGATAAAAATGTAAAAAAATCGAATTTTTCTGACAAATGTACTGTAATTAGTAATTATAAAATTTCCAGATTGCATATTAATCTTAAAAATTTCATTTTTTTCAATTTAATAATGTCAATTTCAAACTTGCAAGTTGAACTATAAGTTATGGTAACAAATTCATTTTTTAGCTTCGATGCGAAGCTGAGAAGGTATTTTTCATTAAAACTTTCACTTTAAAAGACAATAAAAAATAGGTTCAAAATGATTACCTTTAACATATTAAAAATCAAAATCAGTATTAATTTAATACAATTTTTTTTGTTCTTAATTATTTTTTTTATATGTAAATACTTATTTTTTAATAATAAGTAATAATATTAAAACTTAAAAGTAATAAAAAAAGTTTAATTGTACATTTGAAAACATCGCGAAAAGTTTATTTAGAAAAGTATATTTTTTTTTCTGATGAAAGTTCCTTTTGTTTAGTGTATTTATTCATAAGTAACAAAAATTTTTTATTAAAAAGTATTGCATCAATTCCTTTAAATTTGTATACGCATTAAAAGTATATGAATATACATCTCCTTTTTATTTTTATAATATCTCCGTATAAATTACAATATTAAATCATTGAATATCAATTTCATACTAAATTTAATAACTATAATTAGTTTTAATCATATATTATTTTTTAAAATCAAAGAACTACTAATCAGGATATAATTAAAGAAATAAGAGTCAGTAATATTAATATTAAAAAAAATAAGCTGTCCCTCTCCACCATACATCTATGAGTGTAAAATACATTTTAAGAAATGATAAATATATTTATCATTCACTAGTTACCACCAAACTTATTAGTTTTACTCATTCTATTTCAATTCAGGTGCGTATACATGGAGAAAATAAGTTGTTAGTCAAATTAACGCTATAAATTTGTATTATTTTAATTGTATATAAATTAAATTAACACTACACTTTTATAAATAAGAATCTAATTGCATTTGATTATGAATACCACAGTTGTATTCAAGTGCAGTTACTGCACTTGCGGTTAAAATAACCATTCATTTTTGTCGTGTTTAATTGTTGCTTATTTGAACGGCTTGACTCTTTGAGCTATCTGCTCCTACAATACATACATTTTTATAGGGATATACCCTTTTTTTTGTGTATGCCCACTCTGATCTGGGCCTTTTTAAAAATGTTAAAAATGCAACTGTAGGTAAAGATAACTTTTTATAAAAAAAAAAAAACCCACCACATGAGGGTCGTGACACAGAGGTGACGTGGCATAGTTGGATCAAGTATAATGATATCTGACGGTGATTAAAATGACAATAAAAAAAACGTTTCAATGTAAATCTTTAGATAGTGTTTAATTTAAAAAAAATGGTGGATTATTCCAAAAGCTACATGATCTGCTATTTCCTTATTAATATCCTGATTAAGATAAAGTATGTCGAATGAAAAATATATAAATATTATTTCTCATAAAAAAATTGTATTGATCCATACACTTTTCAATAAGTTATAGTATTATCAAGTTAAAAATGTAAAAAATAAAATCGAGAATTTTCTTTTACCATAATAAGGTATATTACATTAGCTTTAATTTAATATAGATATAAAAGTGTCAGACTATCCGGAACATTTTCAAAAGTCAAGTTGAAAAAATTAATTTTTTGTGAAAAAGTTCGAATTTAGCTTCGCATCGAAGCTAAAATAAAAAGTTCAATAATAGTTTATAATTATATTTTTATGAATATTAGTTATTTAACTCGTAAAAATTTATATAAGCCTTATTCATCTACAGATCTCCGTGGCACTTAACCTCAGGAGATAGGCTCCTCTTGTAGAGACGTATTTAGAACTCATATTAGAGTGGGCACGAATAAATCGTTTTTATTCACTATGGCAGAGATCATATTAACTAGTCGACATGTAGAGAGACACTTCGGAGTTCTCTTATGGTTAATTAAAATTTTTATTATGATGTTATTATGCTAATATTATGTCCAGCCAGGTTATGGCCCTTCAGTAATAGAACACAATGCAATATAATCATTAATTGTTTTGAAGTGTATAAAAACAAAAAAAAATAAATACCAATATGTTTTATATTCAGAAATGTGTGTATCACCAAAAAATGTCCCACTGAAAATAAGATGTATAATAATTCTTAGTGACTACAAATGGAATGTAAAACATTGTAGATTTGATATAGATTTGTAACCAATAGCGAACTATACGTAGATTTCATGTGTGTGAATTGACTAGAAACTCCTTTTTTTTTTTTTTTTGAGAAAAATGGCTATATTATAGACCGCAAAACTGTTTTAGTGATCTTTGGTGAGATTTTTTTAAATATTTTTTGTTGCATTTAATTGGTCATTGTGATAGAACCTTTTCATGGGCATTTAATGGAATTCGTAAGAGGATAGTTGAATTTAAGGGTATCATTTTTTTATTGATCTTATCCACATAGGAGCACTGATTTAGTGATATATTTTTATTAAGTATATGTATTATTTATTACATGTATTAAAATTTGATACAGTAATAATTCATTTAATACTTCAGGTATATATTTTGTTTCGTGTACTTAGGGTGATAATTATAAATTTTTATTTATGTAAATAAATAAAATTTAAAATTAAGGTCTTCAAGTTTGTATCCTAATCCTATTTTTTCATTACAAATAATTGTTAATCTTACCCTTTCTTATCCGAAAATCGCATTATTGATTTTAATGGATAATACGGCTTTATAGGTCCTATAGCACTGTGACTATGACATACAAATAATTTTTTGATCAAAATGTTTTTTATAGTACCATTTTTAACGAAATTATGTGTCACTTTTGAATTTTTTGGAGCTCGAAAAAGAAATAAATTACAAAAGTTTTTTTTCAATTTATGTAAAACGAATAAATATTATATATTAAAATAAATCCAACCTTGACCCTCATTTGGCTATAAACATAGAACAAATTCTTGTGGCACTAACTTTGATACTTATTTAAGAACTTTAAACTTAAAATTTTATTGCAACAATATTTAACTATTTTTTCAATGACTACTATAAAATAGCAACTTATTTTCTATTAACTTTATTAAATATAGAAAAATACTTTAGAAAATGTTAAAAATATGTTTTATTTAATAACTCATTCATAATTTATGAATAAATATTGTATTATATAATGTTAACCAAGTGTTCTCAGGTCAAAGCTTTTTCAAAAATTTTAACTCAATTTTTAGTGATTTTTTGTTTTGACAAGTTTAAAGTCTAATATTAAATAAAAAGTGAAATTTCTGATCCTAATTATGATAAACATTTTTTTATTTTTTATCTAACTTATATTTTTTGTATACAAGTGTGTTAAATTTTCATTAGTGTGTAATTTGATGGTTAGGTTGGTGGCACTGATAGGTATTTAATATTTCTGAGACTATCGATAGTTTAAGCGGCTCCCTATTCCTACCAATGGCAATCAATTTTCAATATGATTGCCCGACAATGACGGCGAGAGACACTGACTACAGCGCACCCGTGTTGGTTCTCTTCGTAAATTTTGTGCATAGTGTCACTTCAATTGAAATTTTGTTTTAAATTTTTGTATATTTCTAGGTAATTTATAAATTTTACACCATACGTGTTCTGCACTTTGTATAATGGATTTTCTGAATTAAAGGTAAATAATCATTTTAGATATATATTAACCGACGTTTAGTGAACAATAGAATTCAATAAAAATGGTATGACTAATGATCGAGGAAATACCGTGATTGGCTTTGTTATATGATAATTTTATCAACTCTTAAATTATTTCATTTATCGTTTTTAAATATCTGCTCTTTGATTTCTATTATTATTTACCAAAGATTAAATGTATATCAAGATTTAGTGGGGTTTTAAATGAACCCTATTTTTTATGTAAAGAGATAATATTGGAAGGGGAGGGGTTCTATGAAAAGTGTTGCCCTGCCCCTTCCCCATGTTATACTTATTTGGGATTCTACAAAATCTTTTTCCGTGAATTGTGATCATTAATAATTTGCACAAGGGTTCATTGATCTTAACCTATAAGTATCTATGTATTAATATTACCTCTATGTAAATTTTGTTAACATGGTCCTTTTTATATTTATAAAAATTATGCTCGATTTGATGTTTAATAAATAATAGTTAAAGAATAATTTAAATTATCTATGTATTAATATAAATATAATATATATTATAATTTCTATTATAACAAATTGAATAGCTGCTACCAAAGTAATGCCTGCATCCCATTGGGCTTAATTAAAAGAATAATAGTGCAGAGTTTAATCAATATTGTACAAATATAACTAAAATATTAATTTATTAAATGAATTGCAAAAATTTTCCTCAAACAACTTTATACCTAAAAAAACATATATTTTTACCTAAATATGGTCCAATTAAAATATCATACCATTATCTGGTGCTTATTTAGGTAAGCTATTGCAAATGGACTATAAATTTTTAAGCGTAAAATTTTAAGACATTCATTTTATTATAATAGAATAAATGGCCCTGATACCTTAACAATTTTTAAGATATAGAAGTATAATAAATATAAATTGTGAATTTCTGTAATATATCTATATCTGTTATGTTGTACACTAGCTTAAAAATTATAATTTACACATTATTTATATATATTTTTTAATGCTTAAGTAATTTTAAAAGGAGTAATAATAGATATTGATACATAAATGATATGTAGCAAAATATTGCTAAATTTTTATCGTGTATTACAATATACTGGAAGGCAATAAGTCTTCTAGTTAATGTAATAAATATATTTTAAATGTATTTGGAATACATATTAAAGTACTTCAAGCTAAACATTTTTAGAGAAATGTATTTTAAATAAAAATATAAACCTTTTGAAATCTTTTTTTTAATAATTAATATTTATCAAAAAAACAATTATTTGGCACAATTCAAGAACTTAAGGTGTTCCTCATTATATTAAAATAATTGTTTATATCATTTTTAGGGGTAAATTTTTTTTAAAATCCTTGTTTCATAAAATTTTAATGTATTTCAAAATGTAGACAGTTAATATAATCAAGGAAGGATATAATTTCAGGTTATGTTAGACTGTCCTAGTCTAAAGCTTTTGATTGGCCCATCATTTTACAAAACCATTAGCTTCGGTCTTAATTTATCTTTCATAATTAAACCACTAAACTAATTTAAAAAAAATATATATTTTTAATGTCTTTTAGAGTTTTTCATTTATTATTATTTAGCCCAATATGTTAAATAGTATTTAAAATGTATTTTTTTTTAATTTTTGCTAATTCTTAGGCCTTTGATATATTATTTTATCCTTTAAAAAAAAATTATCACTTCACGTCATATTCAAATTTTTGCACATATACTATGAGTGTGACTGACCTGCCCTGATTTTTACTAAAATTTAGACTAGAGCAAATGTCTCTATGTGCATATAATACATATCTTTATTGAGCCAAAATTAAAAATAGTTCTTAATGAAATGTTTTGATTTAAATGTATTAATATAAAAAAATACTTGTAATGTTTTTGAATATCATTAATGTTTATCAGTAATTTTCATTACAAAATTTTAAGTAGTCTAGTTACCTCTATGGCAATTTTATATCAAGAATGTTAATATAGATTTATTTTAAAAAAGTGACAAAGTTGAATTTTTTTAATTTGATCATTCTATTAGTTCAATGTTGTTTCTGTCATGAAATTGAAATTGTAATTTATCATAAGCCATTGGCAGCTAGAACATTATGGTTAAATAAATACCTTTTCAGTTTCACATTGAAACTAAAATGAATGCATACAAATGTATTTAGTACTTCAGATACATAGTATAACTGAATTAAATAGTTTTTGTTTAATAATAATTTAAAAAATAACTAATTTTTACTGTCTTGCCTAATTGAATTTTTTTTTATATATAAAGGTTGCACAACTATTGATAAATGAAATAAAATGTTATATATTTAAAGTTTTATTATTTAAATAACAATAAATTAGTTAACTGAAAAAAATGAAACAATTTTTATTTTTATTAAAAAAAGTAATTGATATTATTCTTATAATTTAATATTTAAAGAAGTTAATTTGGTAGCTAAAGGCAAGAATTGAATGAAAAAATGAATTTAGTTTAATTTATATTTTATTATTTTTCTATACTTTGAGACATTTTTTAGAAAATTAGTAGTTATTTCTAAAATAGTTATAGATAAATCTAACTATTACATATAATTTTACAAATTTTAGCTCTCACTCTTACAGGAAAAAATTTACATCAATGTATTTTTTGATAGTTTTTGATAGAACTCTTCTTCCTTGATTAATAATAGAACTTTAACAAGGTTATGTATTAAAAAATATATTGATTTGTTATGTTCTATTTAGTAGTCATTTAAATGTAGTTCATATTTAATATATATTATATGTATCCAAAAAAAACTATTATTCCTATCAAACACCTATAAATAATGGCAATTCAATAAAAATTGAACAAAATTAGAATCTTAATAAAATTTAAATTGATGTTGAATATTCTTTTTTATTGTAGGAATTCAATGAAAGTTAAACTGTGATATTCATTATTGAAGAATTGTTTATTTATAATTAAATATTAGTCTTTACTCCACACCTATATTGGTGTCTTTAGAAAAGTTAATTTATTTGTTGTTGGATAAGAAGGAAGAAGAGATATATTCGTCCCAGTAGGCGAAACGTAAAGACACGACGGACGTCTACGCAGAACGCGGGGGTGCTTCTCGTGTCTTCGGAGGAAGGGACGACGCCCGTTCCGAATCCAATCAGCAACCGCGTTGGATACCTCCCTCGATAATTAGACGCGATGCACTCGCCCAAGAGGATAATAATGACGTTGTGTTTCGCAAGGTTCGCGGAATACTTAATAAACTTACTCCCGACAAATTTCAAAAATTGAGTGATGACATTTTACAAATTGGTTTAAACACTAGTGATGTTTTAAAAGGTGTCATATTTTTGATTTTTGAAAAAGCTCTAGATGAACCTAAGTACAGTTCTATGTACGCACAGTTGTGCAAACGACTTAGTGATGAGACTTCAAATTTCTTAATTGATCAAGATCCTAACACTTTTCGTGAGTTACTATTAAAAAGGTGCAAAGTAGAGTTTGACAATCGTTCAAAAGCTACTGCTGAATTTGAAAATGACAATAGTTCTCCATTATCGCCAGAAGATGAAGAACGTCGACAAGTAATTATATAATTTCATGTAATAATTAAAGTATATATTTTTAATTAAGTTTTATTAAATTAAAGGTGGCCAAGCGTAAAATGCTTGGAAACATTCGATTTATCGGTGAACTTGGTAAATTGGAAATTGTGGCAGAACAAATATTGCATATGTGCATCCAACAGTTATTCCCACGCAAGTCCAATGTCAAGGACACGTCGGAGGACCTCGAGTGCTTGTGTCAGATAATGAAAACTTGTGGAAGAATATTAGACACTGAAAAGGCAAAGCCACTAATGAATCAGTATTTTGATAGAATTTCTCAGTATGCTGAACATCCTGAGTTACCTTTAAGAATAAAATTTATGTTGATGGACACAATTCAACTTAGGAAAGACAACTGGGTGCCACGTAAAGCTACAACTACTGAAGGACCAATGCTTATGGATCAGGTAAATTCTGTTTTTTTTTTTTTTTTATCAAAATTAATTCATTTTGAGGAATTTAAATGGAGTTTAATGGTCAATCATTCAGAATTAACTTGTGATACTCTGACTCAAAACAAGTTAGACATGAATCATTGTTGCAAATTGTAATAAAAAGAGCCTACAAAAAAGTGGTTTGAAGATTAAACAATTAAAAAAATATTAAGAAAAATTATTGTTAACAAAATTTTTTAATTTGGATTATGGTCACCCATACACAATGTCAAAATACTTGGCGTCTGTACACATTATTAATTTTTGATATTATATTTTAATTCTTAAAATTATGGTATTACAAACATCTAAATTATTTATGAATATTACTAAGTACCAGAACTTGATCTCATTATATTTATTATTTAATAAATTATTTTGACAATTACAGTTATTGAATTTTCTAATTAAAAATAAATAAATTTTTCTATTAAGAAAATTATTACTAACAAATAATAAAATGATCTTCTACATGTTGAGTATACATTGTACTTACTAATAAGTACATAAAATATATTCTATATAGCTAATTTTTTTTTTTCTAAGGTTACTGATATTGTAAGCGGGGAAACTAATGGACAAAACCAAAGAAGTATCCAATTGCAAAATGTTAACCAGTCCAAAGAAATGTTTAGACGCTCACTGAAAATACGAGATGATATGATAAGTTCTACTCCGGTATTACCATTTAATTCAACAATGCCTGATAAATTTAATTCAATAAATGGTTTTACGAATTCCTCAAATAACTATTATAATGTGAATGGACGAAAAAATCCAGGACTTTTGAATCTAAATTCTGGCAACAATTATTATTCCCCAGCTAGAGTAAATTATACTATAAACACTCAGCAGACAAATAATGTCAATAGTAACATGAATAACAACAATATGAAAGATCTGGGCCCAAATATTAAAAAACTTCTACGTGCTCAACAAGGTACGAAGCCAGAAGATATGTCACTACGTCCAGCTGCTAACAGTATGTTATGCAAACCTATTCAAATTAAACCTCCTCCATTATCAATGACTATGGGACAAACACATCAAAATAAGCCAGTAACAGAGGTGCAGCAAATACAATTTAAACAAACTGGACAAGAGAAACATAAACACCAAAAAAAAGATAAAGGCGTTTCTAAAGAAGAAGCCATTAAAAAAGGTTTAGATATTTTAGATAAACTTGGTACTGATCCATCAATGGATGCTAATAAAGCAGCTAAATCATTTGGTGATATAAAAGTGCCTGAACGTTATCTGGCAGATGTAATGTATGTTCTTCTTTTTGATAGACTTCGAAAAAGAGTTGATTTAGATGAAGACTTACTGCTTCGTTTTACTCAAGAGACAAAAAAACAATGTATTATTTCTAATACAAATGCTTTAGATTGTCTAAAACGATTTTTATTAAAAGGTCCAGATTATGAATCTGATGATGACAAAACTTTATATAAACGTTTTGCTAAGTATGCTGCAGAATTTTGTCAAAGTTCAACTACTCTATCAGAACTTGCAGATACTGTAGAAAATGGTAGAAGGTATCCTGCATTATTAATGCTTTTACAAGAATTGAATGAAAAAATTGGAAAATCTGAATTATTGGCAATATTTAAAGAAAGTAAAATAAATTTACTAAACACATTACCAGAATCATTACGAACTAAAGAGCAGTTGGCTGAGATTTTACAAGAACAAAATTTGACATTCTTATTTCCGTTGTTGGGTATACAATCAGATTTATGGAAACAAATTACTAGTGATCCCAATCCAACACAATTTTATAAATGGATTAAAGAAAATTTAGATCCAGTTCACTATACTGATCCAGGCTTTATAACTGCTTTAACTACTGTAATGGTGAAATATATAACTCAAGAGACAAATAGTGGAGAAGGATCTGCCTCTAAGACTGATCTCGAAAAAGAGAAAAGTCTAATTGAAAAATTTAAACCCATTATGCGAACGTTTTTTGATGAACGTATTGATTTACAAATGAATTCTATTTATGCTTTACAATCCTATTTCTTTTCTTTAGATTTCCCTAAAGGATTATTATTAAGATGGTTCAATTTAATGTATGAATTAGAAATAGTAGAAGAAGAAGCATTTTTAAAATGGCGAGAAGATGTGACTGATGTATATCCTGGAAAAGGAAAGGCATTATTCCAAGTTAATACATGGTTAACCTGGTTAGCCGAAGCTGAGTCGGAAGATGAAGAAGATGATGACGATTAGATTTTATAATAAAATGTTCCACATTTTTCCGGTTTTTGGTTCTCCTGTAGAATTAATTATGTTTGTTTAATATAGTAATTTACTTATTCTTGTAAATGCCTTTTGTGGGGCAAATTATCTTATTTATAATTTTGCCAAACATTTATTAATATAAAATCATATATGACTTAAAAAATTCTAAAAATAATTTGACAAGAAAATTTGTAAAAAAAAAAAAAAAAAATCGTTTTGCTAAATTTTGTGTTATACTTCAAATTATACCTCATTTTGGTTAATTTTATCAATTATTTTTTGCTAATAAGTTCCCTAAAATTCATGTTACATTATTTAAGTATATCAATAAATGTATATTAGACAAAAATACATGGTTATGTATGAAATAATTTATTAGCTATCAACTAAAATTTATAATTTAGACAAATTTAAAACTTATCATAATGTTTATTAATTTATAGATTTATTTGATAATATACTATTTAGTTAAATTAAAGAGATGTCTGTATATGCAGCAGTGGTGTATGTAGATTTTTAAATGGGGAGGGGACAGGGATACTTTTTTGCTCATCACTGAAGTTGTGAATTTTGTAGAAAAAAAGGTTGGGGCTCGTTTTTTAACTTTTTTTTTTTATATATTACATATAATAAAGTATATTACATTAGCTTTAATTTAATATATATATAAAAGTGTCAGACTATCCGGAACATTTTCAAAAGTCAAGTTGAAAAAATTAATTTTTTGTGAAAAAGTTGTCATTTTAAATACCCCCCCTGTGGGCAGTTAAAGGGTCAGATTTAAAAAAAAGTATACCAAATGAAATGTAATGATATCATGCATCTATATAAAAAATTATATTAATTTGGTTATTTTAAAGAAAGTTGTAGCAATTTTTAGTAAAAAAATTTCGAAAATTAGCGATTTTTAAATTTATAATTTTTTTGGAGGTTTCCCCAATTTACGGGAACGATGGAATTTTTTTCAATTTTTGAGGGTAATGTCTTCGACTAGATACGATTTGTGATCTTTTGACGTATCATTGAAAGAAATCGGTTCGGTGAGAGCTGAGAAAAAGTGGTAACAGACACAAAAAAAAAATAAAANGAGAGCTGAGAAAAAGTGGTAACAGACACAAAAAAAAATGCATCTTAATAAAACCAATACCTTCTCAGCTTCGCATCGAAGCTAAATAAATAAACATATCATAGTAAAATTAATACCTTCTCAGCTTCGTATCGAAGCTAAAATAAAAAGTTCAATAATAGTTTATAATTATATTTTTATGAATATTAGTTATTTAACTCGTAAAAATTTATATAAGCCTTATTCATCTACAGATCTCCGTGGCACTTAACCTCAGGAGATAGGCTCCTCTTGTAGAGACGTATTTAGAACTCATATTAGAGTGGGCACGAATAAATCGTTTTTATTCACTATGGCAGAGATCATATTAACTAGTCGACATGTAGAGAGACACTTCGGAGTTCTCTTATGGTTAATTAAAATTTTTATTATGATGTTATTATGCTAATATTATGTCCAGCCAGGTTATGGCCCTTCAGTAATAGAACACAATGCAATATAATCATTAATTGTTTTGAAGTGTATAAAAACAAAAAAAAATAAATACCAATATGTTTTATATTCAGAAATGTGTGTATCACCAAAAAATGTCCCACTGAAAATAAGATGTATAATAATTCTTAGTGACTACAAATGGAATGTAAAACATTGTAGATTTGATATAGATTTGTAACCAATAGCGAACTATACGTAGATTTCATGTGTGTGAATTGACTAGAAACTCCTTTTTTTTTTTTTTTTGAGAAAAATGGCTATATTATAGACCGCAAAACTGTTTTAGTGATCTTTGGTGAGATTTTTTTAAATATTTTTTGTTGCATTTAATTGGTCATTGTGATAGAACCTTTTCATGGGCATTTAATGGAATTCGTAAGAGGATAGTTGAATTTAAGGGTATCATTTTTTTATTGATCTTATCCACATAGGAGCACTGATTTAGTGATATATTTTTATTAAGTATATGTATTATTTATTACATGTATTAAAATTTGATACAGTAATAATTCATTTAATACTTCAGGTATATATTTTGTTTCGTGTACTTAGGGTGATAATTATAAATTTTTATTTATGTAAATAAATAAAATTTAAAATTAAGGTCTTCAAGTTTGTATCCTAATCCTATTTTTTCATTACAAATAATTGTTAATCTTACCCTTTCTTATCCGAAAATCGCATTATTGATTTTAATGGATAATACGGCTTTATAGGTCCTATAGCACTGTGACTATGACATACAAATTATGTAAAAAAAACACATCATAGTAAAACCAATACCTTCGCATCGAAGCTAAAAAATTATGGTTTGTAAAAAAATTATTTTAACTGCAAAATCTTATTTTTGAGACGGTTAACAAAAGCTTTTACTATTACAAGATATATTTTAATTAATTTTTCTTGTATATCTTTAAGCTCAAACACGGCTTATATTTATAAGTTTTATGTGTATTTACATTTATAAATAATTTTTCTGAATTGAATGTTTTTATTATTAATATTACAACACATTTAATTATTATGATTCGAGTATATACAATTATTTTGAATCTGTTGAACATTGATTTTTCTCCCAACAATCTTTCCATACTGTTTAATATACGCGATGTATTTATTACATGTATTGTTCTTATTTGTTCCGTATCATCGAGTAGTGGAAATTCTCAATAGATTATTGATTTTTTACACTTAATTGCATAGTCGGTGACAGATCCACATAATTCCAATTCCACAATATTATATCGATTATAACATTGCCTTGACGATAAAACGATATTTTTAAAAAATATAAGTCCAAAAAAAAATTATAACGTTACAAGTCGCGTGGGGGTAAATATGACCCATTTCAATTTTGATGAATATTTTAAGTCATACATTTTTTTTCGAAGGTATTTATTTATGAAAATTGATTCAATATTACTACAAAAACTATCTTCTACATTTATAATTATGTACACCTTTTATGCTATATAATACATCCGTTTTTATTTATGTGGGGGTATGCTAGACCCCCACGCGACTGTTTAAGGGTTAATAGTTATATCGATGTTACATAAAATATAGAAGTACAATAATTAATAAAATTTATTAACAAGTGATATTCTTTAATAAAAACAAAATTACTCTTTAAAATATAAATTTATTTTTTATTTATACAATTTTTGAGTCAACAACAATTGATAAGAAAGGAAGTTGGAATATTTATATTCCAACTCACTAATATAACTAAATAATATTTTTATGTTTATAAAGTTTTATATTTTGAGAAGGCTTAAGATAAATCTGAAAGCTTTAAGACTTACATGATCAGATACCTTCAGGTTATACCTCTCCTTAAATTGGTTTAATTCTCCTTAAATGATCAAATAGTTTTACTTTGAATTAGTAAAATAGGAAATAAATAAAATAATTATCAATAATTTTTCTATTGTTAATAGTGTCAATAATGCTAAATAAGCCATCTATCAACGAATGTTCTGATGCTGATGAACTTTTTAAGATGCTAATCTGTAGATAGTGTTTAATTTTAAGAAATTGATGAATCATTCCAAAAGCGACATTTTAGCTCTTATTTTCTCAATTATATCTTGATAAGGAGTTTTTTGATTTTTAACAGGCTTATATTAGTTTCACGTGTATGTTGTTTGTATGTCGTTTGTAAGTTTGTAACTCCACGCGGCACGTGTTATTATGTCGCGTATGCCGTCGTCTATGACCTTGAGACTAGACCGTCGTAAAGCATTCACCCCACCCCGCTCACCAGTCGGCGTCTACACTATTTTTTTCTGTATAATTTTGAGTAAACGCCGCGGTGCAAAGTCCAGCAAGTGCCGCACGGCCGACGACGTACCGCCGCTAATGATACCGACGGTATCATACCGTAGTATTCTTCCTGTTGTCAAAGTGGCAACGTCAATAAACCGATCTCCACTCGCGTACCGTCGCCATCAACGCTGCTAACCTTTTGACGCCCGAGGATCACGCCGGACATCGCGTCGTCGACGCCAACGAAAGTGCCACGATATTATGCGAAGATTATATATTCTTACCATCGCCGCTAATATTAATATATATATACATATATATATTATTATTTATATATACGTATATGTTAATATTCATTTATATATCCCTACAGCCGACGCCGCTGCCGCCATATATGCCTCGCGCCCCGCCCGCCAACAAAACACAGCTATACCTCGTGCATGATACGTTTACGTACTTAAGTCGCTTTATATATATATATATATATATTCTAATTACTATTAAAACTTATATATTAATACGCTTTATTCTCATTAAGAGATATATAGGGTATTTATTCCGATTACAAAGGATGATTCCCGTATCGTCATTTTACGTCACTACCTCCACGTTGCGCGCCTGCTGCTTTCCTTGGATGTGGTAGCCGTTTCTCAGACTCCCTCTCCGGAATCGAACCCTGATTCCCCTTTACCCGTTACAACCATGATATTGATAGTAACTACTATCATAACATGTAACTAAAAAGTGAAAAATAAATATAGTTTAAAAAAACTAAAAAACACGCTTTTAAAGAACATCGAACTAAAAAGTTAAAAATAATTTTTAAAATAAGCGTAAAACAATAATGAACGAAAAGTACTAGTATTATTGTGATAAAAGCGTGGGTGCTTTGTGCTATATTTTTCGTATATTGAGCGCCCGACGCTTTTATCACAATAATACTAGTACTTTTCGTTCATTATTGTTTTACGCTTATTTTAAAAATTATTTTTAACTTTTTAGTTCGATGTTCTTTAAAAGCGTGTTTTTTAGTTTTTTTAAACTATATTTTTAATTTTAACATATGAATAAATACTTAGTAATTTTTAGTTTTAATTAAAACTTTATTGTTTAGTATAGTTTTAATTATTATTAGTATGAAATTGATATTCAATAATTCAATAAATTAATATTGTAATTTTTATAGAGAAATTATAAAGTAGTTGTATATTTTGTTACTTAATAGCAACCGTTTATCAAAATTTAAGTGCTTGATGCAAAACTTTTCAGCAAATAATTTAGTTTTAACTAGTTTACAAAGTATTTTCTTCAATGACAAAGATGTACTTTTTCTAAACTAATTTTTGCGTTCATTTCAAATGTGCAATAACATTTTTGCTATCATCTCTAATTTTTAAATTGTTACTAATTAGAAAAAAACGAATAATTACATATAAAAAAATAGTAAAAATTAAGATTTAAATTTAATTCAGCGAAAGAAACAATTTATGAAACTAGACCGATATATTTCTGAATATAGTATATTATAGAATGTAACTATAAGATAAAACTATATGAAATATAGTTCTGAATATCTATTAAACACCAAGAATTTCATAGAAATTAGTATTATGATTTTTATTAAATGATTTATTTCGATATTAATACAAAAAAGTTATGAAATATTTAAGTAAAAATAACAAATTAAAAAACGACGATTTTTACGCCAAAATAAGATTTTTTGTCTAATTTCGGGAACCGTGTACTAATAGAAGACAAATCGTCAAACAAATATTTTTCTATCTTATAATATGTAACATAAGCTTTACTTTAAAATATGTTTAAAAAACGCAATATTTTCAGAACATTATCAAAACTCGAGTTGAAAAAGATAAATTTTTGTGAAAAAGTTTATATTTTTAATTCTTCACCGTGGGCAGGTTAACGGTCAGATTTAAAAAATTATATACTCGAAAAAAGGGAAGTACCTAAGGTATTAAGATAAAAAAAAATTATATTGATTTGTTTATTTTTAAAAGGGTTATGGCAGTTTAAAAAAAAAAAAAAAGGTAGCACAGTGGGGTCGAGGCACAGTGTGGACGAGGCATAGATGGGACAAGTATAGATGATATCTGACAGTGATTAAAATCACTATCATAAGAAACGCTTCGATGCAAATCTGTATAGTGTATAGTGATAGTGTTTCATTTAGAGAAATTAGTGGATTATTCCAAAAGCAACATCAACTCTTATTTCTTTAATTATATTCTGATTTTAAAATATAATATATGAATAAATACTAATTATAGTTTTTAAATTCAGTATGAAATTGTGAGGCCAGTTATGATGTATGGTTCATATTTTTGGGCGGTTGATAAGAAAGTAGAGCAGAGAATAAGTGTAGCAGAGATGAGAATGCTTAGTTGGATGAGTGGAGTGACTAGAGAAGATAGGATAAGGAAAGAGCATATAAGAGGAAGTATAGGTGTTGCGTCAATCGTGGATAAGATGACAGAAAATAGACTTAGATTGTTTAGTCATGGTATGAGGAAAGAAGAATCGAAAGCTGTAAGAACAGTTATAGAAATGAATGTTGAAGGAAGAAGAGATAGAGGAAGACCAAAAATGAGATTGAGGGATGTTATTGAAGGCGACATGTGGACAGCTGATGTGAGCGTAGGAAATCGTGTCAGGTGGAAGCTTAGGATAAGGGTGGCCGACCCCAAGTATTTGGGATTAAGGCAAAGAAAAAGAAAAATATTACCAGAAATTCCGGTGGCAATTGACATAATATGATTGTTGTTTTGGGAATGTACAATTCAACGTTTAGTTGGGTGGGTTTAAACAATATAGCGTCAAATCAATTACCTACTCTATCGCTTGTATATTAATATCAGTGTTGAGAAGGAACTGGTTCCAAAAGGAACGGATTCCTGGAACGAGTTCTTTTTGAAGGAACGATGCTAGGAACTGTTTCTTTTTAAAATAAAGGAACGAGGAAAATGAACAAATTCCATTTTTTAAGGAACGTGAACGGAAATTACAGTTCTTAAAAATTTTTATAAACATGTTTTAGTGTAGTTTTCTTCGTATCTAGACATTAAAATATTAAGGTATTTTTAGTTGACTTTTGACAATGGAAGTCCTCTATATACCCAGACGAGATCGTAGGCTGTTTAAATGAACAAATATAAAAAAAACCAAATGATAGATAAAGACATGCATCTAAATAAAAAAAATATACTGATTTGGTCATTTTTGATAAAGTTATAACAGTTAACAAAGTTATAAGTTTTATACACTGGACTACAAGGAACTTCCATCAGAAACAAAAATATACTATTCTAAATCAACTTTTCGCGATGTTTTAAAATGTGCAATTAGACTTTTTCTATAACTTCTAAGTTTTAATATTATTAAAAAATAGTTTTTACATATAAAAAAAAATAATTAAGAACAAAAAAAATTGTTTTAAATTAATACTGATTTGATATAATATTTAATATTAATTTGATTATTAATAAGTTAAAAATAAGGAAAATGACATATTTAACCTATTTTGTTAATCGTTTAAAGTTGATTGTTGTAAATGTTTATAATAAAAAAAAAAAATTTATTTTACCATAACTTTTAGCTCAATTGGTAAGTTTGACATTGACATAATTAAATAGAAAATTTTATGACAATTAAAAAAATTGTATCGTTAAGATCAATATGCAGTCAGAAAGTTTTATAATTACTATTTATTGTAAATTTATCAGAAAAGCTCAATATTTTTTTGCATTTTTATGGTAATAGATAACTTAAATAGAAGTAATAGTAATAATTTCCTAGGAACTTTTGTTGTTTGTTGAAAAGATTCTATAATTGAAATATTGAGAACTTAATTAATTTTAATGATTTACTTTAACTAAATGTACCAATCAAAACAAAGTTGTTAAAAAGATTTACTCAATTGAGCGTATTATAAATTTTGATTATTATTGTAAAAATCCATTGTTAATTCAGGAGAAATTAACTATAATTTTTTTAGAAATTATTTATATAGCAACATGTTACTAAAATATTTGGAATATTATAGTTTAGTAGTAGCACACACAAATACAGTAAAAAAATTATTAAATTAAAAAGTAAAATGATTTAATTTTGTAGTTGAAACCTATCATATCAAACTTCATTCGTTAATAAATATTTTGAAAACATTAGAAATTAATGATTTTAATTGTCTTTATGGAGACGATGTAATAACTAACTGTTTAATTGATAAATTAGAATTTTTTTTTCAATTTTTGAGAGTAATATCTTCAACTAGATACGAATTGTAGTCAATGGACGTATCGTTGAAAAAAGTAGGTCAAGTTAGAGCAGAGAAAATAAATGATATTCACAAAAAAATATCTTCTCATCTTTGCATCGAAGCTAAAACTTAAAATATAGTAAAACAATTTTAATACGAATAAGAAATTTCTTCTTGCAAGGGGCGACTAAAGTGATGGGATCCTTGATCTTTATTGAAGTTATTGAATCTAAATGAGATAAAAATCAAACGAGTTAAAAATTTATACTAACTTAAAAAGAATTAAGAAAAAATGCAAAAAATTCATTGCCAAACGCGGGTTGGAACTTCGTACCCCAAGCGTGTAAAACTGAAATTTTACCAACTCGACAAGTGTACGTTACTTCCGTCAGTTGAAAAATTGGCTATTTAAGCTATTTCAAATTTCAAAGTTATTTTTCTCGACTTAAAAGAAGCAAACCAAATTTAAATAAGTTTAACTTTCTAGGATATATTAATTTTAAGTTATATAATATTTATGAAAATCTATACTCCCCTTGTCAGGTATTTTAAAATAAAATAAAATACAAAACCCAGAATTTTAACACAAAAATAGCATATTTTTGCATACGGTAGTCATTTTTACCATGAAGACAAATCCAGAGGTCAAATTTTTTTTTTTCACATTAAAGTATATTACATAAGCTTTAATTTAAGATATATATATAAAAGTATCAGTCTTGCCGTAACATTTTCAAAAGTTAATTTTTTGTAAAAAAGTTACCATTTTGAAACCCTTCCGGTGGGCTGTTAAAGGGTCAAAAGTTCACAAAAATATATAAAATGATAGGTAAATATCTAAGGTATCTATAAAAAAAAAAATTATATTCGATCATTTTTCAAAAAGTTATGGCAGTTTTAAGTAAAAATAATTGAAAAAATATCGAAAATTAGCGATTTTTAAATTTGTAATTTTTTTGGAGATTTCCCCCATTTACGGGGAACGAGGAAAATTTTTTCAATTTTTGAGGGTAATGTCTTCGACTAGATACGATTTGTGATCTTTTGACATATTGTTGCGAGCTGAGATTGAGCGTTCACAGACACAAAAAAAAAAAATAAAAATAAAAAAAAAAACACATCATAGTAAAATTTTAGCTTCGATACGAAGCTAAAAAGTTTAAAAAATAACGAAATTTACCGATTATTTTGGACATCTACGCCATTTACGGAGAACGAAGGAATATTTTTCAATTTTTGAGGATAATATTTTTGATCTTTTGACTTAAAATTGAGGAAAACGATATAGTAAAATTATTTTAATATGAATAAGAAATTCCTTCTTACAATGGGTAACTAAAGTGATTGGGTCCTTGATATTCATTGAAGTTATTCAATTTAAATGAGATCAAAATCAAATGAATTAATTTTTTTCATCTCGAAAATATTAAGAAGAAATGCAACAAAAGTAAAATCGCGCGGGATTCGAACGTCGTACATTGTGCGTAAAAGACGTAAGTGTTACCGATGCGTCAAACGTACATTGTATTTGACCAAATTGACAAAAAAGACAATTTATGCTACCTCAAAATTTCAAGTAGTATATTATCGACTTAAAAACAACAAATTTATAATAAATTTAACTTTATATTGGATGTAAATAATTGACTTTATGAAAATCAGTGTACTTTAAAATAAAAAAAATCTTTTTAAAGTTATATAATCATTTTTGAAATTTAAGTTAAAAAGTTTTACTTGCTATACGATTATTTAAAGATTTGAACCCCCCCCCCTTGTATACATAGAAATGGTCCGATTTAAATATTGTTGAAAGAAATCGGTTCAATGGGAGATCAGAAAATGTAGTAACAAACACAAAATAACTACAGTAAAATTAATACCTTTTCAGTTTAGCATCTAATAAAACAACCTTACGCTGACACGGCGCGCAGACTGGTGGTGAATTTAGTGAGTGAAGTTTTACAGAATGGTAATACTGGTATATGACTATGAGAGTTTAATCTCCTTAATAAACTTTTTTATCACTTTAACATCAAATCATTTTTCATATAACCGAACTAAAAATGAAAAATTCGAAGTGATTAAATAAACTCTCAATAAATACTAATAAACAATACTATTTTCAACTCTTTATTATGAGTAGTTGAGTTTTATATACAGTATTTTAATATGTTTTCAAATTTTATAAGTGTTGTCTTACGGTAAGAAATATTAAAATATTCGAGCTATTAATAATAAAATTAAAATTATATGTTCATAGTATATGTATTTAATATATATATATATACATTGCATCATATTTTTAAATAATACTTATCAGGTTTTTTTAAAACCTATACTATCATCATATAAAATAATTTGAGTTTTTAAAAAATCAAGAAAACTCGTATAAACCCTAGTTGAATAAATTTATATTTTCCTTTTTTCACTTAAAAAACTAGTAATAATATTGAAGTTACTGTTAATTTATAAAATTATTAAAAATATAATTAACCACTTTTCATCAAAATTATTTGTGTTGAATATTTGAATTCAATTTTGACAAAGGTGTTAAAAATAAGTTAATTTGCCACAAACATTATTTCTAGATATTAGTGAATTTATTATTTTCAGAATTATATACATAATAATAATAGTTTGTCACTTATAATGCAGTTCCTTATACTAAAATTAATAACAAGACCTCTGGTGTAGGTCCTTACAATTTTACATTATAAAATTATATAATTACATTATGAAAAAATCTTGTGTAATTTAATTTTTTTAAAAATTACAACATCCTCTTCCCTAATAACATAGTAATCAAGAAAAAAAAAATTAAATATTTTACTTTAGTTCAAAAATAGTTTTCTCCTGAAATATTGATTTAATTATAATAATAAATGTGTAGTACATAAAAATCATAGATAAATTACTGATTTATAATTATTTAATGTGTAGTACTAATGCTACATTATTACCTCTTAGGTACTCATTCTCCATTTATAATTTAGTCTATAGCCATAATAACATTAATTATCATATACAACAGATTTCTTATAATTCTATAGGTTTTGAAAAACAAAAATAACTTTGATCATAAGTTTTAAATCTCACATTAAAAAATAAACATTTTTCGATACACTGACAAAATTCATGGTCACCGTAAGGTTGGATAACTACTATATGTTTGGATATTATTGATTTTTATTATACATAATTTATTATCACACATACTTATCTTATATCTTGATTTAAAATTAAATATGAATATTAAAATTAAATTATATTTGAATTTTAGTGAAACTTGAGAAGTGCATAAACTATTAAATATTTATTTATAACACCTTTTTAAAAAATTTTTTAAATAGCTAAGTAAGGAAATATTTTTATAGTATATCTAGAAGCATCAAAAAGTTAAAGAAAAATGGTAAATTTTATTTGTGACAACCTAAAACATCTCCTTGGGGTAGCTTAAGTAACTTTCAATGCTAATGATGTATCATTTAACATGGATTTACAAAAAATATTAATTACTTATTCAAAGAAAGAACTTTTTTTACATTAGCAAAAATAAATTATTTTATACATGTATATTATGCATATGAATAATGTCTCTAGTTAATATAGTGTTGATTGATGTCTTACATGGTTAAAATGCAAAATAAAAAATATATACATATAGAATTTCATTAAAAACTATATCTTTTTTCTATATTTCGAATAAGTAATTGTTTACCTTATTGTTTTTTTTAGAGTCCACCGTACTTTTAGTAGCAATTCTACAGCTATAACCAAAATTCATCGTAATGTTTATCCTCGACATTATTTAACTAAAATTGTAAAACCAGATGGTTCGAGTTTCACAATAAGATATCATGAACCTCGAATGATAATAAAAGTGAAAATTAACATGGAACATCATTTTATTTTTGATATTAATATGTATATTGTTTTTTTTAGTTGCCACTAGATTTGAATTCCATTAGTGAGGAAGAAAAGAAACGTAGAATAGAAGCAAGAAAACCTAAAAAGAAAGTCAAAATTATTAATGAAATAGATGATTCTTTTGATAGAACTAAATATTTGAAATATTTCAAAAGATGATAGCTTCGTAGTCATAAGTTAATTTAGGAATGTAAAATAAAATAATTTTTATATTTAATAGTACATAAATATATTAATTTCTTTTGAATGACAATTGTTTATTTGACAGAGTTGACTCATCAGACAGATGAATATATTAAACAAAAGTACAGTACAGTTTTATAAGTGTTTTTATAAAAATGTACACACAACACACATACTTGAAAACTTAAAATATAAAAGATATGTACATATATATTTTTATATTTACTAAATAATAAATAATATAAATGCAAATTTGTACTATGGTACACATCTGGCCGAAGGTCATAAACAAAAAAACTTATGTATATATACAAAATTCAAAGTAAACCAATGCTGTTTCAACTTATACAATAATCTTTATAATTTAACTACGTTCTAAGACATTAAAACTAAATCCTATATTAATAACTTTATATTTATTTAATACAATTTTTGTATAAAAGTTCTAAATGGAACATATAAATTGTGAATGGTTAACTAATTCTTAACTTTTAACTTGCCACAATACACAAATAATTACTGTTTAAAAACAAAAAATTTTTGACATACAATACATATACAAACTGGAATTTATTACCAATTCTTTTGAAATTGATTCTTAACAATGGTTATAATTTAATATTATTTTAAGATTCTAATCTATATCATTAATCCACTTATACAGTCTTTTAAAATTACACAGAATGTTTCTTGTGTTTTTCAGGGGAATATTCAAACCCATTAAAAAATAAAAATTGACTTAGTATTAAAAAGCACTTATTCAATAATTTTAATGTAAGCAGTTAAATAAAACCAATTCAGATGTAAATATTTTTTTCATATTAAACAGAAGACCTTACTAACTTTTGACAATAACATATTCAGATCACAAGAAATTTACTTTAAAAGTTAATTGAATGTTTCTCTTAGAAAAATTTTAATAAGCAATTAAGAAATGCTTAATTTTTAATTTAGTCAATAAAACAACTTTGGTTATGCAAAATTAAAAACAAGAAATGTTTCATTTAAAAATTTTCTTTACAAATGAAAATATGTAAATTGGCCACACAGAGGGTTATATTTATTACATTTACATTAAGTCAGTCAGTTTAACTTAATGTTCAATGTTTCTAAAAATGACACCTTTGAGCATTAAGTTAAACTAAATATGTAAAATAAAAGTTATAGACTAATTTTTAATTGACCCACCAATTAACAAAATAATCAAAAACTTATTTTTTTTAAATAAAATTTAGTAACAATTTAAACTTCAGTTGAAACATAATGTTAAATTATATGTTAGAAATTAGAAATCAAAGTCTCAACAGCTAATGTTATTAAAACATTAAGTAATCAATAGTCAATAATGAAAAAATCTTAAATAATATAAAAAAAAGAAAGAAAATATTGACTGTGTGAAATCATAAGTTATCTTAACATTTTCTATCCGGTATTATTTTAGAAAAAGTTAATTTTTAATGTTATTAAGTGGACATTAAACTAATAATTTATAGACATGATCATGGCATCTAATTATTTAATATCATTATTTCATACATAAAAATTCAATCTATTTGTTTAAATTTTTCTTTCAAGAGTAACTTAATTTGAGTTATTGAAATGTTTAATTTATCATAATACAACCATTGCATTAATGAGCTGAAGTTAAATAATTAGTATATCACTAATTGTAAATATTAGTGGTGTAATAAGATCCCACAATGTATTTATAAATTATATGAATAAATATTAAATATTTCTTAATATAGATATAGGTCGACTTATAAATTTACGTTTTGGACTTGGTATGCTAGATGAAACATTTTTGGTCAATACATAGCTGCCTTTAAACACAGGTTGTTGACAAGGACGTTTATTACTAATCACAGTCTTATTCTGAGGCTGAACAACATATGTCATTGGTAAATCTTGAACAGAAATCAAATCATCAAAATTTGTTTTATACTCGGATGTTTCAATACCAAAGCTTCCATCATTAGAGTTTTCTTCAATTTCTTCTTCATCTTCAACCTTTAAATATAACACTAGAATTTAACAATTTAGGTACTGAAAATAAAAAAAGGAAAGTACCAAAATCCAAAACAATGTTTTTTTTTTACTGAGAATAGTTTGTCCTAATGCCAATAACAGAAAAAGAGCTAAGTTTTTATTGCATTTAATTTAGTAGTTATAAGTACCAGAAGAAAGCCATTAGTGGTAACATTATTATAATTGGTGTCAAAAAAAAGTTAAATTTTTTTATTTAGATTTTACTTTTTAAAACTTACCTCTTTTTCTTTGTCATTACATCAATTATTAATTTAATATTAACAATATACATATAAGGAAGTACTTACATCATTACAAATATCATTGAGGTTAGCCAAGTCATCTAAACCAAAAGTTATTAGTTGGTAAGGTGAGTCATCTTTATCATTTCTTGAGTCTCCATCAGACTCTTCCATATCACTTATCCTTTCTTCTTCTTCTTCTTCTTCTTCTTCAGAAGTAATTTCTTGGCTAACTATTTCTTCTTCTTCATCATCATCAAGATAGTAACTGTCTCGCCGATCATAGGTTTCATTCATTTCTCCTCGTTCTAATGCATCCAAATGTTCTATAGAATAAATTAAATTGAAATCAGATTATTTTAATTCAGTAAAATAAAAAATAAATATATTACCTGGATTGAGCATAGCACGTTTAATAGCTGATGGATCTTTACGAGACCATTTTTGCATTTCGTCATCCATTTTTGCTATCTTACTAGGATTCATTGTCCATAAACAACCTTTCCTAGGTGCGCCTGTACTACCAATAGGTTTTTCAATTTTTTCAAAACACTTGTTTAAACTAAGGTTATGGCGAACAGAATTTTTCCATCCACTACTAGCAGTCTTAAAATATGGAAAATGTTTACTGAAAATATAGTATCAACAAAATTAGTGACATGTTTATTTTAAAAATCATAATATAAAATGTTCACTTACCACATAAAATTATAGATTTCTGAAACTGGCAATGAACCTGTACTTGAATTTTTTAGAGCCATAGCTATTAAACAAGAATAGGAATATGTTGGTCTTGGATATAAACCCAAATTTTCATTACCCTTAATGCCATTAGCTCTAGACTGAATTGGTTTTATTTGTTGTTTGGGTCTAACTATTTTGTAATGCCCAGAAATACTATTGTTTACAAAAGATATTGGAACAGTCCTTGAAGTTACAGTTGTCTTTACAGTAGGTACTGCTGAAGGCATAGTCACTCTTACAGTCATCAATTCTGTTTTTTGCAATCCATTACTAGATGTTTGGCTTAATAAATCAGAAAGCCGAATGGCTTTTTGAATGGGTTTTGCCTCCTCAATCTTAGTTACTTCTATAGGCTTTTTATTTAGTACTTGAGGTTCTTCAATTGTTTCAGACTTGATGGGTATTCCCTGTTGTTCTGATAAATTTTCTTTTTTTATTAAAATGGTAGTCGGAAGATCCTTAAGTAAACTTGGTTCTACAATAGGTTCTTCTTTAACCTTTTTTTCAACTACTTCAGCAGAAGATGGAATAACTGAGTTTGGGTTGACCATTATAGCAGATTCAATGTCTCCACCAATAAAGTCTAAATGATGGTTGGAATTAGAGTTAAGCCAAAGACCAGAATTTAAAGGATCCATTATAGACATCATATTATCATCATTTAAAGATAAAGAGTCATCGTAATTGAAACTGCTATTTGACAAAACTCTATCATAATCACTTTTCATATCAAAATCAATACAGTCTTGATAGAATGTCAGACTATCTAAAGTTCCAAGATCCATAGTGTATTCTTGGAATCCTAAACAAATTATTTTTAATTATGAATAATATTAATAATGAAATTTTCAATATAATATAAATTTAAACTAAATAACTTATAAGTTACAAAAAAATCACAATAGAACACTATTAAGTTTTACAAATTCATTTATTTCATATTTTATGTTTTCTTCTAGACTACTATTCCTTAATCAAAATTAATGAGGTAAACAGAATGTAGAGGTATAAATTTATACAAAAACATGTAAACATCCTTTGACATTTAAGAATTTACTAATAAACAGTTTAAACTATAAGTGAAATAACACTTATAGTATATATTATGAGTAATAGATAAAATATTTAATAAAAAGTATGGAAGTTGAGCTAAATGACAAAATTTGATGTCTTTTTACTAAATTTTTAATAAATTTGAAGAATTTTAGAGATACTAGTTGGTTATAACTTAGTTTTTTAGCAGCATATTTTTTATTTTATATAAAAATTATTTTACTCTTGAGGTAATAGAAATTTTAGTTTTCATTTTCCAATAATAAATAAGTAAAACATTTATTTGTTTAAATATTGTTGCATTTAAATTTTAAATTTTAATAATAATTACATTTTTTTTATCTAAGTGGTATATTGAAAGGCATTAATTTGGATTTTCTCCAAAAATGAAATATTCAAAAACATTTTATAAAAGTATTTTTTGGTGGTAAAAAAAATTGTTACATAATTTAGACCATTATTATAATTCTAGTCAAGTCTTTAAATGTGAAAACTAAAATTTGAAATAAACAAACTTCAGTTAAAATCATACAAGAAAGATAGCGCCACAGTCTTTTATTTAGAATTTTTAAATCAATACGTCATTCTCAATGAAAAAATTAAGAACACACCACATGTATGTACTACTGTTAACATTTTTATTATTACAAATTCCACAGATAAACTAAAATCATAATTTTTTTTTGAGTCTTCTTTATCTTTGAATTTACATTTGGACTAAAAATAATTGGGATTTGTTGCTTTTAAATGATATAAGAAAAATGAGTTAAAACTCTGAATGGAAAATAGATTTAAGAGCGTAAAATTGTGTGAAATAATAAAATCGTATGTTAACAATGTTTATTTCAGACTCAGTAGGTCATATAAATTGAACTTTAAACTGATAGAGAAGAAATAATTTACTACAATTATCTTTTCTCTATCAGTATAATAGCAACATTTATCAATGTGTTATTGTTTCTTATCTAAATGTCTAAATACAAGTTTTTGGTCCAAATAAAGAATTTGAGTTCTTAAGATAAAAAATTAAAAAATGTTAAAACATATGACCCAATTTTTTGTATTAAAATGTTAGTTATAATTGATACATGTTTAATTCTTATACGTAAAAAATATTTAACATTACTTCATTGACATTATATCTCGTACATATTCATCAATGAATAATAATGGAAAATATGAATTAGTATCGTGCTTTCAGTGAATGAAATTGTAGCTTAATGGGAAGAAGTTTAGTGAGCATAGTAAGAAAATAATTTCAAACGTATAATTTATAGCACTCGATCATTTGAAATAAATAATCAAGTTCTAAAATAATGTCTCGAAATTTAAAGAGTAATACAAATATATTAGTTAATAATTTTCGTATTTAAGTTTCTAGTTATACATGTGAATATAATTAATTAGTGAACATTATTAACATAAAACATTATACATTTTATAATAACTCGTATGAATTTTTATACACCACAAATGATATATAATAAAATCTATCATGTAAAACAACAGTTCTTGTTAAGTCATACTACCGGGCATATAACATTCTCTTGAAATTAAAGTGAAAGACGGGGAATATACAAATAATACCAACATAAAAGACTTACACGAGGATCTAAAGCGAGGTCGTCATGGTAACGAGCCGGCTATATGCGATCCATTATGGCGGGACCCCAGGTTGACCTTGTATTCTTTTATCTACCGGCGGCTGCCACCCGGCAACCGGCAGCAAGTTTTAATAGCTCAACGGGAAGAAAATCGCGCAAAAAATTGTTTTCACGGAGATTTAAGTAAAAAAGCCAAGAACACTTAAATTACGTACCAAATTAAATGAGTAGTTATTACTTCCAACAGTCAGCCGTCTCACGGAAGTTCTCTCTTCAATTCTTCTGCTGTCGAGTTGAAGTTGGGCATACGGCGCGTAAAACACGAAAACACTAAAATTTCATCAAATAAATTACACTGTTAATTCTAGGAATAACGCTCAATCATATGGACAGTGATTTAGTTTAGTAAGCGGGTTAATTAAAATTAAAATGACTGCGAACACGTAAAAAAAAACAAAAATTATCAAAGAGAATTTGGCGCGCTAGGTGTGGAACCGGGAACGACGACCATTTGTATGCGCGGTTAGACAGAAACATAGACAGGTGGGGTAGTACGTAGTGCGCGGGGGAATTCGATGCGTAAATACGTTAACCGACCGGACAAAGAAAAATTCTGGTGCTGCGACCCACCGACCAATCAAAGCACTTCCCGCGACCGCCACCCTATCTATGATGATTTCCATTCATTGCTCACAAAATCCTGTTGGTAACACTGTAAATTGCAGCTGTCATGGTAGATTTTATTAGTAACTGGTAATATTAAGTGGTCGATATTATTGAACCAAGAAGATCATATTTACAATTCACTACATTGATAATTTCATTAAACAAACATAAATTTAAATGCTGTATGTTACAGTATTCTTAGGAACTTCTTTTATACTGTAGTTTGTACTTAGTATTTAGTTTACTCATTATTAATTGAAGAGTTACATCACATCTTTTTTTTATTTTACACTTTAATTAAAATTAGATTTCTTTAGTATTCATTATTAAATTATGTATGTATACATTACATACTAAATTAATAATTATGTCCAAAAATTTGTTTTGATTTTAACCAGATAATGTCAAACGAAAAATATGATAAAATTTTATGGTGGCAATTAAAGCTCTGCACGAGTCGAGCTACTAACATAATTGATTTATGTGATCTGTAAATCTGATGTAGTCAGACTTTTAAAATTTTTAATTGAATTGGAAGTTCGGGTCACTCGTAAAATATGTATATATATTATATTTATCAAATAAAAAAAACTTAATAATTAAAAAATTTAGAAATATATGAAATAATTAAAAATAAAAATAATTTATTTAACGATTTATTATTTTAAGAGAAGTCGAATGGCTATTATAAAAAGATAACTATGCTACTTCACACGTGACACAGTGACCCTATTGTGATTTTTTTTTTTAATGTAAATTTGCATGATAGACTTCTTTTCGACTATCAAGTAAAATATACAGCAGTTATTATTCAAATTAATAAAAAATATCATTTTAACTGGTAGTTAGATAGTCAAAAACTAGTCAGTTGTTGATAATAACAATCTTATGATTTTTTGAGTTTTCTTAAAAGCTATCGGTATATGTGATAGTCTAAACTATTCGATAGTGCCAATCACTAGTATTAACAATTGAATCAGGTGAGCCAACAGTTACAATAATGATGAACGGCTATGAATGATAAAAAGAATTTTTCAATTTTGACCATCAATTATTTCTAAACGGTTTGTTTCGTATTATACTGTTATGCTGTGTTTAATTATTTCCAAAGAATACCTGAATTATTGATTAATATTAAGGTTTGCTAATTTACACCTCAAAATGGCTAGAAATGCAGAAAAGGCAATGTAAGTACATTTGAACAAATATATTAAACACATTTTATGAAATATGTAAATTAAATATAATCAAAGAGTCAAAAAATATACAGTATAAACTAAAATGTATACTAATAAACAAATAGCTCGTTATTGTACAAAATTATCACATTAATTTTTTTAATACTTTTTTTTAAATTTAAGTACTGTACAATGAAAAATTTAATTCATATAATATAATTATAATAGACTAGATGCTCAAAATGTGATTATTCATTTTTTTGTTTTTATTTAATTTTTATTAAGTTACGTTTTTTGTCATGTAGGACCACTCTTGCCCGTTGGAGGGCAGCCCAGGAAAAAGAACATGGTGGTAAAGAAGAGCGTAGGCCATATTTAGCTACTGAATGTACAGATCTTAAAGCTGCTGAAAAGTGGAGAGTTCAAATTATTAGAGAAATTTCTAAAAAAGTAGCACAAATTCAAAATGGTATATTATAAAATTATTTTTTTAAATTAAAACAAAATAAAAAATTTTTATCATCTTTTATAGCTGGTTTAGGAGAGTTTAGATTACGCGATCTTAATGATGAAATTAACAAATTACTACGAGAGAAAAAACATTGGGAATATCAAATTCGAGAATTAGGAGGTCCAGATTTTTTACGAATGGGACCACGGATGCTTGATCATGAAGGTAGGGAAGTCCCTGGTAATAGGGGTTATAAGTATTTTGGTGCTGCAAAAGATTTACCTGGTGTTAGAGAATTATTTGAACATGAACCTCCTCCACCACCCCGTCGAACTAGAGCTGAATTAATGAAAAATATTGATGCTGATTATTATGGCTACATGGATGAAGAAGATGGTCTTTTATTAGCTATGGAGTCTAAGAAGGAAAAACAACGTAATTTACACGTTTATATATACTCTGTATGTAGTATTAATCATTTTTATTATTTTTAGTTTTGGAAGAAGAAGGAAAAAAAAAGTTACTTAATAATGATATAGATATGGTATTTTTTCATTAACGTATAAATTAAATTATAAAGTAAAAAATAACTTTAATTTTTAGGCGTTTGAGGAAGTTGATAGTGATGATGAAGATATTTCATCTATGTTCAGTAGTTCTAGATATATTCAACCGCCACCTGTTCCAACTGATCAAGATATTCAAAATTTAATACTGGAGTACAAAAAACGTGAACTTCTTGAAACATATGCAGGTATAGGAGAAAAACAAGAACATGAAGATCTTGAAGATCTTGCCAATATATCATCATCAGATGATGAATCAATTTTAAAAAAACTATAGTACATTGCAATATATAATAAAAATTTTTAAGTTTTTACCTTTTTTTTTAATTGTTAAAAAAACTTAATTTTCTAAGTGTAGATCTACTTCAATTAATCCACGACAAATAAATGAAAATTCTTTTACTGCATCTTGTAAAGTTTTTTTATTACTTTTTTCTCTAAGTTTAAAAGTTAAATTGAATTAAAAAAAATTAATTTTAATTAATGATAATTAAACATACTTCAGGACATTTTTTAAAAAATTTGATTTTATTTTGTCTGTAACATTTGGAAGTGGAATATTTTGTACAAAAATTATATTATGGAGCCACCTACGTAAATGTTCACTATATTTTTTGTTAAGTATTAAAAGAACTTCACACATTGGATCTAAATTTGTTTTCACAGAATCACCCCCTAAAAGACAAAGTAAATGTGAATAAATGTTAAAAAGAATATTTTTATATCAACATACTAATAATACACATTAATTTTGTAACTAAAAATTCTCCGTTGTCTTCAATAATTTTGAAAAACATTTTTTCTTCTCGACTCATGGCAATATATATTGTTAGAAAAAATGTTGCCGTTTTTACTAAAAATATTTCATTAACACACAAAGCTTCACAAGCTATAAAAAAACCCAATATTAGGATAAATAATTATTATTTAAATAGTTCCACAAAAAGGTTAATATAAAATAATCTCATTTTGTCAAAATAGTTTATGTTTATTATAATTATTATTATAATGTTACCTATTCTAAAAATGAATGTAAAATCAATGTTTGAACTGGTAAATGCAATAACTGGAAGTTTTCTAAAAATGTGCCCTTGAAGAGATAAATAAGATTCTAAAATATCTCCAATGACAACTTGATCAGAAGATATTTGTTCAAAAAAACACTGAACTCTTGTACAAATTTTTTCATAAGTTGATTTTATTATATGAACAAATGCTTCATGTCTTCCAAACATGATTAAAACCTATTTTAAAGAAGAATAATAAGACTTAGTATAAGACAAGGTTTTAGATATTTTGAGGGTTTACTTCTTTAAAGAGTAAAATTCCAGCTGATTGAGGCGACTTCTGAAATCCACATAGTAAAATATCAATGATAATATTCAACGCCATGGAACAATCTTCTTGAAGTCTTGAAACCACAGATTTAAAAAATTCACAAACACCCTATCATTATTATTATATTTTAAATAAGTACATATATATTGACACATAAAGGAAATAGATATTATTTTAAATTTGTTAATATAAAATGAATATAAATGTTTTAATTAGAACAAAATAATGCTAATAGTAATTCAGAAAATATTGATATAGTTACTATGTATAATAGATCTTCTGGGCAAACAATAAAACACTTAGCAGCTAACACTTGTAGTAATGGAGTTGTAGTTTCTATAATATGATAGACAGCACTTTTTTGTTCGATTGCTGAAACTAATGAACCTAATACTTTAATTCTCTTTTGTAACTCCGGTCTATGTTTGTTACATTCATTTATGTCCTAAATTTTTAAATATATTTTATTAATACTTTCTATTTTAGCAAAATAAAAAAATTTAGAGAAATAATAGAACAAACCTCAATAGCTAAAATTGACTTCATAATTTCTAAACTTGGGTTAAGAAACATTTCCAATGATTGTTTACAAGCTGGAAATGGAATTGATGAAAGGATAACTCCAATCGTATATATCAAACGTAACTCTTCTTTTAGTTTAGTAACTTGCTTTAGTACAATCTAAATGAATACCAATTAATTACATTTGAGTTGTTATTTTAAATTTTAAATAAAAAATTAAGATGTTTACACTTGAAATTTTAGATAGTTAACATAAATGTACAATGACATTTTAGCTTCGATGCGAAGTTGAGAAGGTATTAATTTTACTATGATTTGTGTTTTTTTTTTTTTATTATTTATTATTTTTGTGTCTGTTACCACTTTTTCTCAGCTCTCACTAAACCGATTTCTTTCAACGATGTCAAAAGATCATAAATCGTATCTATTCGAAGATATTAAACTCAAAAATTGAAAAAATTTTCCTCGTTCCCCGCAAATGGTGAAAACTTCAAAAAAAATTACAAAAAAAAAAATTGCTTATTTTCGAAATTTTTTCAATTTTTTTTACTTAAAACTGCCATAACTTTTTCAAAAATGAACAAATCAATATAATTTTTTTTATAGCGATATGTGAAGTACTTACCTATCTTTTTTGTAAAATTTTTTATAAAACTGACCCTTTACCTGCCCACAGGGAGGATTCAAAATGAAAACTTTTTCAACTTAACTTTTGAAAGTGTTCCGGAAGTACTGACACTTTTATATATATCTTAAATTAAAGTTAATGTAATATACTTTATTGTGGAAAAAAAAAATTTGGAACTATATTTTGTCTTTACGGTGAAAATGAATACCGTATGCTATTTTTATGTTAAAATTCTCGATTTTTTATTTTACATTTTTAACTTTATTATGCTATAAATATTTGAAAAATGTATGGATCAATACAATTTTTTTATGAGAAGTAGTATTTATATGCATCTTTCATTCGACATACTGTTTTTTAAATTGGACCATTTCTCTATATACGATGGGGGTTCAAATCTAAAAAATGCATGTAGAAAGTACAACTTTTTTAACTTAATTTTTGAAAGTGTTCCAGAAATACTAACACTTTTATATATATCTTAAATTAAAGCTTATGAAATATACTTTTATATTGAAAAAAAAATTTCGGACTTTATTTTGTCTTCTTGGTGAAAATGGCTACCAAATGCTATTATTATGTGAAAATTCCATATTTTATTTTATAAATCTTGGTTTTGTATTTTATCTTATTATAAGGGGATTACACTGATTTTCATAAATATTATATCAATCTAATTGACATAGTATAAAAAATTAAACATATTTAAATTTTTTTGTTTCTTTGAAGTCGAGAAAAATAACTTTAAAATTTCTATTTTTATTAAGTGACGAATGAGAATAACGGTTTCTGAGACGGTAAGACTTGGGTCTTTCATGCCTGTGGTACTGAATTTTTTCTTAATTCTTTTTAAGTTAGAATAAAATGTTTAACTCATTTGATTTTTAACTCGTTGAGATTCAATAACTTCAATAAATATCAAGGATCCCATTACTGTAGTCTCCTCTCGTGAGAAGAAATTCATTATAAATATTATTTTACTATGTGGTTTCTTTTTGTAGCTATCATTTATTTTCTCAGCTCTCACTTGACCTACTTTTTTGACAATTTTTTTTTTATTTAATTAAACACTATCTACAGATTTGCATCGAAGCGTTTTTTAGGATAGTGATTTTAATCACTGTCAGATATCATCTATACTGGACCCAACTATGCCACGACCCCACTATGCTGGGTTTTTTTATCATAACCAACCATTCACTTAATCACTTGTAGAATAAAAATAGTTTTAAACTTGTTAATTTTTGCTACATATTCTCTAGTACATGGATGAAGTAATACTAAAAATTCAAACATAATTTACTATTAAAAAAAAAACCATTTTATTAAATTCAAAATATGTGTTTCAATTTGAAAAAACAATTTTTTTACCATTACAACACATACAAGATGAACTTAAAAAGTAATACATAGATAATAATTAGAGAATATTTAGTTAAAATAATTAAAATATCTCAAAACTATTTTTATTCTATAAGTGCATAAGTGAGAGGTTGTGATAAGAAACACTTTGTATGGCATTGCCATAGGTAAAATAGTGTTGCATTTTAATAAGTGCAAAATGTAATATTTATCTTCTTTTAAGAAATTTTTATATAGCAATAAATATAATTTTTCAAATTTCTCAGAGTGCTATCTCAGTAAACCTTAATATATATATGTTTTTGAGCTTTAATCTAAAAGAGCCAATTGCACATACAAAAATAGTTTTTCAATTTTTAAATTACTACTAAAAATTAAAGTACCCACTAAATGGCTCAAAAAAATTTTCAAAATAATGTCAAAATTCTTCATTTTATAAATATATAAATATAGTCAAATATAATTACCATTGATGTATTAATTATAATATCATTGTATGGAGCTATTGACTGCTTACATTCTTTAGCAATATCCCGTAGAGCAATAGAAGCAGAAGAAAACATATAACTATTATGTAGTCCCATCATTAAAAGAGGAACTACCAAATTTAAATATGATGGGTGTGTTTCCATCCAATAATAATAGGCACCTTTATATATATATATAAAAAAAAAAAAAAAAATGCACAATTACAATTATGAAAATCTTCAGTGAACTTACCAATAGTATCCATAGCAGCTATAGCAGCTTTTTTATCAATCTGATTGTATGGTATAGAGCTCAAAGATGTCATAAGTTGTTCAATATGTGGATAGTCTTCATGATTATGAAGAGGCTCTGCAATTGCAGTAAATGCATACAAACATGCCTCAACAGTTTGCCATTCATTAATAGCTGTTTCAGCATCACAAGTAACCTGTTTGTAAATTGACAACAACACATCTAACATTTCGGCATGTAGAATGAAATAACAATAAGTCTAAAATAATTAAATTAAATTTATGTTATTCAATTTTTTTGTTTTATAATATAATTAAACATCATTTTTCTTACAAATGTATCAGAAATATCTTGTCTATAGCATCGAAATAATTCTTTTTCATCTGAAGTCCAAGATTCTACATTTTTTGGGAATGAAACTTTTTTTATTAATACTTGAGTTAATGATACATACAGAGGTTTAACAATTGTTAATAAAGTATTATCAGGGCCAGCATCATTTGACAATAAATCATCCTACTCAAAATATATTTATACAAATATTTATATTTTATTATATATCGTCATAGCTTACTTGTAATAAAAACCAGAATGTAAATGTTTTTTCACTATAGTTTTCATTTACAGGATAATAGCCGGGTGCATTAGTACAAGTTAAATATAAATTTAAAAATTTGGTGCAAAGATCTCGTGTATTTTCATTTAATAAACCTTGAATAATAGGTCGAAAATGTTGGTCCCCAATACCCAAGAACAAATCAAAAAGTTTCTCAACAATAATATCCTAAAATCATTATGCAATTTGAATAAAATATTTTTGAAAATATGAACTGAATTTAAAAATAAATGATATACTAATAATTTTATAGTTACGAATTTGTTAATATAAGAAAATAATTTTAATTAATAAAACCTTATTAGAGAATATACAGAGTGATCGGTTAATCATAAATCATTTAATTACTCACACAATAAATTCAATATTGGAAAAAATATTTTAAATTTTTTTTAGTTACATATATTTATTGATTTGTCAGTTATTAATTACTTTTTAAAATCAATCCTCATAACATATAGGGGAATCAACTTTATTTTTTTAAATGGTAACATATACATACATATATATATTTAATTAACAAATGAAATATAAAATTATCTAATTAAGAAAATGACTGACCCAAAACAACTTTTGGATTAGTACTTTAGATGTTATTTTCATTTTTATACCTAAGCAGGACGAAGACTATGGTCAGGAATTAACTAGTGATAAAAATAGTAGCACCCATTCTTTACCATCAGTAATTACTGATGGTGAGGATACCATTTAAAAAAATAATGTTCACACCCTTATATGTTTTAAGAAATTATCCTAAAAAGTAATTATTAGCTGATAAATAAAAAAAATTAAAACTTTTTTTTTCCCAATATTATATTTATTTTGAGAGTAATTAATTGGTTCATAATAAACCAATCACCTTGGTAAGGATAAAAAATTTAGTTAATTTCAATTATAAATAACTCCTAGAAAAATTTAGTAATTTATATGACTTTCATTTAAGTATTTTTTTTTTTTTTACTTACAGGTTCTTCAGTTATTCCTAAATTGAATAATTTTTCAGATAAAACTATTACTTTACTTAAAACTTCAAAAACTGTAGCTTCACAAACTGAAGTCCTAGGATGAGTACATAAGGATTTTAGAGCATCTATTGCTAAAATAACACACCTAGACAAATAAATAGTAACTAATTTATAAAAAATAAATACTTTAGAAGAAACTCACTCTTGATTTCTTTGAGAATTGAAAATAACAGATATAAAAGTATCAGTCAAGCGATGACATTTCATAAGATCAAATCCAACATCTAACCAAGATGCTGCACATTTTAATGCATACACAACAATAGAATCTACGCTATCACTTTGAAGTATACTATCCACAATGGTTAAAACTAAAATTTATTACATATTAAACTAAAAAATTAATAATATTTGAGTATTTTATCATGAATATACTATAGAAGTTAATTGCTCTATTCATGCAATTTTGGAAAATTCTTTTAAAAATATATCTTAATAACTAAGTATTTTTTAATTTAGAAGCAATACTATTTATTTCACATTTTTGTCAAAACGACTGAGTGAGACTATTATAAGTAATATTTTGCAAATATTTCAATCGTGGACTCAGATTTTTAATAAAATCAATTAATAGCTAACTAATCTCATAAAAAAATTCATGATAGGTACTATTAATTTCACAGAAAACTGTTTTTTTTTTGCTCTCCTGAAAAAATGACAAAAATAAGATAAGTAGTGTAACTTCTAAACAAAGATTTTATATTGTGTTATTACTTTTATATAATTGAAAGGTGCTGCAACAACTGCTAAGTAAAGGCTGGCGGTATTTTTGATATACCAAAAAATACATTTTATATCACGTGAGGGTATTTATTATCACAAGTAGTTGTAAGTACTAGTTATTAATGATAATAACCAAAATTTAATAGTAATAGTAATTAAAGAGTTTTAGTAAATAATAATCTAACATTGATATTTTTAGCATTTCAATATTCTACTAAATTTATTGTACTCAGCTTCAAATAATATTGAATCATTTATATTATAACTGTTATATTAGTTACTAATAATAATATTAGTTATGAATATGCATCATTTTGAATAGTTGTATTTAATTTGAGAATTATTATTATATTATTGTTGATCATTCATTAAAAATTGACAAAAACATAACAATGACTATAAAATTATATTAAATTAATACTAAATACTAATGTTGTATTTTTTCATGTTTATTTTAGATAATATAGTATTTAAAATATTATTTATTAAAATCATATAAATTAAAAGTGTACATTGAAAAGTGAAGACAATTTTTTATATGTATTTATTTTCTTTATGTTATGTACAAAAATATTTATAAAAATAATCTAAAGGTATCTAGGAAAATGCAACCCCCATAAAATTGAGAAAATTGACTGTATTTTAATATATTAATATTTTTAAAAAGGAGAGGCTTCCAAAAATTTTATTACAAATGCGCTTATCAAAGTATTGTATTTAAAATACTGAATTTTTAAAATTTTAAATACTGTTTTATCTATTGATAATATTAATCAAGATAAAATAAATGTAAACAAAAAAATGGAAAAAATTTTAAAGTATTTTTTCTATTTTAATGTATTTTTTATTTTAAATATTTTTATAGAGAAATTTTAGAAGTTTTTTAGGGCATTTAAATCTAGGAAATACTAATAAATATGCTGAGTCCACTATTAAAAAATTAGTTGTTTGTGATTTTGGTTTTAGCTTCATAAAAAAAACTAAAAAACATTGGATTAAGTATTTTAAAAAATGATTATTGAACCTCTACATAAAGTAGTTTCTGCTATATAATATCAAAAAGTAAATTTTTAAAAAAGGTAGACTTGGGGTACTTATGTAGCAAGACTGTTGAATTTTTATCTTAATAATAGTCAAAATATTCAACATATTTATGTGGTATAATGTATAGTATAAACAAATTTAATTTTTTTATCATAAGATAATTTATAAAAATTTAAAGGATTAAGAAGTAAAGATAATAACATATAAAATACTTTCAAATATAAAAATAAATGTACAAAACATTTAGATATTTGTAAAAAAAAATTTTTCAAAAGATTCTACCAAAAAATAATAAAAACATAAATTTTTAATAACCTTGTAAAGATGATTTTTCTAGTTCTTTTCTAACTTCATTGCGCCGTATTTGAGATAATGTTGTAGCACTAAACTAAAATAATAATAATTTTAAATGTTGAATACTAAATATTAAACCAAAATGTTTACTTCTTCAGGTAGAGCCATTAATATTTCTAAAATCATGATGCTGACATTTATTGTTGACTGAGATAATGAATTTTGAAATGTCTCCATCAACTGTGGAATAGCATTAGGCCAATGATTTGGAACAGTTCGTATTACATATGCGCATAGCTTAAAATAGAATAATGTAAATAAATTAATACTTAGTTTTAGTTAATTTTAGTTTAGCTTAAGTAAATAGAAGTATTACTTAAAACATAAACCTTTTGATAATTATTAATTTAAGTCTAACAACAAGTATTATATTATAAAACGATCAAATATTTTTTTATAGAATAGTAAATTTATATTATACGAGACAATATTCATTATATTTTATAATAAACCCAACAATGAGCTTTAATCCACATAAAATTATATTTATAAAATTTATAAGTATTGAATTTCAATAATATTTAATAAATTAATATAGTAAATAAAATATATTTTAATATATATTAAGAAAGTAGATTTTTTGTAGTATTATCAAAAATTTTTGATTTTTTAAGCACCCTCGGTATCTTTGTAAATGTTTGAATTTTCTAACAAAGTTGTTAATAATTATTTTATGAATTATCAATAACAATATATAAAAATTAATTGAGTAAATTTTTATTTAATTAAATGATTTTAACTGAAAACTATATTTTATTAGTATTACTTACACTATAACATAATTTATTGGTAATATTAGAAGGTCCAGTAGAATTATAATATTTTATAAGTGTATCCATTATTTTATCTCTAAGAAGAACATAATCTGTGCGCTTGAGTTGTAACCATTGTTTTGTAATTTTTATATGAAGTGTGGTAGCTCCAAAAAATTGAACTTCACGAGGCTAAAAGATTTTTAAATTATTATTACTTATATTATATGTTAAATTATGAAGTAACAGGAATAGACATACTTTAGATATTTCTAACATGTCCCATAGTAAATTCCAAGCATCAGTTGTATTTTGAAATTCCAATAACATCTTGTGTACTTCCACATTTTGGTTACAATAAAATTCAGCTAATGCACGCTCAATTATTTCAAGGGACATATTCGTCTACTTAAGTAAAATGATTATACAAGGATAAAAATTCGTTTTATTTCGCATGTATTGATCTAATACAGTTATATCTCTTGCTTATAATTACGCAAAAATCAACTTTTATTAAATATATGTATTACTTAGGTTTAAATTTTGGCTCGTAAGATCTAACATTAATTTATAACACACAAACCCTAATAAACGATAATCTGAGTTATATTATTATAATACAAACATAATAGTTTGTCAAATTTTAAAGATAATGATATGAGACATCCTATTGATATAGCGGCGGTGTGGTCACAAAATAGATAAGTTCTTATCTTTTCCGTGGTATGGTTACATGACAGTCGATGGTCGATGATCTTATCCACGGTTATATATACAGTATTTATAATCGTGATTTTATTCAAAGAAGTCTCATTAGGATGTATTCGAAAAGTATTTTGTCCTTATTACTATTATTTAAGTTACAATTTAGATAAATTCATGAAAAAATATTTCTTATGAATTATACTATAATTAATATTATGTAATTTGGTTAAGTACTGAGAATAGGCACCACTAGAATAAAATTTTTAGTAGTGATAAATTAATTTTCCTTTAACATTAAATTTTTTTATATAATAACAGATATAATTAATAATTAAAAATTTACCCTCGTATTTCCTTTCCGTGAGATCATTTATGTATTACATAATAAACAATACCAATGCTAAGTTCCGTACAAAAAAACAATAAGGTACCCTAAAAAGCTTCAAAAATACAGTCTTTATGTTAAAATTTCCAAAATAGTCCACATTGTCAAATTAAATTTATCAATTCTGATTAGTTAAATGTAACACAATATTTAAGTATTTATATTTTTCGCTGAAAAATTTATTTATGAATAAAGTTTACTTAATTAAACAGAAAAGATTAATATATTGTTAATGTGATAATTTTATAACGTTTATTAAAAAACGAAATAACTTAACAATTATTTATATCAAGTAATATTAATATTTAATAATTTTATAATTAATATTTATAAATTTAGTCAGGAAAGACTGGAATGGCAAGATATGTCATTGCACCTCTTAAGATTTTTTAGTGCTTCTTGAAAAGCATAGAAAAAAAGAGTTTTTTGTCTTAAGAATATTCTATTTAGTGCCAGCATTAAGTTTGTATGTTAAAAAAAAACCTTTTTAAAATATAGTAATAAGTTTAAAACGATAAAATAGACTGATGTAAATTTTAAAAGTTAATGTTTTAAACACGTCTTATGCACTCAGTTTTCAATTTTGCTTATCTTTAAATAAAAATAACCTGATGTTATATATAATTGGACGATACTACCTTCAAAAGTTGAAAAAATTCCCTAATTGTTATTCTAATGAAAATATTTCAAAAAGTTACATTAGTTATGACTTTTTTTTTTTTAATATTAAAAAAACATAACTTATTTTAAAAAACTACATATTAATGAAATTTTAAGGAAATATCTATTGATATATTTTTCTATATATTTAATTAAAAGCCCAAGAACAAAGTTGGTTTAAAATTTAATTTATAACTATATCGAATTTTTTTTTTTTTGATTTTGTTCTAAAAAGTTTGAACATAATGTCTGAGAAATCTAATTTAATATCTTTTCTCCTTAAAAATATTTCTATATAAATTTACATGTAATTTTCAATTTTTTTTTTGTGTGGAGTCAAAACCTCTTTTAGAACTTCCAGATCGCGCTGATGATCGAAGAGCATTTTGATAGTGATTTTAATCATTATTAGATTTCAATCTATCATGGTTTTAAATTTGTCTTCACTGTATCGGATCCCAACTATACTGGATTTGTGTTTACTTTTATTTTAATAATTTAGAAAATTATAATTAACTATTGAGAAATAAATGAGCTGCTAAATTTAAAAATTGAAAGTGGTCCTTTTTTTATATTTATAAAAGTATCGTAAGAGAGCCTCATTTACTGCGAAAGAATTCTATTCTTTATGACAGCTTTCTTTTCTAAAACAAGAAATCTCTTGATGTTAAAAAAAATTATTATGATGAATTAGTTGTCAAGTTAGGATTAAAAGTATAAAGCTATTTCTTTTATATTAAATTAGTTATAATTTATAACTATTTTAATAGTGAACATCAGAAATAGTTTTTAATTTGAACATTGAAATCTTAAAACTTGTGAGCTTTTGATGCTCAAATTTAAAAATACTAAGAAACTATGCCCCATATTTTCTTTATGTTTGTAGTGTAAACATTTAAATATTTTATGCTAGAAGTTCAGAATTTTCAATATATTTGTTATGGATACTGTTTACATAAGGCTAACTATTCATACAGAATACAGAATATTCTCTTTTGTTACTAGAGTAAGTATGAATAGTAAAAATTGTATTCGTACATTTATACAACAGAAAAGACCGTTGGTTGTTTGTGAAACGCATTGGTCGTCAGATGGCGCCCTCGATGTTACACTTTATCGACGTCGACAACGAAAGGGCCTGGCTGACTGGCGCGGGGGCGTCGTCGCGGCTGCCCAGAGTGAGGCCGCTAGGGGGGTGTGCGTGCACTGCGCCCGCGTACAGCTCGTGATGTCTGCTGCGTCGGTGTGGTCGACTGTTTTAGTGTGCTTGTGTGTACGTACATACAGCATTATTTGGTGAGTGTGTGTGTGTGTGTTGAGAGTAATGCGGTAGAGTATGTGTTTGTGTTTGCGAGTGTGACGCGCGCCATAATCCAACGACGGTGTCCCGCGTTCCCGTGGTGCACTGGTTGTGTGTTGGCCGTGCCGCAATGATGGAATACGGACCAGAAATAACGTGATCAGTTGAGGCCCCGGGGGCATTCGGTCGAACATTTTTTTTGTTTATTTTTAATGAGATAAATTTTTTTTCATTTTTGATTTACTACACGGATATTTAACGAAATCATCTGACGAGCACACGCGGCAGGCACGTCGTGCGGTATCGCGCCGGCGGTGACGACAATATTTGTGTCGCGCGTCGTTTACGCCATAAACAATGTAGTAATCGTGTGAATGCGTTTTGTATATGGTAGTAATTAAAATAACCGTCGGAATTTATAGTTTTTTGACTGTGGTGTGTGGTGCGGTGCAGGTGACGTGTTTGCCGACCGGGTTTCGGCACATATAGGAAATCTGGCTGGGACGGACGCGGCCGGGCGCCGGTGCGGGTGGCGGTGGGGAAGGCGGCGGTGGCGGCAGTGCTGCTCGCACAATGGCGGACTGCCGAGGGCACATATTCACCAAGAAAACCTTCCACCTACCAGCCTACTGTCACAATTGCACCAATTTACTATGGGGCGTCGTGACTCAAGGCAACTTTTGCACAGGTTTGTCTGTCCCCTACTCTTAAAGAAATTCAAATTTATTAAGCGATCGCAATCGCGATCGTGTTTAAGAGAAGTAAAATAGCACGTCTATGAACATTCAGATATCTCACAGGGTTTTCAATGTTCCCCTATACTTTATTTTGACTCGTATTTGTGTAATTAATTAATCTATTAACTAACGGACGACCCTTTTAATCTAATGTATTGCATAGAACTCGAGTTATGAGTGTTTTGCACTGGCTGAATAATAATATTGTTCTAAGTACATCATATAATATACAACCATATATTACGTAGTCTGTTGATGGACTAATTAACAAATCAGTAATGTAGATCATTTTTATTATAAAATGAACATTTAATTACTATAACATAACCTATTTAAATGTATTGGACTATTAAAGATCAAACATCAAATGATTGTAAATAAATACAGTCAAATTAAGAATATTAAATATATAATATAAATATTTTTTTTTCAACTCAGTTCCGAAAGACATAATTTTGTATAACTTCGATATATGATTAGGTTAAGTTTAAAAGCAAAAATGGATCGAAAATAATAATTTGTTATAATGTTTTTTATATTTTTTAAATGAAACGAACATTTCTTAGTAGTGTAAAAACAATATTTATAATTATCAATAATTTGATAAATAACTATAACTATAGATGTATTTTACCCTTCATTCTAGTTTATAAATATACGTTTTTTTTTATTTAGCTATCTAAACAAAAGAATTAGGTAAGAATTGTTCGTACACGGACTAAACCAAACAAAACATTTTGTACGAGAAGTCGAGGATGATGTAATTTTTTTTTTATATAAATATCAAGCCATTTGATATAGTAAATATGTTTATTGAGCAATAATTTTTTTGAAAAATTTATAATGTTTTAAATAATTATTAAAAAGCTTAATTTTATACATAAATACAAATCTAGAACAAAAAATTGAAAAATTACATTGGTATAAACATATTTTACTTAATCCATTATTAATAACTGTACTTGTGACGTGCGAATCAATTATAAAATAATAATACTTCTAAAATGCAGATGGTTCATGTAAAATTACCAAGGCCGTATTTGGTTATCTAATAATTATATTATTGAACGGCGTTTCGAGTATGCAAAACGAATACATTATAATTAGCCTATTTCAGCAAAAATATGGACTTAATACGTCGTTCAACTTTTACTGTTTATGTAATTTTATAGTATAAGAATATTAATCATATTTTCATCTATTACATAAATAACTATTTTTATTAAGACGTGTTATGTTTCCAACACTGTTAGCAAAGTACATCTCCGTGACGTCAAAGGCAGAAACTTGCTCGACCCGTATTCCCTAGCGTACTATAATCCCTTCGGGACTTGCCTCCCAACAATTTTATACTGTTATAAAACGCTCAGATGTATTATTATTTCATTCTTTCAAACGTAACATGATAATAATTTAGTAGATTGCAGTTAAAAAATCACGCATGGTAATAATTTTACTGCAGTAATATTAAAAGTTGAAATGTAAATCTTCAATCAAGAAATGATTAGAATTCAATAAAAATTAATGGAACTTGTATTAAAGTTTTTTTCTTATCGAGTCAACTGTTAATTTTATGCGTGGAACTAAGATAAAAAATGTCGTTACATAAAATATACTTATTATACATCAGTAAAATATATTGTTATAATAGAGTGATTAGACTAATTATATTTCTTATAAAAATTTTTAATAAAATCTTTAGGTACAAAACTATATATTAAAATTGGACAATAATCTTAGAACTCGCATTGTATAATTATTTATTATAATTAATATTAAATATATATAGGTTGTTAAGTAAGTAAGAAAACGGGTTTCTATTGTTCCCATTATTTGTAACAATTGACCTGTTTCCTTACTTACTGAACATCCTCTGTATATACATCATTTTGAAATCCAAATATTTAATAGACAACTTTAATATGTATATCAAAAAATAAATATATAGTAAATATTTTAATAAAAATTAATTCCTTAAATAATTTTACTCCAAACATAACCACGATTTAATATTTGCCTAAAAACTTTTATTTTCAATTTATTTAATTTAAATTTATTCAAAATATTTTTCAGTATGTAACTATATAGCTCACGAAAGTTGTCTAAAAAAATCTGGCATATCACCTTGCCATAGTTTAGCGGCTAGCTTAATTAAGGTTAGTATTAAAAACTTTTGATGTGCCGTCAAGTAGACCAACATGGGGTGGTGGTTAAACTTGGGACAGTTAAATATTTGATAGATTTCATCACTTAATTTTATTGATAAATATTTTGTGTTTCTTAACAATACCAGTAAATATTTAACTAGTGTTATAGATTGATAAAGCATAAATGATAATAAATATTTAATTACCCCAAGTTGGCACATTTGATGGTATTTTCTTACTTTTACAATAGTAGTAATAATTTTATTACAATAATTCATAATAGAATCCAGTATCACATTGTTGGTCTGAACCAGTAAGAAGTAAAAGCCAAAAATGTTGTAATGTTTGCCGGAAAAAACTTGATCATCGAACTTTTAGCAGTGTCACTTGTGAAAGTAAGCGCACTATAGGAGTAATTTATTGTTATTTTAAAGGAAGGGAAGCGCTAGGAGATTTAGCTAACTATCTCTCTAATTAATAAGAGCCCTTTTTAAGAATTTGTCAAAAAATTAAATGGAACGTTATTTTTTGTAGTCAAAAATACCTATAAGTTATAATAAAATGAAATGTATTTGTTTTTAATTTATCTAAGTGTAATTTAATGTAATCAAGGCCAAATTAAATGGAATTAGAGTAGTGAGTACCCTGATATCCATAGACTAAAGAAAGCTGTTTGAGTTATACTATCGTGCTAGCAATATATTTTAAAGAAAAATGACCATATTTTTTTTGCTCATTACTTTTTCGTGAAAGAGACATTTTTCTAAAAAAGGGGCACATTTTAAAGTACCATCCCAGGGCCCATATAATTCTTAATCTGGCCCTAAATGTGATGATGATTTATTAGGTAAAATATTTATCTAATATTAACTTTTTAACTATAAACTCTTACTAAAGGGGACATACCTTCCCTTACAGTGTGACATAAATTATACTTACGTTATAGTGACGATTTAATTAAAATTTTAGACCCGGAACCTTACAATCCGGGCTTATATTTATCATTATAAAATAAAAATACATAAAAATAGTAAATGTTTGTTATATTAGATAATCAGTTATCAACTTATGTAAAATATAACAAAAAAATACAACAGTCTTAACAATAAAAAGTTAAAAAAAAATTTTTTCCAGCAACTTGAATTATTTTTAGGAAGTTTATTTTATTTCATAATAACATTTTATTTAAACTATCCCTTCAATAGTAAACTATGGACAGTGTACGGTATTAATTATATTATCTACATTAATTTGTAGAAATGTCTATGGATATATAGAACATTCAAAATTATATAGAGAGTATAGTTCTTGAGTTTTTTTTGTTATTTGAAATTCTGATTTTATCATACCTCTCTTTGAAATTATTGCTTTTAGATAATTATTAGCCATGCACAATTATTTTATATTTTTATGTTTCCTATTATTATACTAATACTACTAATAATAAAAACGGCGCAAAAAAACATTGAGGATACAATTTATTATAATTTGTTCAATTCTTATATTTTATTCCAGTATGTCATTACTATGCTCATGTTGATTGTTTACCATCAGCTGTTGCTGATTGTAAAGAAACTGCTACTTACCATCCCGGTAAGTTGTTGGACTCTGTTCATCACGAACACCATTGGAGAGAAGGTAATCTTAGACCTGGAGCAGTGTGTTACGCTTGTGCCAAACCATGCTGGACTACCGATTGTCTGGCTGGATATCGTTGTGAATGGTGTGGAATAACGGTAAATCATTAACAAAAAATAAGAATTTTAAATTAAATTTTTAAGTGATTTTTAGTGTTAAAATGTTATTTTAAATAAAGATTTAAGATTTTAATACTATTTTATAGGCCCATGCAACGTGCCGCAGTCAAATACCTCTTGAATGTGACTTTGGAATTCTTGCTCCAATATACCTGCCACCTCATGCGGTTAGTATTCCACGAACAGAAGAACCTATGGAATCAATTATTGGCGTTCAAGTTCGAAGAAAAGAAAAAACAACTCGTAATAGTTTTAAAGTTTTATTAAACATAATTAAAAAAAATATTTAATTTAATTAATTTTTGATAGTTCGAAGTATATCCGTGGAATTTAGCAGTGGTGAGAGTAAGACTAAAGAGGTTGAAGATGAAGATGAAATGTATGAAGTAGAAAAAATTAAAGAGGATAAATGTGAAGGTATATCTGACATATCTAATATGACATAAATTATATATTTTCTGTTTTACAAAATTTATCTAAGATAAAAATATTATTCTTATAAAATTCATTTAACAGAATTAGTAAAAGTATATGATGGGGATGCTTCGTATCTCAAACATACCAGTTTCACGGTAAAAGTTCCAAAAGCAGTAACCACAGATATACTTATTTCTACAATACTTCAATCATTAAACATATGCCAATCTTCAGGTAACTATAAATGTAAACGTTATCAATGAAGCATAACGAGTGTTAATTACATTGATAGGACACGTTTTAATGTAAATTATAAAATTATTACTGCATTAAATTTAAAACGGTAGCACAGTGGGGACGTAGTATAGTTGGGTCCAGTATAGATGATATCTGACAGTGACTAAAATCACTATCATAAAAAAGGCTTCGATGCAAATCTGTAGATAGTCTTTAATTTTAAGAAATTGTTTGATTATTCTAAAAGCAAAATTAACTCCTATTTATATCATTATTCCTAATTAGTAGTTCTATAATTTTTAAGTATAATTTATGAATAAATATCTATTAAAGCAATTCAACGTAGTATGATATTAATATTTAATAATTTAGTATTATAATTTTTACGGAGAAATTATAAAAAGTAGTCATTACTTTAATGGCAAACGTGTATAAAAATTAAAGGGCTTGACACAGAAATTTTTAGATAATAATTTGTTGTTAATTATGAATAAATGGTCTCCAAAAAATTTTCATTAGAGTAAAAAAGATACTATTATTATTCAATTTTTCGTGCTAATTTCAAATAAGCAATTATACCAATCATTTTTTTATATTATTACTAATTAGTTAAAAATTATAGAATATAACTATAAGGAAAATAGTTCTGAATATTTCAATTGTATCAACTATTTAATCACCAAGAATTACATAGAAATTATTAATATTTCTTTTGAAATGATTTATAGCAACAAAAAAAATAATTAAAAACACAAAAAATTGTTTTGAAATTAATACAGATTTGCATTTTTAATATTTTAAAAATAATCGGTGAAAAATATCATCTTTAACCTATTTTTTTGGTATTTTAAAGTTGATTTTTTGAAAGTTTATAATAAAAAAAGGTGAATTTGTTACCATAACTTTGAGCTCAACTTCAAGTTTCAAATTTACTTTATTAAATAGAACATTTTATGAGAATAAAAAAATAGTATTGTTAAGATTAATATGTAGTCAGGAAATCGTATGACTATTTACTGTAAATTTATGAGAAAAACTCAATATTTTTTGGAATTTTTATTGTAATCACTTAAATAAAAAACATAGTAATTATTTCTAAGTAATTTATGGTTTTATAAAGTATTCTACAATTGAAATATTCAGAATATAATTAATTTTAATGATTTACTTTAACTAAAATTCAGGCGAAAATAAAAATCATTTTTTTTTAGTTTTATAATTTATATAGTAACATGTTACCAAAAAAATTGGAATATTATAGATTATTAGTAACACACAAATAAAGTTAAAAAATTAATATATTAAAAAGTAAAATTATTTAATTTTGTAGTTGAAATCTATCATATCAAACCTACTTCGACAATAAAATACTTTAAAAACATTAACAATAAATGATTTTAATTGTCTATATGGAGAATGTGAGCTTAGTAAATTTTTCATTGATAAAGTGGAAATTTTTTTAATTTTTGAGGGTAATATCTTTTATTAGATAATATTTGTGATCATTTGATGTATCGTTAAAAAAATTCGGTCAAGTGAGATCTGAGAAAATAAATGAAACCATAAAAATAATCGCATAGTAAAAAACTTTAATTTGAATAAGAAATTTCTTCAAACGAGGGGGGACTATAGTGATGGGATCCTTGATATTTATTAAAGTNTTATTGAATTTTGATTGAGTTATTGAGTTACTTGAAAAAGTTATTGAATCTAAATAAGATAAAAATTAAATAGTTTTGTATTTTAAAATAAAATACAAAATCAAAAATTTTAATACAAAATTAGTGTATGGTAGCCATTTTCACCCTAATGACAAAATGAAGTTCGAAAGTTTTTTTTTCATAATAAAGTATATATATAAAAGTGTCAGTATTTCCGGTACACTTTCAAAAGTTAAGTTGAAAAAGTTGTCATTTTGAATCCTCCCTGTGGGCAGGTAAAGGGTCAGTTTTATAAAAAAATATACAAAAAGGATAGGTAAGTACTTCACATATCGTTATAAAAAAATTATATTGATTTAGTCATTTTTAAAAAAATTATGGCAGTTTTTGAAAAAATTAAAAAATATCGAAAATTAGCGATTTTGAAATTTGTAATTTTTTTGGAGATTTCCCCCATTTACGGGGAACAAGGGAAAATTTTTCAATTTTTGAGGGTAATGACTTCGACTAGATACGATTTGTGATCTTTTGACGTATCGTTGAAAGAAATTGGTTCTATGAGAGCTGAGAAAAAGTGGTAACAGAGTAAAAAAACACATCATAGTAAAATTAATACCTTCTCAGCTTCGCATCGAAGCTAAAATAAAGTATATTGAAAAATTTAATAAAGCGAAAATTTTTTTTATAATTAGAACAAACACCTTATTTAAATTTTTTTATGTAACTTTTCTATTACATCACAGAGCACTAATAATGTGTTAGAAGTTTTACTTTAGAGAAATATTGTAGGACTTTTAGAGTCATTCACTTTAATGTCTCAAATATTTAATAAGGCTGCATAATTATTTTTTTATAACCTTCGACTTAAAGGTATTATAGCTAAACTATGAATATTAGAATAACAATTTAAGGAAAAAATAAAAATATATGAGGGTCATTTGTTTGATATCTTTATATGAAACATAAATAATTACTTATTACAAAATTATTAATATATTAATTTGATGTAAGTTTTTTTAAATAAAAAATAACGTTTTAAAAACTATTATTCTTAACATATAGTTACGACATTTACTATAGATTAAAAAATAATGTCCATCTCTATTTAATGATAGGACTGACGGAAGGTAATTGGAACTAATATATTTGTCTAGCGCTCCACAAACACAAATAAAAAGTTAAACAATTATTATTTTTAATTTAAAACATTATAAAGGGCTTTATTAAATCTGTCACTAGGTTATAATATAATAATTTGTATACAAGTCGTATAATACGAAAACTAATTTTTATATATTATTTAATAGTATTTTTTTTTTACTTATATTTAGATAATTTTTATTTGACTGATGTGTACGGTTTAAACGAGCCCATATTGGAGGATCCAAATCCTATAGCTAATGTTACTAGGTTAGGAGGCAAAAAACCAGCGATATTTTTGCGTTTAAAGTGAGTAGATTGGTAAAATTTTCTTAAATAATATTATTTTCATATAATTGGTATAAACATAACATACTTGTATTTTTGGAAATTATTCACAAATCTTTAATTCTTTTAGCGTAAATCTTAAATTTTTTTTCAAAGTTTAAGATAATAACTTATAAATTTCAAACTTAAAAATTTTGCTTTAGACAAGATAGCCATGGGGGACTTGTTAGAGTGTACCCTGGTCGCTTACAAACTGATAAACCATTCTGCGTAGTTAATGTCGACCGGCAAACTACAGCAAAAGATCTGATTGTCGAGTCATTAGCTCGATTTGGTTTCACTTCTCATAGTTCAACCGACTACCGTCTAAGTCAAGTGTTATTAGAACACGGGGGTAAGTACAGATTGTCTAATTAATTTAGATATAGTTTAATTAACATTATTGTTTAACCTGTCAGTAACGGAACGTGTGCTGGGTTATGATGAAAAGCCTTTAGACATACTAAAAAATATTGGCCAAGAATCTCTCAGACAAATGGAATTAATGCGATTTTATTTGCAACTTAAACAGGATCCACATGGACCTAATATTGCCCTGTTCATTGGTAATTTGCCTACAAATTTGTCTCAACGCACATATGAAACAATTTTAATGACATTTTTGGGTGAAGGTTTGTATAACAAATAAATATTAATCATACATCAATGCAAAAGGTTTTAAATACTTCTTTTTAGATCGTCGGTTTATTTCTATTGGACCTATATATTATGAATATGGATCAATGGTAATAACATATAATGACACGGACGTAGCCGTTAGTGCCATGTATGCTCTTAGAGACTCTGTTTATGAAGATAAACATTTATTAGTCATGTTATTGCCAAATATTGATCCGAAAATGGTACCAGACGAAACTCAACCATTATTAGTTTTTGTTAATGTTAAATCAGGAGGTTGTCAAGGATTAAGTTTAATATCTAGTTTCCGTAAATTACTAAACCCATATCAAGTATTCGACCTCGAAAATGGAGGGCCTTTACCAGGGTAACTATTTTAAATAGTTATCTAATACTTATTAATCACTGAGTTAATTTTTCGTAGATTGTACGTCTTCAGACATATTAGGGATTATAAAATATTAGTATGCGGAGGTGATGGAACTATTGGATGGGTACTTCAATGCTTAGACAATGTAGGTCAAGATAGTGAATGTTCCTCGCCTCCATGTGCCATTGTTCCATTGGGAACTGGTAATGATCTTGCTAGAGTATTAAAATGGGGTGCTGGCTATAATGGATCTGATGAACCCATTCATTTATTGGAAGATGTTATCGATGCAGAAAAAATCAGACTGGATCGTTGGACTGTTGTAATTCATCATGAAGACAGAACTGATGATCGGCCAATACCAGTGCCTAATTCAGTTGGTTAGAAAATTTAATTATTAATTATTTCTACTTCTTTTTGAGAGGGTAGGAGAAGAGAATAATTAGGTTTAAAAATCTACAAATATATATAAAATAATAATTTATTATCTATTATCTTAAATTCTTAATTTTTAGGAATGAATGAAGATAACACCCAAATTTTTGTAATGAATAACTATTTCGGTATTGGAATTGACGCTGATCTCTGTCTCGCATTTCACAAAGCTCGTGAAAAGAACCCAGAAAGATTTAATAGTCGGTAGGGTTTATTGATAGATAGTTATGCAAATATTAATCTATAGCTAATATATTGTATTAGTACAATTTTAATTTTAAGTTTGTTTTGTAGAATTGGTAATAAAATTGAATACTTCAACGTTGGATTACGTAAAATTATTCATCCTCCTTGTAAGAATCTTCAGCACGGAGTACGTCTCGAAGTTGATGGAAAATTAGTAGAACTTCCTCAACTTGAAGGGTTAATTATATTAAACATCTTAAGGTGCGTAATTAATTATTGCTAAAATAGTTTAAATCAAATTTTATAATCACAAAATTTGTTTAATTATTGTTATATTATGTTGTGTTGTTTATATGAAAGACAACATCAAATAGTTAAACAGAAAATAAGTCTTTATTGAGAAACAATATAATTGTTAATGGTTGTGTGTCATTGATCGCGCTCGCGAGTAGTGGACAATCCCCACTACTAATTTATATAATATTTATCAATACGTAACACCTCTTTCCTTATAAAATTATAATACACTTATATTTTAAATATTTATTAACATATAAATAAATGTTGAAATTTGATGAGAGAGTAAGATTTAGTTTTTAGTTTACTGTTTATAACCAGATAGATATTCTTTCATATAGACAGAGATGTTTACATAGTGTAAAATTATTTGTTGTCATTTGTAGTCGGATGGAGAGAAACGCTGAATAGGTTTTTTTAATTCTAACAGGTCGGGGAGATTTATTGCAGAGCGGTATGATTGATTCTGTGTGGTCATTGTTGTCTATGTTAGTATTTTCACCTACGGGGGATAACGAACCGCTTGTTTTGTTTAATAGCCTAATTTGGTCGTCGTGTCTTGTCCACGTGGGACCTTTATCTAATGTAACTTTGTGTGTTTTGTCACTTATGTTTTCAGTGACAGTAGCTTTTTGCTAGTTTTCTCCTGTGTTTCTATAATCTTTTACTAGTACACAATCACCCTCTTTTACGTTTATTTTTCTATTCCCCCCATATTTTATTTGAGAAATTTAACTGTGTACTACTACTTCATTAGTGCTGGGTATTAGCAAATCAAATATTGTTCTAGTAGAATGCCCTAACATTAACTTAGCTGGCGTCTCGTGTGTTGTTGTGTGTGGTGTGTTTCTATGCATCAGCAAAAATTTGTTTAACTGGTTTAAAGAGAACGAGCTTTTTTTTAAGAATTGTTTAACGATTTTGACACCAGATTCAGCGCAACCATTTGACGCAGGATGGAATGGTACTCCCATTAAATGTCTAATACCTAATTTTTTACAGTAGTTTTCGAATTCAATGCCACTGAAACATTTCGCACCGTCAGTTGTTATTGTACGCGGAATTCCAATACGAGCGATCAGCTCTGAAAATTTCGTAATAACTGTTTGCGCAGTCATGAAGTTAACCGGAAATGCCTCTAACCATTTTGAAGATGCGTTTACGAATATCAAAAAAAATTTATTTCTGTGCGGCCCTAAATAATCACAATGCACTCTAGTTCATGGCCTTTGTGGCCATCTCCACGGAGGAATTGTTGATTTTGGTGGATTTAGCCTAACGTTTGTACATTCATAACAATCACGAACCATATTTTCAATGTCCTTGTCAATTGTTGGCCACCAAAAATATGATCGTGCTAAGCCTTTCATACTGGTCATACCTATGTGACACGAGTGTAATTCCGCTAGGATATTTTTTTGAAATTTTTGTGGAATTATAATACGATAACCCTACAATAAACACCCTTGTTCCAAAGTTATTTCATTTTTGCGAGTGACATACGGTTTTAAATCGTTGTTAAGTGTAAAATCGTCACTCAATTCGGTATGAGGTGCGCACAATGGACCAACAGGTCTGAGTGCATGGCCATTATGTCCACCTCAATATTAACTAAAACTAAAAAAACTAAAAATCGTCACTCCATTCACCTGTTTTTGTCGCATGTAGGACTCTAGACGTAATTTGATCTCTATTTATTTCAATTTTAATTTTGGACCAGTTTAATAGGAACGGTGAATTTTCATGAATAAAATTTAAATGAATGCTGTCTTCATCGTCCACGTAAATGCTATTAGGATAGTCGATTTTAATTCTCGAAAGAAAATCGGCTATATTTTTTCCCGAATTAATTTACTTAATGTCAAAGTCGAATGATGATAAAACATATGCCCATCGTTGTAAACGATTTGCTGCGTAAATCGGAATACTCTTTTTATCTCCGAATATTTGTATCAATGGTTTATGATCACTAATTAAAGTAATTTTTTTTGCATAGAGAAAATCATAGAATTTTTGAATACCAAATATTATAGCTAGTCCTTCTTTTTCTATTTGTGGAAACTTACACTCAGCATCAGATAGTATTCGTGAAGCAAANACACTCGGCATCAGATAGTATTCGTGAAGCAAAAGCTACTGGTTTTTCAGAATTATCAGGGTACACATGTGATAAAACTGCACCTAGTGCATACGAAGAAGAGTCAACTATTAGTTTAAGTGGTAATTTTGGTAATCAAAATGTGCTAATGAGGGCCTTGAGATAAGGATTTGTTTAATTTTTTTATATGCATCGTCACAATTTGATGACCAGTGTCATTTTATGTCATTTCGTAGGAGCGTGTATAACGGTTTTAATATTTCAGCTGCGTTTGGAATAAATTTCATGTAATACGTTACTAAGCCTAAAAACGATTTTAATGTCGATTTGTTTTCCGGAACAGCCGCGTTTTGGATTGCATCGATGTGTTTTGTTAAAGTGTGTAAACCTTTTTCATCTATTCTATGACCCAGATATTCAATTGATTTTTGTAAAAACTTACATTTCTTTAACTTTACCCTCAAACCACAATTATGCAAAACATTCAATAATTTACCTAATCTTATGTTGTGTTTCTGAATTGTACTACCCGCTACTATTATGTCATCTTGGAATACCCCAATACCATTAATTCCTGCTGTGGAAATTTCCATAGCTTTTTGGAATTCGCCCGCTGACGATTTTATTCCAAATGGACTTATAGTATAACAGAAAAGACCTTTGTGTGTACTTATTGTGGTGTACTTGCGATCCGATTCTTTGATAACCATTTGTTGGTAAGCGTCTTTGAGATCTATTTTCGAAAAATATTTGGAGCCACTTATATTTGCATATATGTGTTCAATTTTGGGCAGGGGATATTCTGTACCTTTTAACACAGGATTGATCGTAATTTTAAAATCACCACAGATTCTAACTGTACCGTCGGATTTTAGTATTGGAACTATTGGTGTGGCCCATTCACTATAATTAAGCGGAACAAGTATTTTGTTTTTAACTAAACGATCGATTTCCGTTTCTACTTTATTTTTAAGAGCTAGAGGAATTGATCTTGGCTTAAAAAATTTTGGAAACGAATCCTTTTTTATATTGAGTGAAATTTCATATTTGTTAAAAGTTCCTATTTCATCTTTAAATAAATCCTCGTATGAGTTTAATATATTATTCAGATTATTATCTATTTCCACATTATTATAAATGGGTGAATAATACCACCTTTTTCTATCACGTNTTATTTTGTTTAAGTCGTTTCTGCTTATCAGTGGAGGCCCGCCTTTTTCTATCACGTATATGCACATTTTAAATTCTTTTTCTAAATATTTCGCATTTACTTCTATTTTACCTATTGGATTTATGTTGTTTCCAACATAATCAGAGAGGGAAATGTCATTGTTTAACATTGTGATATTACTGAAAAGCGCAGAATACATTTTATTTGAAATTATACTATGTGAAGATCCTGTGTCTATTTCAAACTTAACATCTACATTCTCTATTAATAAATTAGTTGTAAATGGTTTGATTCTATTTTGTGAATTAGTTTCTATCAAATTAAAAAATGTATCAGACAAGTTGTATGCAACTGCCTGATCGTCTACTGTTTCATTAGAATTTTCAGTTAAAAATTTAGCGAATGAACGGTTATCATAGTTTTGCTTAAAACTCTTACCATTTTTGCACATAGGGGCCAAATGACCTTTTGAATTGCATATGTTGCAGCTGTAATCCTTGTATCGACAGTTTCTTTGTAAATGGTTTGAGCATACTCCACACTTTAGTTTATCCGATGGTTGACGATTGACTTGTTTATTTGGGTGAAGTTGCTTTTGATAGTTAAGTTCCGATTCATTTTGTTTCCAAGTATTTTTTTCCCTTATGGTAGCTTCCTTAATAGTCGCAATGTCCATTAGATTCGCATACGTGGATTTTAGATCAGATGCGTCTTCTTCTATTAGTCGGTCTTGTATTTTTCCGGGACTCATTCCTACAACGAATATATCTCGTATAACAGTGGTTAATTCTGACGAGAATTTGCACTTCGATCCAAGATTTTTGACACGAGCACTCCATTCTGCCATCGTTTCATCAGTACGTTGTTTTGCCAGGTAAAATGTATGTCTAGCTGCGAAGTATGATTTAACCGGCTTGTAATATTGATTTAGGAGCTTTAACAATGTGCTGTATGTTTGAGTGTCTGGTGTGCTAGGTACACATAAGCTATATAAAATTTTATGAATTTCTTCACTGACAGACGATAGCAATATTCCATTCGCCAAAAAGAAATTTGTCAATTTTGACTCGAAAATGGTAACATCCATTCCCGGTTCAAATATACCCAGAGTACCAATAACTTGATTGAAACTCATCGTTGGTTTCGTATCATTCATTTTTGTTCAATATGACAATTTTCACTGCACTTTTTTTTTTTTTTTTATAAAAATTTATGATTTCTATATAATAGTTAATAAAATCACTTCTTTAGATAGTATGATCTAAGAAACGTTTTCCTCGTCGCCAATTTGTTGTGTTGTTTATTTGAAAGACAACATCAAATAGTTAAACAGAAAATAAGTCTTTATTGAGAAACAATATAATTGTTAATGGTTGTGTGTCATTGATCGCGCTCACGAGTAGTGGACAATCCCCACTACTAATTTATATAATATTTATCAATACGTAACATATTAAATAAAACAATAAATTAATTGAGTTTAATTATTTTGTTGAATTCATTTTTTTATATATATAGTTGGGGATCTGGGGCCAAACCTTGGGGAAGAAATAGCAATGAAGAACAATTTTCAACTCCAAATCATTGGGATGGAATGTTAGAAGTAGTAGCTGTTTCAGGTGTTATTCATTTAGGGCAGATACAGACAGGTCTTAGATATGCTAAACGAATAGCTCAGGTATTGTAATGAAATGTTATTTTTTTAATTAGACAGAAAAAAATAATTGTTTACAAATATTTTTATTAAGGGTGGACATGTCAAAATTAATTTAACCAATGAAGTTCCCGTACAAATTGATGGCGAACCATGGGTTCAAGGACCTGGTGAATTAGTTATCCTAAAATCAGCTTTAAAAGTAATTAAGATCGATAAATAATTATTTTACCCTACATAAATATTATGAATATTATATTTTTGTAGGCTACTATGTTGAAAAAAGTAAAGCGCACCGAGCGCAAACAAAATTCTCGCACAAGAGCTGCAAAATATATGGCCAGTCTACAAGCACTACCATCTGTTAATGGAAGTGAAAATGATTAAACATTTGTTGACCTATTCCATTAAAATATTTAAATGCTAAAAAAATGGATAGCTGGTTATAAAATATGATATCTGTGTTATTATTGCATTTGAATTCAATATTGATCATTATTATTAGGAAGTAAGATTAAGAAAAAACCCGTTTAATGTAGAATAAAAATAAAAATTAGCGTAGAAGCTCCAATGCTCTATTTACATAAAAAATTCTGATTCTTGCTTATTAATTCATTTTAATATTGCAAGTATTTTGATGTACTTAAATATCGAAATAATAAAAGAAAAGTATAGATCTGACAATTATCAAAGTATATTTATGTATGTATATGTGCACACAGTGAGGTGTCCATACCAATTGCTCTTAGACTTTTATTATTGCTTAATAATATTATTATTCATTATTATTATATTATTGGTTTAACTTCTTACAATCCCAACATTATTGATGATGCAATTGTTTTCGGGGCTCAGTTCGTTGTGTCCATTTTCGAGTGGCCATAATGAATCACAAGCAATTGTGCCATTGATTATTATAATGATTTGTTGGCGATTTCTTTTTTGGTTCAAGTTTGTAAAAATAAAAACAATTGACGGCGATTTAACTATAGAATATTGATTTTATTTTTTATTGATTTTCATTGTGTTATTATAAAATTTTGATTATTGTGATTAAATGAATCCCTGATAATTTAATGTTGGTTTTTTTTTTTATCTTAAATTATTCCATCCTAAACTTCTACTTTTTAATTAGTTTTACACTTATAAAAACACAAGTAAAAGAAGATTGAGGGTTATCAGCATTCAATTTAGAAAAAGCTTTACCTGCAACTATGAAAATAAAAATAATGAAGTGTCGTTGACTTAGTTTTAACTCCTCTCTATAAATCATTATCTACTCTTCTGTTAACTTATCTAGATATAGTCAAACGGAAAGGATTGGCGAAAGTATCACCATAATTATAAATAGAAAACATATTTTAATTTATAAAAATGAGAATGGTGGAAATTTACAGATAATTTAAAAAATACATAGACTTTAATGTGTTGAAATTTTCAGAATCGCTCACACTGACAATTTCAATTCGTCTATTCTGAATAGGCAAGTTTAACATAATATTTAAGTATTTATATTTTTAGTTGAAAAATTTATTTATGGGCAAAGTTTTACTTAATTAAACGGAATATATTAGTATATTGTTATTATGGTAATTTGTGCCATTGTGCCGGTACTAACTCCATTAAAATTTCATAAGAACTAGTCTATTTTTTGAATAATTATAAAAAAATAAATAATTTTTACACAAATTTTGCAATTTTTGGCTTTCAAATCATATGACTTAGTGAAAAAAATTTGTGAGAACATTTTTTCTCTTTTTAATCATAAGATTCAAAGAGTACAGACGTATTGAAATAATTACTAAAGAAAAAACTAGTTCATGCAATTTAAATTTGAGTTTTTAGTTAGTATAAAATAATTTCTGCGGCAACTTAAAAAATTCTCTAAACGTGAGGAGTTGTTTGTGAAGCATAGCTTTGTACGGTTTACATAAAGGATACATAATATTTATTGGCGTTTATTTATAGACTTCTTTCAAGTGATTAATGATATTAATATAAAGTTTTTAATTTTTTTAAGGCAAGATATTATGTAATAGATGCATAAATTTATATTATGCTGCAATTAAGAGAGTATGGCAGCCTTGTATTTAGAATTTTTTTCAGTTGACTAAAAAAATTTTTTTATACAATTTGAAATTTATTATTTATGCTTTTAATCCTCCTAGAATTACCATTTTTAGTAAAATATTAGTCAATTATATTAATTTCATGAGAACTATGATTAAATTTTTTTGATTTTATTTGATATTATTTAAGTTAACTTTTAAAAATGATTAGGTTTTTAGACTAAACTAAGAGTAAGGTTTTAAGTTAAAATTTTTTCTAAACTTGTTTAATGTATAAATTAATTGATATATAAAAAATTAAAATAACTTGTATTTTATGATAAATTATTATAAAATTAAATAAAAAATACATCTTGAAATTATTAGTATAAAAAAAAACCCCAGTATAGTGGGGTCGTGGCATAGTTGAGTCCAGTATAGATGATATCTGACAGTGATTAAAATCACTATCCTAAAAAACGCTTCGATGCAAATCTGTAGATAGTGTTTAATTAAATAAAAAAAAAATTGTCAAAAAAGTAGGTCAAGTGAGAGCTGAGAAAATAAATGATAGCTACAAAAAGAAACCACATAGTAAAATAATATTTATAATGAATTTCTTCTCACGAGAGGAGACTACAGTAATGGGATCCTTGATATTTATTGAAGTTATTGAATCTCAACGAGTTAAAAATCAAATGAGTTAAACATTTTATTCTAACTCAAAAAGAATTAAGAAAAAATTCAGTGCCACAGGCATGAAAAACCCAAGTCTTACCGTCTCAGAAACCGTTATTCTCATTCGTCACTTAATAAAAATAGAAATTTAGCTAGTTCAAATTTTAAAGTTATTTTTCTCGACTTCAAAGAAACAAAAAAATTTAAATATGTTTAATTTTTTATACTATGTCAATTAGATTGATATAATATTTATGAAAATCAGTGTAATCCCCTTATAATAAGATAAAATACAAAACCAAGAACTATAACACAAAAATAGCTTATTTTTGAATACGGTAGCTATTTTCATCATAAAGTCAAAATAAAGTCCAAAATTTTTTTTTTAATATTAAAGTATATTACATAAGCTTTAATTTAAGATATATATAAAAATGTCAGTATTTCCGGAACACTTACAAAAATTAAGTTGAAAAAGTTGTACTTTCTCTGTGCATTTATATATTTTGAACCCCCCTGTAATAAGGGAAATGGTCCATTTTAAAAAAAAAGTATGTCGAATGAAAGAAGTATATAAATATTATATTTTATAAAAAAATTGTATTGATCCATACATTTTTCAAAGAGTTATAGCGTTATAAAGTTTTAAAAAAACCCAGCACAGAGGGGTCGTGGCACAGTGGTGACGTGGCATAGTTGGATCAAGTATAATGATATCTGACAGTGATTAAAATCACTATAAAAAAAAAAAACGCTTCGATGCAAATCTTTAGATAATATTTAATTTAAAAAAATTGGTGGATTATTCCAAAAGCTACATGATCTGCTAGTTCCTTATTAATATCCTGATTAAATAAAGTATGTCGAATGAAAAAGGAATTATTAAAAAATATTATTTCTCATAAAAAAATTATGTTGATCCATACATTTTTCAAAGAGTTATAGCGTTATAAAGTTAAAAATGTAAAAAATAAAATCTAGAATTTTCACACAATAATAGCATTTGGTAGCCATTTTCATCATGAAGATAAAATAAAGTCCGAAATTTTTTTTTTTATGATAAAGTATATTACATTAGCTTTAATTTAAGATATATATAAAAGTGTCAGACGTTCCAGAACATTTTCAAAAGTCATGTTAAAAAATTAATTTTTTGTGAAAAAGTTGTCATTTTAAATCCCTCCCTGTGGGCAGGTAAAGGGTCAGTTTTATAAAAAATTATACAAAAAAGATAGGTAAGTACTTCACATATCGCTATAAATAAATTATATTGATTTGTTCATTTTTGAAAAAGTTATGGCAGTTTTAAGTAAAGAAAATTGAAAAAATTTCGAAAATTAGCGATTTTGAAATTTGTAATTTTTTTGGAGATTTCCCCCATTTACGGGGAACAAGGGAAAATTTTTCAATTTTTGAGGGTAATGACTTCGACTAGATACGATTTGTGATCTTTTGACGTATCGTTGAAAGAAATCGGTTCGGTGATAGCTGAGAAAAAGTGGTACCAGACATAAAAAAAAAAATAAAAAAAAAACACATCATCGTAAAATTAATACCTTCTCAGCTTCGCATCGAAGTTAAAAGTAAAGTATTTACTATAAATTATAATAAATGATAAGGTAGTTAAATTGTGAAACTAGCGCTCAATATATAAGAAATAATGCCAGTAATCACGGGAATATACTGAGAATTTAGTACAACAGAGGGGACGAAATTAGAAATTTCATTGGATTTTAAAAATTTTATAAGCTGGCATCTACTAGACGCCAAGGAGGAGCAATTCAATAAATAGCGGAGGAAGTCTATAACGACTTCTTCCTCATGTAAATGGAAAAAGAGAGCAGAGTTCAGGTTTAATTTGTAAATGAATGCTGGTAAAAGGTTATGACCCAGTTGAGTTGTGAAAAGCTAGAAATGATATTGTGAATAAGATTTTTTGATGGAACCACGGAACTTTGGAAGGGCTAAGTACGATGGACTGATGCCATCTGGCAAAGCTGTTAGAAAAAGAAGACTACTTGGTGAGCCGTGCTTCTATCAGTGTATATTTAAATTAATGCAAAGCATCAGAATAAGGGAGAAGAGGAACCAAAGGCTATCTAAGCGCAAATAATAGAGTTTAAAATGAATAAAAGGGAAGAGGGATGGTATCCCATGATGTCCCTATAATACAATGAAAAAAATTAGACCAGCACGATGTAAAGGAAAAAAGGAACCCATCTTAACTTAATGTCTAAGTTAAGTCTTAGGTAAGTAACAGTATTAGAGAGGGGGGGGCATTAAATGACGATCTAGAGTGAAAATGGTGATAGAGAGAGATATATGTTTTCTAGTAAAAATGATTAATTGAATCATTTAACGAGCTAGTGTTAAGTAAGAGAGGAGATTTTTGTAGAATATGGACAAGGGAGTCGTAGAAAATAGCCACAGCGTGATTAAGTGATTTATCAGAAGAAAAGAGGACAATAACATCTGCATAAAAGAGGGAGGAGAAACCGTAAGATATTACTGATAGTGCACATATATATATTGAAAAGAATGGGACTAAAACAACTCTCTTGTGAAAACCTACAAAAAGGAGAACGAGAAATAGAGTTTCCTAGAAACGGAGGAGAAATATAGGAAGCGATGAGAAAAAAGTGTATTAATGAAATTACAAAGAGAAGAAGGTAGTTCAATGGTGTTTAATATAGCTATAATTAAACATATTAATATTAATCGTTTATTATTATTATTTATAACTTATAAGCATAAATAATTTGTGAAAGGTCGTGTAAATGAGCAAAATGACTTGCGCGCATCCTGATAACAGCTTAAAATGCAAACTTTTAAGTGCTATAACTTTTTAACTAATTTTGACCAACATATTGTTTTTGCATATTCATAATTAGTATAAACCTTCTGTGTACTTTGGACCTTTTTAACACGCTTATATTAGTTTCACTTGTATGTTGTGTGTTTGTTTGTAAATTTCCACCAGCCACGTGTTATTACACTCCCGTACCCCGTCGTCTATGGCCTTGAGACTAGACGTCGTAACGCATTTACTGCTCACCACTCGCCTATAACAATATTTTCCTGTAATATTTTATTTTTGGTTTTCGTATCCGTACACGCGTGCCTGTCATTAATTATATATAAACAAATTTTTATTTTGACTGACCAATACCGCCCGCGTCTAATGCACCTTACGTATATATATTTATATATTCCTACCGCCGCTGACGCCGTTTATACTTTAGGTATAACGTTCCCCCCGCCCACAAAACAAGGCTATAGCTAGTGCATGATACGTTTATGTACTTATGTCGCCTTACTATATATATATATATACAGAGGTGTCGTGGAGCGTATACGCGGGTATACGGCGTATACGCACTTCTTTGTTTTTCTGTTATTGCGTATACTTATAAAATCATGAGTGATACGCGGGTATACGGCGTATATCCACTGTTAGTTTTTTTATTAGTGCATATACGTATTTATAAAATAGTTAAAGAGTATAGACTAAAGAATAAAATAAAAAGTANAAGTGCCCGACGCTTTTATCACAATAATACTAATATTTTTTGTTCATAATTATTTTTAACTTTTTAGTTCGATGTGCTTTAAAAGCGTGTTTTTTAGTTTTTTTTAACTATATTTATTACTCTAACGTAGCAAAGTAATTATTAAAAGTATCATGAATATGGCTAGCCTGATCTTCCATCTACAAGTGGTCATCATGTTGATAACGTTGAATAGTATTTACTGGTTCCAAACAAAACAATTCTAAATACCCAGACATTGAATAATTAATCAGTTACTTGATTCATAATGTTTTGTTATGACTCCACCCAATTAAATTTAAAAAATTCCAGTTGGGATTTTCATACCGAATCTCTTAAGTAGCATTTAATTTGAAAGATATTTTATTATTTTTTATAGTTACTTGTGTATTTATTACTTTAGGTTTTATTATTAAAGTCGAAATGTTCGTATAAATTAATTTTAAAATGTATAAATTCTTTTTATTATTGTTCGTGGTTATCCTAAGAACTGATGGTCAGCATGAATGGCAACCAAAAGATGCAGTCGACGAAATTCGTTTACGCTTGGACAAGATTAATGCAGATAATTGTGGTATCCAGCCTTTGAGTGAAGTTTATTTACCTGAAGACACTGTATCACATTTACCTGATATTAAAGATGTAGCAATTAATCCTGTGTTTCCCAATCGTACTGCTTTATTGCACCTTAGCAATATGGCTTTAAATAGAGGCTTTTTTTTTAGTTATATTTCTCAAGCCAGGTTTATACGACCAGCAATCAATGATACTTATGACCCTGGAATGATGTATTATTTTCTTTCAACAGTTGCTGATGTTTCGGCAAACTCCCATATTAACGCTAGTGCTATATATTTTGCTCCTAATATGTCATATTCTCCATCTTATAGAGGATTTTTTAATAAGACCTTCCCTTATTTTGCTCCAAGAACTTTTAGGTAATATTTCAATTGTTTATAAATTATTTGAAAATTTGCATATATGTTTTCTTTTTAAAATATTAAATTTAATAATTATTGTAGAGCTGATGACTTTAACGATCCTATTCATCTTGAAAAGATTTCAACCTTAAATACATTTACAGTCAAAGATTTGGGTGCATTTTCAAATGAGAGTCTTACACAAGATTACACTTCTAAACATTATGGAATAAATGAATGGTAAATTAAATTAAATACTCTGAAATTATTTTGTATTTAATATTCAATGATTTATATTAGGTATTCAAAATGGCTTCCAGATAATGTAGTTGGTCGTCATGATACTAAAACTACCTATCAAGTTGAAATAAGGTATGCTAATAATACAAATGAAACTCATACATTCCATGGTCCTCCAGGTAATTATTTTTATGTAAAATGAGAAAAATAGTAGTTAAGACACTATTCATATTATTTTTATCAAATTTTAAATTTATAAAACAAGATAATTTTTTTAATAATTACAAATATAATTTGTAAAAATTATTAATATATATTTTTTTATCTATTTTCTTACCAATTTTGATTTTTAATGATTTTATTATTTTAAATTGTAACTATGTAGTCAGTATTTATGATTAAGTAAACAAATAAAAAATACTATTTTATTAACTACAAATCATAAAATTTAATATATAAATAATTAATAGGGGCTGATGATATACCGGGTCCTATCAAATGGACTAGACCTTATTTTGATTGTGGACGAAGTAATAAGTGGCTCGTTGCAGCTGTTGTACCTATTGCTGATATTTATCCCAGACATACAGGATTTAGACATGTTGAATACCCAACGTAAATTTAAGAATTTCTTAATAAATAAATCTATACTTTTATTACAATGTATACATTTTAAATTATTTATATAGTTACACTGCAGTATCAGTTGTTGAAATGGAATTTGAAAGAATAGATATAAATCAATGTCCAATAAGTGCAGGAAATCTTGGTTCCAATAGATTTGCAGATACAGCAAGATGCAGAAAGGACACAACATTAGTAAGTTTTGACATTTAATGTCTCGTCCAAAATATGTTTATTTTTAGATAATTTTTTATATATATATTATAGTGTGAACCATTAGATGGTTGGGGATTTAGACGTGGTGGCTATCAATGTCGTTGTTTGCCACGTTATAGATTAGATAAATCAGTTCGCCGCCCTTTTCTTGGAGAAATCATAGAACGTGCAACTTTAGAACAGTACTACAGTGGGGTTTTTGACTGTAGTAAAGTTGGATGTAAGTTAATATATTAAATTATTTATTAAATTTAAAACTAAGTTATTTAAACAAACATTGAAATTGTTACTCTATAATTATTTTTATTAAATAAGTTATATTATCAACCTGTAATTAATGTTTAAACTATATTTTATGTAAATATTTTAAATTGTATTGATTGACTATAAAAAAACATAATTTTAACTTCTAGGGTTACACCAAAAAATTGTTTATCCAAGTCAACTTGATGCAAATCTTCGTGAGCAATATTTAGAAAAAAATTTTGAATATAAAAATTTCACTCCAGGCTTAGGATCAACTAAAGATCCTCATATTAATATTCATGAAGTTATAAATTCTATAAGAAGTGTTAATCCTAGTAATTGCCATGAGTGAGGAAATTGATTTATTCTTTTTAATATTAGTGATACATTATTTAAATTAATTTTTTTTTTTTTTTGTAATTAAGGTTCCGAAAAGAAGATTTAGAACTCTTAGGTGATTATGGTTTTGGAGCAGATCAACAATATTCTAACCAAGCTAAAATGGCTGTACGACTTGCAAATTTTATTAGTGCCTTTTTACAAGTAAGAAAGCTAAAAACTATATATATAAGGTGTTTCACCAAGTTTTGACATCTTTAATAATTTCTATTTGCTTTTTTTATTTAAGACGAATAATGAAAAATATGCTTTTAACATAGTCCAAATATTAAAAGTATTTAATCTAAGCTTAAAGATGTCAAAACCTGATGGAACACTTTGTATATATAATTGAATGTGGCGCACCCATAGAATTAATATTTATAGTAAAAAAATGTGAGTGTTGTAGCAATTCTCAGAAAATATTAAACATACATATATGAAACATGTATATATGAGCCAAGAAAGATTTAACTAATAAAAACCCAGCACAGGGGAGTCGCGGCACAGTGGTGACGTGGCATATTTGGATTAAGTATAATGATATCTGACAGTGATTAAAATCACTATAAAAAAAAAACGCTTCGATGCAAATCTTTAGATAGTGTTTAATTTTAAAAAATTGGTGGATTATTTCAAAAGCTTCATAAACTGCTAGTTCCTTATTAATATCCTGATTAAGATAAAGTATGTCGAATGAAAAAGGGATTATTAAAAAATAATTTTCCCATAAAAAAATTATATTGATCAATATACTTTTCTATAAGTTATAGCGTTATAAAGTTAAAAATGTAAAAAATAAAATCTAGAATTTTCACACAAAAATAGCATTCGGTAGCCATTTTCACCATGAAGATAAGATAAAGTCCGAAATTTTTTGTTTTCATGATAAAGTATATTACATTAGCTTTAATTTAAGATATATATAAAAGAGTCAGACGTTCCAGAACATTTTCAAAAGTCAAGTTAAAAAATTAATTTTTTGTGAAAAAGTTGTCATTTTAAATCCCCCCCTGTGGGCAAGTAAAGAGTCAAATTTACAAAAAAAATATATCAAATGAATAATAATGATATCATGCATCTATATAAAAAAAAATTATATTGTTATGTTCATTTTTAAAAAAGTTATGGCAGTTTTTAGTAAAAAAAATTGAAACATTTTTGAAAATTAGCAATTTTTAAATTTGTAATTTTTTTGGAGGTTTCCCCCATTTACGGAGAACGACGGAATTTTTTTCAATTTTTGAGGGTAATGTCTTCGACTAGATATAATTTGTGATCTTTTGACGTATCATTGAAAGAAATCGGTTCGGTGAGAACTGAGAAAAAGTGGTAACAGACACAAAAAAATAAACACATTTTAGTAAAACCAATACCTTCTCAGCTTCGCATTGAAGCTAAAAAAAAAAATTAATATTTTCTCTTTAACCACAATAATTTAGTATAATTTACTATTTAAATATCCTTTTTTTTTTAATTTTTAAAGTTAATCTTATATTTTGGAAGTTTTACTTCCTTTAGCACGTTTGGCACTTTTTTTTATTTATTTAGGAGTAAATTAGTTTACAACAATTTAAACAGACAAATAAAATTTTTATTAGCATAATAATATAAATGTTTTCCAAATATCAACTATTTATTTAAATATTTCATTGAAAATATTTGATAATGTTTTAGCTTCAATGTGAAGCTGAGAAGGTATTGGTTTTACTATGATGTGTTTTTTTTTTTTATGTCTGTTACCACTTTTCTCAGCTCTCACTGAACCGATTTCATTCAAAAATACGTCAAAAGATCCCAAATTGTATCTAATCGAAGAAATTGCCATCAAAAATTGAAAAAATACCCTCGCTTCCTGTAAACAGTGGAAATCCCCCAAAAAATTACAAATTTTAAAATCGCTAATTTTCGATATTTCTTCAAATTATTTTTACTTAAAACTGCCATAACTTTTTGAAAAATGTATTGATCAATATAATTTTTTTTTTTATAGATACCTTAGATATTTACTTATCATTTTATATATTTTTTGTGAACATTCGACCCTTTAACAGCCCACAGGAAGGGTTTCAAAATGGTAACTTTTTTACAAAAAATTAACTTTTTCAACTTAATATTTGAAAATGTTCAGGAAAGACTGACACTTTTATATATACCTTAAATTGAAGCTAATGTAATATAATTAAATTTGAAAAAAAAAAAAATTTGACCTCTGGATTTGTCTTCATGGTAAAATTGACTTAAAATATGTTATTTTTGTGTTAAAATTCTGGGTTTTGTATTTTATTTTATTTGAAAATACCTGACAAGGGAGTACAGATTTTATAAATAAAAATTTGAGATAGCATAGAAAGTTAAACTTATTTAAATTTTTTTTTTTTGAAGTCGAGAAAATTAACTTTGAAATTTGAATTAGCTTAAATAGCTAATTTTTTCAGCCGTCGGTAGAGACGTACGGTTGCCGAGTTGGTAAAATTTGTGTTATACAAGCTTGGGGTACGAGATTCCAACCCGCGTATGGCAATGAATTTTTTGCATTTTTTCTTAATTCTTTTTAAGTTTGAATAAATTTTCAACTGCTTTGATTTTTATCTCATTTAGTATCAATAACTTCAATAAAGATCAAGGATCCCATCACTGTAGTCGCCACTTGCGAGAAGGTATTTCTTATTCATATTAAAATTATTTTACTATATTTTAAGTTCTAGTTTCGATACAAAGCTGAGAAGATATTTTTTTGTGACTATCATTTACTCTCTCTGCTCTAACTTGACCTACTTTTTTCAACGATACGTCAAATGACTACAATTCGTATCTAGTTGAAGATATTACCCTCAAAAATTGGAAAAAAATTTTAATTTATCAATTAAACAGTTAGTTATTCCATGTTCTCAATAAAGACAATTAAAATCATTCATTTCTAATGTTTTCAAAGTATTTATTTATGAATTAAGTTTGATATGATAGGTTTCAACTACAAAATTAAATCATTTTACTTTGTAATAATTTTTTTACTCTATTTGTGTGTGCTACTACTAGACTATAATATTACAAATTTTTTGGTAACATGTTGCTATATAAATCATATCTAAAAAAAATGATTATTAGTTTCTCCTGAATAAATAATGGATTTTTACAACTATAATCAATTTTATTATACGCTCATTTGAGTAAATCTTTTTAACAACTTTGTTTTGATTGGTTTATTTAGTTAAAGTAAATAATTAAAATTAATGAAGTTCTGAATATTTTAATTGTAGAACCTTTTCAAACAACAAAAGTTACTAGGAAATTTTCTAAAATATGAACTCGTACCAGATCCTAGTTCTTTATATTAAGAAGGAACTTGTTCCAGATCCAGTTCCTCCAAAATAAGAACTCGTTCCACTCTTCGTTCCTTTTATGTAACCAAGTTATTTAAAAAATTGTGGCAATGAGATCATGATAACGGTCATCAATGATTTTCATCAGCAGTCGAATACAAAACAAATTTGTAGTATTCCTTATCTAAAAGTATTCGAAAATTATATTTATAAACAGGTAGTAAATGCTGACGACTTGTGTCAACGCGACCAATGTCTATTGTCTACATATAAGTTAGAAATAATAAATCAGAAAACCCAAAACCTTTAACATATATTAGTTAACAAGAAACGACGATAATATTCGGTGCATTATTTAATATATGTACACATATATTAAATATTTACTGTATACCTACATGTGATAATAACTCTATCTATAGTCAATTGATTCATTTAAACAGCCTACGATCTCGGCTGGGTATATAGGGGACTTCCATTGTCAAAAGTCAACTAAAAATACTATAATATTTTAATGTCTATATACGAAGAAAACTACACTAAAACATGTTTATAAAAATTTTTAGGAACTGTAATTTCCGTTCACGTTCCTTAAAAAATGGAATTTGTTCATTTTCCTCGTTCCTTTATTTTAAAAGGAAGCAGTTCCTAGCATCGTTNCCCTTTATTTTAAAAAGAAGTAGTTCCTAGCATCGTTCCTTCTAAAAGAACTCGTTCCAGGAATCCGTTCCTTTTGGAACTAGTTCCTTCTCAACACTGATTAATATACAACCGATAGAGTAGGTAATTGATTTGACGCTATATTGTTTAAACCCAACTAAACGCTAAATTGTACATTCCCAAACAACAATCATATTATGTCAATTGTCATCGGAATTTCTGGTAATCTATTTCTTTTTCTTTGCCTTAATCCCAACTACTTGGGGTTGGCCACCCTTATCCTAAGCTTCCACTTGACACGATCTCCCACATCTTCTACGCTCACATCAGCTGTCCTCATGTCGCATTCAATAACATCCCTCAATCTCATTTTTGGTCTTCTTCTAGCTCTTCTTCCTTCAAAATTCATTTCTATAACTGTTCTTACAGCTTCCATTTCTTCTCTCCTCATAACATGACTAAACAATCTAAGTCTATTTTCTGTCATCTTATCCACGTTTGACACAACACCTATACTTCCTCTTATATGCTCGTTCCTTATCCTATCTTCTCTAGTCACTCCACTCATTCAACTAAGCATTCTCATCTCTGCTACACTTATTCTCTGCTCTACTTTCTTATCAACCGCCCAACACTATGAACCATACATCATAGCTAGCCTCACAATTTCATACTAAATTTAAAAACTATAATTAGTATTTATTCATATATTATATTTTAAAATCAAAGAACTACTAATCAGGATATAATTAAAGAAATAAGAGTTGATGTTGCTTTTGGAATAATCCACCAATTTCTCTAAATGAAACATTATCTACAGATTTGCATCGAAGCGTTTCTTATGATAGTGATTTTAATCACTGTCAGATATCATCTATACTTGTCCCATCTATGCCTCGTTCACACTGTGCCTCGACCCCACTGTGCTACCTTTTTTTTTTTTAAATTATATTATGGGGGATTCAAAAAGAAAACTTTTTCACAAAAAATTAACTTTTGAAAGTGTTCCGGAAAGTCTGACACTTTTATATATATCTTAAAATAAAGCTTGTGTAATATACCTTATTATGGAAAAAAAAATTTCGGACTTTATTTTGTCTTCATAGTGTAACAGACATCAAAGTTAATAAAAAAAAATACGATTTTTGTAAAAAAATTCTTTTTTGTATTTTTAACTTTATAATTCTATAACTTTTTCAAAAATGAACAAATCAATATAATTTTTTTTTATAGATGCATGATCTCTTTAACTATCATTTGGTATATTTTTTTTATAAATCTGACCCTTTACCTTGCTTACGGGGGGATATTCAAAAAGACAACTTTTTTTTACAAATTGAGTGGAAATAAAAAAATTTACTTAAAACTTGAAAAAGCTATTAAAGAAAACAGTTTCTCTAAATATATAAAATATGTTTTATTATAACAAAAATGATATTTTTAACAAATTATAATCAACATTGAATAAATTTTTTAACTAATAAAATGTTAACTTTATTTAAAGTTTATAAAGTAAAACATTTTGATTTTAAATAAATAAATCATTTATATGTGTGTAAATAGTATATTTGTTGTTTACTAAATAATACCAAATTTAGGTATTTATCTTTTAAAAAGTAATTTAAGTATTAAAAACACATTTTTATTTATAATATAATATTAATTGAGTACCATATAAGGTCATGGATTAAATTTAATGAAAAATAAAAAATTATTCATTGTTAAAATTACTAGAAAAATTTAATGTATTCATTTTAACTTGATATGTTAACACATCAATAAAATTGACACGTCTTAAGATTTCAATAAAACCATCAAATATAAAAAATATTGAGTATTTAAATATTAGGTACAAAATTGTAGAAATTTGAAATAACGCATTGAGAGTAACCTTTGAAACTTTTTCAAATTAGCTCAAATTTTTTAAAACTATGTTTATATACTCAGAATGTAATCTATGAAGACAATAATTATTAAAAAAATTTCAATTAAATGATAATTGATTCAAAAGTTATAAGTGTTATTAGCTAGATTTGAGGCATTAGTATATTAATTTTTTCAATGTAATATTGTTTTTGTAGATATCTGATCCAAAAGAAGTATATTCTGGTAAACGTGTTGCTGATAAACCATTATCTGAAGATGAAATGATTGGTGAAGCTTTGGCAATTGTAATGTCAGATTTCAAAATTTGGTCTTCTGGAATTTATTGGGATAAAAATAAGTTCCCTAATCGTACTCTTTTTGCTCCATATGCATATAAAACAGTTAATTTTGGGCGAAAATATTTTGTAGAAGATTTAGCTAGATTGAATAAGTCTGGTAATTTTTTATGCATGTTAAGTAATTCATTTTTTGTTGACCACTAGATTTTAAGCGTGGTGGGGTTAAGTGATCTAAGTACTAAAAATTTTAATTTTGTCTGTATCATAGCTATCCAAGCTATGATACAGAGCCAATGAAAAGCACATCCAATCCTTCTTCACCTATTTAGTGGTATAAAATCTGGAAGTCTATAAGTTTCTAAAGTTTTGACGTTTATGATGTTTTCAATATTTACTTCTTGTTTAAAAACTCAACATTTTTGAAACGATAATAGAATAATGCATATATATATATTTTTTAAACATAATATCTTGGCTATCGTTTGTTACTTTTAACCAAATATTGTGACTTATTTTAACCTCTCTTTTATTTTTTTTTTTCACGACCTGCATACATATGGACTGCCCCGGAACTACTGTAAGGTATTGGTTCAGGGCAGCCCACGCGACTTATTCCAAGCTTAGGTGTATCCAAAATTGTAGCTAAGGTAGTATCGAAATTTAAAAATGTTTTATCTTTCATGTCAATAACTTTAAACAGTAGGTCAAGTCTAGAACTTATTATAAGACGTTTTTCATCATCCACTCACATTGTGTAATTTACGTAGTTTCATTTATAATTTCATAATGGTTTTTTCTTTTGGAAAACCATGTATTTTTTTAACCATTTGCCTATTGTTAAAAATATACTTGAAATTCTCAACTCCTTGTTTATCTTTTAAGTGGTGAAACCATCTTTCTTATTAATAAGAATGGTCACTATTTGTGGGTTTATAGTATAAAAGTTTTCTTTTTGAGTTTCGTAAGTTTCTCCTTTTAATTTTTTCTCACTTTATTTTTTCCTATGTTTATTTTTACCATTTCTTGATGGTTTAAAATCAAGTTTATCCATGATCGTAAATATATTTAAATGCAAAATACAAATAACAAACTGATCTTTTGTAAAATTTAGATGACTTAGCATTAACACATCTCATTTATTTTAAAATAATAATAATTTTTTTTAGGCTTATTTAAGTAGTATTTATTTCTCAATTTATAAGAGGTAAATACTTTTTATGTCCATCCTTTGTATCTTACCAACTTAAATATTTTAAATATATATGTTGTTATTAAAAAAATAATAATAAATTAGTACTCTTATGAGGATCAAGAGACATAAAAAGTATTTAAACACTTAAAATTGAAAAATAAATAATATTAAACTAAATCAAAAGTTTTTTTGTTCAATATTATTTTAGAAAAAATTTAGTAGTCAACAATAAAGCACCATGTAAATTTATTGTTGATATAATTTAAGTTATTTTACTTAATTCTAGATGAAGTTTATACAAATTCTCCATGGTTTACCTTCACTAAACAAAGATGGTCTACAAATTTTGACAATTTAGAAAAATATTACGTTAAGCTTAAATTACGTTATGATGAAGATGGAAAACAATTAAATAAATATGAACACTATCCCACTTTTTATAGGTAATTAATAATACATTTTTTTATACATATTTTGTCATAATAAAAATTTTCTATTTCAGAGCTGCTCATCTTAATCATGGATATTGGTCTTCTCCTTTTTATGATTGTCATGGCAAAATACAAGATTGGTTTATTCGTTATACTGTACCATTTTTTGGTTGGGATAGCCTTAAAGTTAAATTAGAATTCAAGTAAATTAATTCTATTTATTATTATTGTCATTAATTAATTTATTAATTTGTATTAATATATTACTTTAGAGGTGTAGTTGCAGTTACTATGCCTCTTTTAAATCTGGATATAAATCAGTGTCCACAAAAGTATTATGAACCAAATGCTTTTAAAGGAACTCACAAATGTGATCAACGCACAACATATGTAAGTCTATAATCTTAATAATTTTTAAAATAAAAATTATTTTAAAAATAATTAATGTTCTATTAAGTGTGTACCAATACAAGGGAGAGGTTATGATACTGGTGGTTACAAATGTGAGTGTATACAAGGTTATGAATTTCCATTTGAAGAAGAAGATTTTACATATTATGATGGACAAATGATGGAAGCTGAATTCATGCATATGTATTACAATAATAAAACAAGGTAATTTTTTAATTAATTATAAATAATCATACAAATATACAATTTCTTTTTTTAAAGATATGATACATTTAAATGCCGTATTGCTGGGGCTGCTGTTCATCCAAGTAATATTATATATGTTTTTACGCTGGTTATTTTATGTATAATTATGTGGAAAAAATAGTTTTTTTTTAGAATTTAATGTTCATAAATATCATTAAAGTATTGTTTTTATGAATTGTATTAAATTATGTTTAATTAATACCCATAATGTTAATCCTACTTTTTATAGTTGTTTCAATGTGACTGAATTTTTTTTTTCTTTTTTCTAAATTCATTAATTAATTTTAATCTTAATAATTAATATGAAATTGAAAAGACTAGTTTAGATGAATTATTTTTATTAATAATTTAATAATATTTTTTTTAACTCAAACTAAGCTTTTTAGTAAAAATATTTGTTTATATTAAAAAATGAATAGTATTTTTATGGAGTAATATGGAATCAGATGTAACTCAAATTCAATATTAACTAAAGATCAATGATTTATTTTTAACTATGAACTCTTAGCTTAAATTTCTAAGCTTCAAGTTAGTTACATTTTTTATTTATGTATAAAATTTTAGATTTTAACTTATATTTTATGTAGATTTAATATTATTAACTTTATCTACTTTCATGATTTAAATTAAAAATCCATCCATTATTAATTACATTTAATAATCCGTCCAATAAGTTGTAATTAAATTTTTTTTATTAAATTATTTACTTAAAAACTAGTATTAAATTAATAACAGAGAATATCATTTTAAGTAATTTATTTTGAATGTTTTACACAAAAAAATTTTTTTTTATATGTAAATGTTAAGCTTTGATACTTTTGTATGTTTTATGTTTATGAACAGCGATGTACATTTTAATTAACAATATTAGAGATATTATTTAATTATTATAAAATAAAAAAACTGAATTTTTTTTCACTAGCAATGTAGATGGGCACTAATCTATTTTAGCAATTTATTTTTACTGTATATTCTGAAAATTACATTAAACGAGAAAAAGAAAATTTTTGATTTCAATTTTAGTAATTCTAAAAAAGTTTTTGAGTTCTAGACCTACAGGTCATAGGCACTTTTTTAGCTGATAAGAGAGATCAGTTCAGTATTTGGTGTCGCCATTGCTCTCTTCAGTAATGGAATAACCACCCATTAAGGAGTGTCCATAGTTCAATAACTTTCTCTTCTTGTTTATAATTTGTAGCTTCATACCTGTGGATTGTTCATTTATAATTTAAATTTGTACTATTTGATTAATTAAACCCATCCTGAATTTATTTATTTTCATAAAAAACCTATAAAAATAAATTAAATGCTCATCAAAAAATTACCTTATGGTGCTGCACTTATTAGTTATGAAATTTGGATGTTTTCAAGTTATCAAATAATAATATATTACTATTTTGAAGTAAATGGATCTTTCCTTTTAACTGTTACTGCATGTGTAATAACTAGTTATAACTATATTTTGAAATTGTTTAAAACAAGGATGGGCAACTCAAAGTTACTAGAGAACCAATTTTTAGAAAATTAAAATCTAGCGGGCCAGAGCATAGAAAGCAAAAAAAAAATAAAGGTCATTCAAAATGTACATTTTAATTAGCATTTTTTTGTTTATAATGTAATAATACAAAAAGAGTTATTAAAATAATTTAATTAAATATAAATAGATATTTGTTTAGTGTGAGTTTTGAGCATGTATGGCTTCTAGTAACAAAATCGACTTATATTTCGGACGAAGAAATACGAAGTAGGTGACTTAAGTCAAACATTAATTAATGTTTCATCTGTAAGTCGATTTCTATGTTTTGATTTAATATGTTTCCTGTTTGAAAATGTACATTCACAAATGTAAATAGTCCCAAATGCGAATTCTCGTAAAAGTGGATATTTTAGAATAGGTAATTTTTTCCAAAAGCTTATGTCAATTTCTTTTGTAGATAAACTTTAAAATTGTATGTTGCAATTTGAAAATGTAGCGCGGGCCAGATAAAAATGGCTCGCGGGCCGCCAATTGCTCACCCCTGGTCTATGGCGTAGCTTAAATATACTTAATATAAACCATGGTCAATGACTGAAACAAGTGACTGTATGCACATGGCTATTCTAAGATTTATTATCACCAATAAGAGTAATTGATAATATAATCAAATATCACGGCCTATTCTGATTTGAATTTGTTGATTTTAATGGCTATATTAATATATACGTATGAATAAACGACCTCTAAAATGTTATTCAACTCGTCTATGACATAATGAATTTCACCGCTTTTTTAAGTTCCTGCCAAGTAGGTAATTAAAGTATTGAAATTTTTTTATTACAGTTACATTCCATTTAATCGTTACCTTATATAAAAAAATATATATTAGTAAAATGGCGAATCTAGGAAAAAAACTTTTCGAACAATTGCAAAGTAAAGAATTTCGAACGTATTTAATGAGGTAAAATTTTACTACTGCATTATTATAAAGTATTCATTATAAATTATTTAAATTTTAGTACGCATTTTTGGGGTCCAGTAGCTAATTGGGGTATTCCAATAGCGGCTTTAGCTGATATTAGAAAAGAACCTGACATGATAAGTGGTAAAATGACTGGAGGTAACTGTTTATAATACTATACTATTTATAAATAAAATTTATTGATAGTGCTTTTTTAAATAATTTACTAAATAAAATAAGTGATTTTTTTACTTTCAAAATGTATATTGAATTGAACAACATTTTAATCTTTTTTTAACTGGTTGCTACTGTTTTAAGACAAATAAAAACTATATATACTTAGATGGTAGAAATGATAAGATATAGAAACCAACAACTACATTAAAAAATAGTAAGATATCAAGAGGTTATTAATACAGAAAGGGAAGTTTAGTAGTTAAGAAGGTTCAGTAGTCTTATGAATTAAAAAAGTTTTTTGAATGTTTCTCTAATGTTAATTCATTACTTTTAAATTATCAGAATCCTCTATTTATTTATCAAATATTTTGTTTTTTGTAAATGCTACCTGTCTTAAATTATTATGAATGTAATAAAATTGTATTACATGTTTTAGCCCTATGCCTGTATTCAATGGTTTTTATGAGATTTGCTTGGCAAGTGCAACCTAGAAATTTGTTATTATTTGCGTGCCATGCTACAAATGAAGTTGCTCAATTAATTCAGTATGGAAGATTTATTAATTATAATTATTTACATGACAAAAAAAAGAATTCAGCGGATTAAATAAATGGTCAATAGTAGCTCAGTATTTTGTTGTTTTTTAAAAGATGCTCGGTAATATAAAATTTTTTTTTAAGGTAGATAAGTTGTTTGTTTTTATCCCAAATATAAATTGTAATGAACACTTATGGTTTAATTATTATTGTTATAGTTATTGAATGACTTGATTATAATAATCGATTGATTTGTGTATAAAAATAAAATATTTGATTAGTCAATAATGCAATTTTTAAATTTTATTTATTAAGATTATATACCCTATAATTACTATTATATAATTGTTTGTTTGAATCAATATATGGATATTTAAAATAAATTTCCATAAATATTGATTATTGATTTTATTTATGTGGATCCTAAAATGGATGGTTTAAATTAATAGCTAATAATAAATACCTATGTTCAATTTAAAGTAAAATATAATTAAATTATTGTTATAAAAAAAAAATAAATAAATAAAATTTTTTACTTGATCACATTTTAAATAATGGCGACAATTTATTTTTTATAAGTTAATAAAACAATGCATAACAATAAGATACTTCAAGTATAATAATATAGTAGAAGTAATTGTAATTTATTGAGAAAATGTGTTTTTCATATAAACACTTATTTACATATTTAATCAGTAAAAGCGTATTTAATATCAAAAGTCATATTTATAAAAGTTTTCTAATTATGAGGTATTTTAAAACAAATAAATAATCAATAATTTTTTTCTTAAATAGAAAAATATATTATACAGAACAAAAAAATAATGGTAATATTTTATTGTTACCGTTAATTAACTAGTATAATGAATATAAAATGTGAAATAAACAAAATAAAAAAATATAAATATTTAATATAATTTTAAATATAAAAAAACAAAACAAATACACACAAAAAAAAGATTATAGAAAACTATTAAAGTGAACAATAAATAAAATTCATACACTGTCTAAGGATATATCAAAAAAATATAATTAGTTTTTCAAGACATATATGATATTATAATGGTTCACCAGGAGGTTTATTCAACAGCTAAAATTAACAACAAATTGTTGAATAATGAAATATATTTAGTTATAACGATTAAATTAACTTACTATTTCAATGTGTTTTCTTAATTCTGTTGGACTAATTTGACGAAGTAGTTTTTCATGTTCATAAAAAGAATTATGATCTCCAATTTTCGAAGAATTTTTTTCATTATTAAAATTCTTTTTTTGATATTTAATATCACTATTACTTTTCTAAAATGTTTTCAGACATTATTTTAATTTAAGTAAAAGAGGTGATGCAATACTTGTATTATCATAAAACAATGATTATTTACTCGATGAAAAGTAAAAAGTAAAGACGTATATTTTAAGGTTAAAGAAATGACATTAAAAATATAATTTAATTATAATTTTTAGCTTCGATGCGAAGGTATTGGTTTTACTATGATGTGTTTTTTTTTTTTATGTCTGGTACCACTTTTTCTTAGCTATCACCGAACCGATTTCTTTCAACAATACGTCAAAAGATCACAAATCGTATCTAGTCGAAGTCATTACCCTCAAAAATTGAAAAAATTTCCCTCGTTCCCCGTAAATAGGGGAAATCTCCAAAAAAATTACAAATTTAAAAATTGCTAATTTTCGATATTTTTTCAATTATTTTTACTTAAAACTGCCATAACTTTTTGAAAAATGTATTGATCAATATAATTTTTTTTTATGGATGTATGATGTCTTTAACTATCATTTGGTATAATTTTTATAAATCTGACCCATTTACCTGCCTACAGGGGGGATTCAAAATGAAAACTTTTTCACAAAAAATTAACTTTTTCAACTTAACTTTTTAAAGTGTTCCGGAATTACTGACACTTTTATATATATATCTTAAATTAAAGTTAATGTAATGTACTTTATTATGAAAAAAAAAAATGTCTGACTATTTTGTCTTCACCAAATAGCTACCAAATGCTATTTTTGTGTGAAAATTCTCGATTTTATATTTTACATTTTTTACTTTATAATGCTATAACTTTTTGAAAAATGTATGGATCAATATAATTTTTTTATGAAAAATAATATTTATATCCTTCTTTCATTCGACATAGTTTATCTTAATCAGGATATAAATAAGGAAATAGCAGATCATGTAGCTTTTGTAATAACCCACTATTTTTTTAAAATTAAACACTTTAAAGATTTGCATTGAAGCGTTTGCTGGGGTTTTTTTTTATTAATAATAATTAAGATATTTTTAATGACAAGAAAAACACACAAAATAATTTATTTGCGGTAAGAGAGAGTGCAGCAACTTTTAGGAGGCTTATTGCTCCCTATTTCAGTTTTTAGTACTAATACATCAAATTGAAATAAAGCCTCTAAGTGGAATAATTACTCATTATGTTGGGAATATAAGTAAAATAAAATTCATTACTCCTCCAAATGAAAAAATATTATATATTCACCATGTGATAATCTTTTATATTAAAAGAGTTAAAAACTAGTATTAAAATAAACCTAAAATACAATGTTATAAAACACTCAAAACTGATGCTAAAAGGTTAATACTATGGGCTCAAAGTCATGGCCTTTATAGTTATTAACTGAAAAATAAAAGGTTGGTTAAGAACTATTTATATTTTATTCTGATGTTTCTTTATTTTGAACCTTAATATATTTTTGATAAAAGTATTCAATTTAAGCAAAACAATTCTTACATTAAATGTTGTTTGATTCTCAACATTGACATTCTTTACAACGCCAATAACACTTTTTACTAATTGTTGTTTTTCAAGGATTTCCGCATTCAGTTGCTTTTCTAAAAGCTTAATACATTCATTTTTTTCTTTTATGATTTTTTGAAATTTTTCTAGTTCAGATGAATGCTTTTGGCTATTAAGAAGTTTTTCTTTTTCATACCTGTTAAGTTTACACATTTAAATAAATATCAGAGAAATGCTAAAAAGTAAGAAGAAATTAAAGACAAAAAATTAACTTTTATTTTAAACAAACTTTTCTTTTAAGGATGACATTTTATTGGCCATTTGCCTTTTTATTAAGTTGTTTTCTTCATTGGTCATTTGTACTATACCATCTAGTTTTCGCTGATACTCTGTTACTTTATCTGCTAACATAGCATCAACTTGTTTTTGGTAAAATAATTTTAGTTCATTTTTTATAGTTTTAATTTCTTCTTTAGCCTCATTTAATTCTTCTATTGTTTGACTCTATTACATTAAAAATAATGAAATGCAAAATTATTTATAATGCATACATTTTTTTTATCATTAAATTTATATCTATGCATATAAATTCAATTCAACAATTTTGGATAACTAAAGTTAAAGGTTTTAATTTTAAAATTATTTACTCTAAACATCCTATATGTATTATAAATTATGTTTATTTGGCTTCTTCCACTAGACATTATACAAATGGAAATTAATTTATTTATATAAAAAAGTAATAAGATTAAAATAAATATGTTAACTTATTTGTTTTTAATTTTTTAAACTAAAAAAAATAATAAATGAAGTATAACTTATGTAAATATGAATGGCTACTCATTATGTAAAAATTAATTACTGAATATTTAAATTGCAAAAATATTGATTTCTAGATTATATAAATGCATATTTACATATTTTTAGTTCATAATTGCATGAACTTAAAAACATAGTTAATAAAATATAAGCTTTTTTAAATAATTCAAATATATAAAATAGTAATGAAGTTGACATAGATGGTTTATACGCTGACAGGGGCAGTAGTCTGTTTATTAAGAATTAACTTCAATACAACTTATTTAATTAATACAGCTCAAGCAATTAAACAAACTACATAAAGTGTAACAATTATTAGAGAAACTTATACAGTATAAATGTTAAATTGCACAAAGTTTACCGGAATGGATAGGTAAAAAGGTACAACGCAGCTCTCTAAAGTGTTGTGTACATTGGTTGGCGGAAACATAACATTATATATCACATCAGAAATGTAATAGATTGATAATATTGCGACTAACAGTCAACAACCTGTCGAGGCTTGATGGAATTTTCAATTCTTAAGATCATAGCAGAAATGTATATCTTAACCACCAGTTTTCATATTAATAGCTAAATGGCTGATTAAGAAGGATGCAGGTTAGTGCCCTCATGAACACAACACAGTACAGTGTCAGCTTTTAGCTAATAAAATATCTAAGGAAATGGTATAATGGTTACCTCACTATTTTTCATCTGATTTACAATTTCTTCAATTCTACGCTTTTGATCCAAAAGCTGGTCATATTTTGTAGTTTTTTCTACGCACGACTTTTTCTCTTCTTCTAGCAATAAAATTTCATTTTCCAGTTTATGACACTTTTCTACTGTTTTATCGTAAATTATTTTAAGCTAAAACATAATATTAAGTTATATGATATGGCATAGTTTAATTTTTCAAATAATTAAAAATAATATATTCATTAATTACATTTTTATTATCTTCTTTAGTATTGATTAGTTCACTCTGAATTTTTTCTAGTTCTTTGCACTTTTGCTCAAAATCTAATTTCATTTTTTCTAAACAGCAATTTACTTTTTTACTATTTGTTAATACTTCATTTAATTTTTTTTCTGCAGCGTCTGTTCTACTTTTATAAGAATTAATTTGAGTAGTAGCTTTTGATAAGTCATTTTTGTAGCGTTCTAATTTTTGTCTAATAGTTTCTAAAGCAACATATTTGCTTTTACGTTCAGATATAATGTCTTGACTAATGTTTTCATTGATGAGACTATACTTTTTTACTTGATTTAAAATTAATGCTGATCTTGCAGCTAATTCATTAAGTAGACTATTTTTTTCTTGATCGATATCTTTACATTCAGCCAACTTTTTTTCATAGTTCAATATTTTTTCTTCTAAACATGTAACTTTTTGTTCAATATTCTAAAAAAATATAATAAAATTTTAAGATTTATTATTAATTTTTAGACTAATTTTGAAAAATTGATCTTTTTAAGACAAATTGCTTGAGTACCATGATAAATGTGCAGAATGTAAAAATGATACTTGAAAGATTATGACATCAGTTCAAAGTTGAAAAAATTTTTGATTAATAGTTCAAGAAAAATAACAAAGTTAGTAGATTTAATAACTGTTAAAATCAATAGTGTGGAGTTGGATAGATCCTTTATAAAGGGATTGGGATGATTTTGAAGTTGTTTGGAGAAACATGAGTGTATGCTTCTTAATAGTTTTAATAGAAAAATCACTTTGAGGGGTTAAGTAAGAGACATATAGTGGGGCATGCAAAATTTTTTGAAGTGTTATATTTTGAAACATTTAGATTCTGTTTAAGTTTGATTTCTTTGCAGTCTGCAAGTTCAATAGATGGTCTAATAGGTTAAATGATAACCCATGGTTCCAGATACAATTAAATGCCTGTGAAACATTTAAAAAGTACAAGTACATTATTGTTTATTTTCTATAGTTACAGAAATAGTGTCTACTAACGTAAGCCTCTGTCCAAGGAGGATAATTTAGTCTAGTAAACCTGCTCTGTAGCGTCTTTTGTGAAATTAACTTAAAATTTTTCATTAATAAAAATATATAGTGTTTAGTAAGTAAGGAAGCAGGTTTCTATTATCCTCATTGTAACAATTTACTCGTTTCCTTATTTACTGAACACCCTGTAAAACATTTATCAGGCATTGTTGGGGTCAATATCCATAATGTTATGTACTATTGAGTATTTATTTATAAAATCATGAAATATAAAAGAATAGCTGAGGGAAGTACTGGTGCTAGGTTTTGCAGGGCTCGAGGCAAATCATAATAGTGAGGCCTGGGCTTGCAATCAGAAAGCCAGGTTGGAGTGAGAAAGATTTCCCCATTAAAAACGATTACATAATGAAAATACTATTTTTTTTTTTGTTTGGACGGGATAAATTTTCTTATATTCGTTTCTCTCCAAAAAAATAAAACCATAACTACATCATCACTATGTGTTGGGTCCAGAGCATGTGTCAGGCTCATCTCAACTTTATGACTTTCACTGGCTGAGGCAAATGTCCTGCCAATAGCAATACTACATTGCAATTTTTGTTGGGCAACTCTACCTAACATTTATATATAATTTTAATACAAAAATAAAATAATTTACTTGTCTTTGGTAAATTTCTTCTCCTAATTTTAACCAAAGATTTTCTTTTGAAACAGAATCTAATTTTGTAATTTCTGGAATTGATTCACTTATATTAATTTTTTCATTGTTTAAACATACGCTAAAAAGTTAAAAATCTTAATATTTTAAAATAAAATATTTAGTAATTGAAATGATACCTTTTTAAGTTTTTATTATTATTTTCATGATTAATTTCATTTCTAGTTTTAACTGGGGAGTTATCTTTACATTCATGAAAATTAACATTTCGGGATACTTGACTATTTTCTAGTTTCCTAAATATTGTGTCGTGATACTCATAAGTTTTGATCATATCATTCATTAGAGTTTTAATTGATGTAACATCAATTTGTTTTCCTTTTTTAGTTGTAGGTTTGATGGGAGAAGACGTACTTAATGGACTAGATAGTCCATTATTTATATAGCTTGTTTCCATTTTTTCAATATTTTGTAATTGACACGATAATGTATCTAAATTTGTCACTAAATTGTTAACAACTTCTTTAAAACTACTTGATTCTCGAGACAGTTCTTCCGTAACTGTATCTTCAATAGTTTCACTGTCTGAAGAATGTACTTGAAAAAAATCTGAAGGTAAAGATACTAAGAAATCAGTATTTTCACTGCATGAATCGCTCATTATCGTAGTTTAAAATGATAAGCAAACAATAACAAATACAACGTATCGTTTAAATTTAGAATTTAAAAGTAGCTTAACAAATTCAAATAATTGGATTTTTCGGTTACTGCTTATCGTACAATAAAAATCAAATTTGTTTGTTTACTTAAAAAATATGAGTTGATAAGAAATAATCAAGTATAGTGTGATAACGTGTTTTAAGTGATACATTTTACTTCTACATGCATTCTGTATAGTACTTACATTCAAGTAATTTGTGTTTGTAAATATATAAATAAGTTTATTTAATATAATCTGTAATTTCATTAGAAATATGGCTAGTAAATTTGAAATGTAAGTATATTTAATTGTTTCCTGTGTTAATAATTATGTGTATTGCAATTTTTACTTAGGTCAAAAACTGTGAGTGAAGATGAAAACACTACGTCTAAAGATATGATGCTAGCTGACAAATTAGTAAATGTTAGTTATTTTTAATCAATCTTATTGTTATTTTGAGACAAGTTAATTTATATAATACTAAAAAAACGTAGTTTTTTAAAATAATTTTTTCTTTAGTTTTGATAAAATTCTTATTTATGACTTAATATAATTAAAGAGTCCAGTGAAATAACTAGTTATCTACCTAATTATAACTAGTTATATTTTGAAATTAATTAGAATATAGAGTAGGTAAATGATTTTAGTGTTGACTCTATGTTAAACATCTTTATTTGTTTAATATTGGTTTTTCTGATAGATATTTTGACAAGGATATTTTTCTGAATTGTGTGTACAATTATCATATTAACCTGTTGTTAATATTTTGTTATTAGAAAATATAAAACATGAATTTTGAAAAAATTAAAGAGAACTATTACACTGGATTCTTTAATTAAATAGCTTCATATATCAGCTAAATAAAATTGATAAATAGTAAGCTAAGTAGCTATTTAAGAAAAACAACATTTTATTATTAAAATATTTCCCTACCCTAATTTAGTAAAATATATTTTGTTATTGAAATCATAATCTATAGAAGTTTTACTAAATATGGATGTTTATTTATATTTTCATTTATTTAATTTTTGGATTTAGGATATATGTAACATTACTCTGTATTATATATTAATTAATTAATTATAAAATATTCATGACAAAAGAATTGTATAATATATTTAGTTATACAATTTATTTTATATTGAAAATTTTGATTGTTATAAATATTTTCTGATAATATATATATATTTTTAAATCTATTATTTAAAATAGTATCTTACAGGTCAGAAAAAATTGTTTGGATAATGATATATTTTTTCTTTTTTTCTTTTATATAATTATACACTACATCAATTATATATGTAATATTATTAATTTTTAAAATAAACCAAATTTTACAAACCTGATCATACCCAATAGTACTTGAGTAACAATAAAGTATTATCATACCATATAATACTTTATTCTTTTCATAGGTATACTTATTCATTTTCCGTGCTGTATTTAAACAAATAAGTGTATTATCTAACATTTTTCTATCACTATTGACCATAGTAATAATTAAATTATGAGGTAGGAAATTTATTTAAGGGACCCGATTTTATTGTGCATTGTCTTTTTCCTAAAAAATGTCTTTTAAGTCAGGAATTTTTAAAATTAAAAAATGTTGGTGACCCTGATGTAATAGGTAATAGTTATGATATCTATACATAATATTTAATTATTAATTTCTACATTTATATATAATTTATAAGTATTTATATTAGATACCTTTGACTATTCCCAATGGGGACCACAAACTTCAACATCAATACTGGTTTTGGTTTAGTCGTCGATTCCCTGGAAAACCTGGTAATACTCCAAGTTATGATCAAAATCTTAAGTACCTTGCTAGATTTGGTTCAGTAGAACAATTTTGGACAATATATAGTCATATGGTGAGACCATGTGCATTACAATCTCATTGTGAATTTCACTTATTTAAAGTTGGGATCAAACCAATGTGGGAGGTAAATATGAATAAAAATAGTTTGAGTTTATATATAAATTAATTGTTAATATATAATCTATATAAGTAACTAATTAATTTATAATTTTTTTCTTAACTTGTTAACTACTTATAGAGAATTTATGAATTTTTAATTGATTACAGGATGAATCAAATGCTAGAGGAGGTAAATGGGTATTAAGAATACGTAAAGGTTTAGCATCTAGATGTTGGGAAAATTTGATACTCGCAATGCTTGGAGAGCAATTCATGGTAGGTGACGAAATATGCGGTGCTGTTGTTTCCTTAAGATTCCAAGTAAAAAATATATTATCTAGGGTATTTAAAATATATATTAAAAATAATTTCTGTTTAGGAAGATATAATATCAATTTGGAATAAAACTTCTTATGATCAAGGAGCAACAAATAGGATAAGAGACACTCTTAGAAGAGTCTTAAACTTACCACCTAATACTATTTTAGAATATAAAACACATAATGAAAGTATTAAATCAGTGTCAAGTGTTTACAAAATGTAAGTGACACTAAATAAAATGTGAATTATTAAAAAAACTTTAATTAAAAAAAAAAAAAAAAAACAATATTAAAATATTTAATAAAGAAATAATTCTTTAACCAAAAAATCTGAGTTAAATATATTTTTGTACATTATTTTTAGTGATACTGTATATTATTTTTCATTGACTTAAAAATAACAATAACAATAATGAGGGACCTTGTTTCCCTCAGCCACATATCACAATATCAACATACATGAAAGTGTATCATTTTTTCACATCATTTTAGATACACTTATGATTATTAATCCCTGGTGAATGTATCATGTGTAATAAAACGCAACAACATTAACTTTGGGTAAATAATTTAATTTGATATAACAAAAAAAATTAATTTTTCTTATTCAATACTTAACGCTATAAAATAACACAATATTTGAAAAGTTGTAAATACTTTTTTTTTTGCTAATGAAAAATTTAATTAGATAAAATTAATTACATGTTAATCTCTGTACATGTGTAAATTTAAACACATAATGGTATTAATTATTCAAAAAATATAAAAATTTATTTATACAATATAACAGATGAGCTATAAACAAAATTTTTTTACATAATATAAAGATTTTTCGCCATTATCAGACCATAATAGTGTAAAATATAGTTTTAATATAAAGTAAAACATTTAATTTGGTATTCCATATAATTGAAATAGTGAAAAATATCATATGCATTGAATACTATGTATAATTAGTTATCATATTTACATCTAACTGCAATTTTCAGTTAACTTCAAAAGCATTTTTTAATATAAATATAGAAGATTTAATTTATTCTTAAATTATATAAATATATTTCTAAATTCATAAAATATGGAGACTAGATTTTTGTATATGTATACTTTATTTGTTAGAATCCAGATAATATTACCACTTCATTGATGTTGTAAAATAGTTATTGTTGTCATACCTAAAAACAAAAAAAAAATGATACTTTAAAAATCTAGTTTTGATGAATCGATTATTTGTTAACAACTATTTTTCTACAATTTGTTACCCAACCTAACCTTTCAACACTTGTTTCAGGAGAATCCTAAGTTAATTTATAAAGTTATTTTTTATGTAAAAAAAATACCAATTATAATATAACTATATTATTTCAAATAACTGATAAAAATGTGGTTTTATACAGAGTGGAATATCTCAAATTGACAACTCATAACTATTGATACAATTCAAATTTGGATGTAATTTTTTCTTACCAATTTTTGCATTGTTAAACTACAAAAATAGTTTTTACTATATATTTGTATATAATAAAAAATAATTTTTAATTTCAAAATTGCTGTTTTTTTAACTTTTCTTACACAAAATATTGATGAGTTGATAACAACTTTAAAATGAACACTTATTGAATTACATTCATTTTAATATATAGAGTAAGTATCTGTACAGGTGGAATATGTGTTGTAACTATACACCAGTAAGAGCTATACTCACAAGCGCACATACTCATACAATTTTAATTATATCAAAAGCTATAAGAATTGTCAGCTAAAATTATTCCACTTTGTATAAACAAAATGTCCTACCATATATGGTATCATCAATAACTTTTGATCTTTTGAATATTTTGCATATTTTTTTTTAAAAATTTTTACGGACATTTGTAAATGTCCCCTTAAGAATAAACATTAAGTTTTTAATTTAAAAAAAAATTTTTAATTTAAAATTTTATTACATAGTAATTCATTATTATTATTTATTTACTTAGTAAATGTATCCATATAGGTAATAATATAGCAATTTAATTTAAGAGCAGTTTATAAATGAGGGATTTAGTGGCAATTAATTTTAGGACATTTTATAATTATTCATTTTTATAATTTTGGTCTATGTTAAAACATATTTTTTTTATATGTCTTTAATTAAAGAATTTATTTTATTTTTAAATTTTCTTCAAAGTTTTAAAATAACCATGTATAAAAATAGGAGTTAAAATTGATGGTAACATTGTCCAATTTATTAATTTTTTTATATTTTAATATCTAACCTTTAGTGTTTAAATTATATTTTAAGAAAAGAATAAATATTTTTTAAAAAGACATGTTGATACATTTACCTAATACAAAAGCAAATGCTAATTTAAGGTTAAATGAAATCCGGAATTTCATTATATCTGTTTCTTCTGATGATTGTAACAATAATCCGCAAATACAAATTCCAGCCATGAGTAATGTTGTATAATTAGGACCAGAAGAACCTTAAATAGTAAAATATAACTTTAGAATGAAAGTAATTTTACTTATATTTAATATATCAAAAACGTATCTTTTATCGTTACAGTATTATCACAAATTATATTCCTACAAAGCTTCCTAAATAGTTTGATTCAAAATTTTTTTTTATGAAATTTTATAATATTAAGCAAAACTGGGTAAGTTAAAAAATTTAACTTTTTAGCTGAACAGAGATATATAGATTTTACATTAATTTAACTTCTCTTTTGTTCATTTAATGACAAATAACATATTTTTGGTTTATTTAATTAAATACCTCTTTATAATAAAATAAAAAATTTTTGTAATATATTATACTATAAAATAATATACTATTTTTATGTAATTAACAATAGAATTAGGTATTTTTAAGCTATATTAACTCAAGAAGTAATAGAGATTATTTATTCTAAAAATTCTTAAAATATGTGTCACTTAGTAAATTTTAAATTGTCAAGACGGTTTTACTATGGAGACATCACATGATATAATATACACTAGTTTATTTAAAAATAATAAATATTTGTAAAGTAAATTTATACCCTACATTTTTATATGTTTGAAAATTATATTTTGTTGTATTAAAAAAAAATGTTGGAATGAAAAAATTTAGCTCTTAAAAATGTGATTAACCTATGAATATACTATTTTTGGAAACTTACTACTAACACTATAAACTTATCAAGTATAGTTAATGAAACTAAGTGTCATTACTTTTTAACTTAATTTATTTAAAATAATAACTGATTAAATATCTTAAGTTTCTTCAATTAAGTCAATTTTAACAGAAAGTTTGAGTTAAAAATAACCATTAACTTCCCAAGCCTTGCAAGTAGTATTATTTGAGTTATTTTAGAAATTAAATAAGAAAAAAATTTAACATTTGAAAATAAATATTTCTTATGTTTGAATGAAATTATATTTAAATATATATATATCTTTTAGTTATACGCCATTTTTACCACAATAATTACTGCATTACACTATAAATATAACTTTCAATCTTACTTTTAGAAAAGTTTTGTCTTATATCAGAATCATTTTCATAACTATCCGCAGAAAAATCACTTTTAGGCAACTGTTTAAAATTTTCAGCTGGAGGTTCAAAATTATCTGAAGATCGTACTAATATTGTTTCTACATCTTTATGTCCAATAGTTTTTTTTGTTGTATAATATTGCATTTGTATTCGAAATTTATCTCTTATATCACAAAATGCTGGTGCTGGAGCATTATGTCTAACTACTATATCTACTCTAGAGCTGGCACTTATTGAGCCTTCTGGTTCCACCACAGTATATTTTTTGGTGCAAGTACAAAACACTAATAAAAAATTAGATACAATAAAATATATTTATAAATAATATTGTAAATAATGCTTTGATTTTACCTTTAAACCTGACTGGAAAATCATAGGGATTGAATAAAGTAATGATTTGTCTGTGAGATGTTTTATCATCTAAACTGAAAGTTAATGATTGAGGACTTACAAATACAGGCACTTTATGGTTGTTCATTATGACTAATTTTGTAAAACGGTGATTTTTTAAGACTTTACATGGTGCGTTTCATACTTTTATTATTAATAATGTAATCGTTTTTAGTAGCTTTGTTTTTATTTATTTCCTTTATCATTGTTATTGTCTTGTTATCAATTTGTTTCATATGTTTTTTACCAAAGAGTATGTGCAATAAATTATAAGTGATTAAGTTTGTTATAAATGGAAGTTGAACTTCTTTTTTCTAAAATTATCAGTCATAGGGTTCCAGTATAAAAAAGTAACTTAGCGTTTTCTGATTTTCTCAATTGTGAAAATAGTGTTATACACTTTAAAATAGTGTTAAGACCGGAATCGACCCTACACTTATAATTCACCTATGGCTGTCTGGATTGTTTTTTGTATATAAAAATTACCGGCTTATATATATATATATATATATATATATATATAAATCTAGTTAGGACCGTGTTCAAATTACTAACGTTTGAACCGAGTCGTACATTATAAAAAATTATGGGGAAATTCATATTTAAATATTAAATAGGATTTATTAGGAAGAAGGAACTTTTAAATAAAATTTTATTAGAATGGAAAATTCCAAATGAATGGAGGAATAGTATTGTGGTGCCGATATTTAAAGGTAAAGGTGACATACAGGAGTGTGAAAATTTTAGAGGCATAAAGCTTATGAGTCATAGTATAAAAATTTGGGGAAAGGTAATAGATAAGAGAATAAGAAATGAGACATCAGTATCTAAAAACCAGTTTAGATTTATGCCTGATAAGTCAATAATGGAGCCAGTATATCGTGTGAGGTAACTAATAGAAAAGTTTAGGGAAAAGAAGAAAAAGCTGTGTATGGTATTTATAAATTTGGAGAAAGTGTATGATAGAGATTTTAAAGTGGACATTAATGAGAAAAAGAGTCCCAAAAAGGTACATTAATAAATAGAAGATATGTATGATGGCACTTGTACCAGGGTAAAAAGCGTAGGAGTATCAGAAGGTTTTCGGGTAAGAGTAGGAGTGCACCAAGGTTCTGCTTTAAGTTCCTACTTATTCTGTATAGTGATGGATGACATTACTAGAGAAATATCAGGATACGGTATCATGGTGCATGTTGTTTGCTGACGATATAGTCTTACTGGGAGAAAATTAATAAAGGGCTAGAGGTGTGGAGATTAGCTCTTGAAGAAAAGAGTTTAAGAATTTGTAGAAGTAAGACAGAGTATATAGAGTTCGAGTTTGACAAAGGTTAACACGAGGTAGGTGAAATGAGGAGATTAGTGACAATAAGCAAGGACGTGATTGGAGAGTTTAAGTATTTAGGGTCAGTTGTGTAAAAGAGTGGTGGTATTGACGAGGATGTAAGACACAGAATTAAGTGCGGGTGGTTGAAGTGGAGAGAAGCGTCTGGCGTCTTATGTGATAAAAGAATTGCAATGAGGCTAAAAGGTAAATTCTACAAGTGTAGTGAGACCAGTTATGTTGTATGGTTCAGAGTGTTGGGCGGTTGATAAGAAAGTAGAGCAGAGATGAGAATGCTTAGATGGATGAGTGGAGTGACTAGAAAAGATAGAATAAGGAACGAGCATATAAGAGGGACTGTAGGTGTAGCCTCAATCGTGGATAAGATGAGAGAAAATAGACTTAGATGGTTTGGCTATGTTATGAGAGAATAATCGGAAGCTGTAAGAACACTTAGAGAAATGAATGTTGAAGGAAGAAGAGGTAGAGGAAGACCAAAAAAGAGATGGAGAGATGTTATTGAATGTGATATGAGGACATCTGATGTGAGCGTGGAGGATGTGGGAGATCGTGTCAAGTAGAAGTTTAGGATAAGGGAAGATAACCCCAAGTAATTGGGATTAAGTCGAGGAAGAAGACCGGCTTATATATATTAATCTAGTTAGGGCCGTGTTCAAATTACTAATGGTTGAATCATTAGTAATATATATATATATATAAAGGAATGTACATTATAAGATATTTAAAAAAATGATGGGGAAATTTATATTTAATTATTAAATAGGATTGACAAAAGATATTAATAAAAATTATTCATATGTGGTAAATAGTGTATATTTAGATTAATATAATAAAATATTAACAATATTTTTTATCATATTAAGAATTTTATTAAAAAAAATATATATATATACCAAAAATAGTTAATCAGTTGTATGAACAAAAAAGAAATTAAATTAACATTAAAATACCATAAAATCTAAGTCTTAATCTCAGCTATGTTAAAAAGTTTAAATTAATTTTAATTTGATAAATTTTTATACTCAGACTTGGTAATAATTATTAATATACATATACATATATACATTAATTTAATGGCTTACATTGTTAGTTTATATCTGTAACTTTATTTATATTTAACATCCTCTATTAAAAAATAAATCTTTTGCTAGAGAGGATAGGAAAGCCTATTTACCTCAGTGCTACGGAATTTAACTTCAGTACTTAACCACTGAAGTATGACACGATATTAATTAAGTTAGGTAATAACAAAAAAACACAATTTACTTTTCAAGTTTGGGCAATACAATAATAATTAACTAATTGATAAAAGTGATATTTTTACCAGAAATCTGTATGCTACTTTAAAAGAATTTTTAATAATCACTACAAGTGAAAATTGAGCTTTAACTTAATTGAAATTTTGTTTTGTATGTAAACTTCCCAGTCATTTCATTTAAAATTATTCAAGTATTTCTAATAAATGTCCCTAGACATGTTTTAACTAAAAATTTGTAAAAAATATTATTTGAAATACTTTTCATTAGCTTAGAAATTGTAAGTTTATTAATTTCTTTGTGGTCTGAAATATATATATATATATATAAATTATTAAAAAATAGTAATAAGAATTTAAATTAAACAAGAAAAAAAAAAAGAGATAAAATTAAAACTTTACAATCAGATATCAAAATATTTAAAAATTCAAAATAGTTATAAAATATGGACTAAGGCATATTTTTGATTTTAAACATTCAGTAGTCGATCCCAACGCCAAATTGTGCCATCATCACATACACAAATTAATATATTTCCATCACGACTAAATGTAGTCTGGCGAATTACAGTATTGCATTTGGGATGGGCCAAAGTAGTTACACGCATTGATGCTTGATCATTAGAATTTAAGTCCCATACATAGATTTTACCAATTGTATTTCCTAACGCTAATATCTTAAAAAAAAAAGTATCATACATTAAAATAAAATAAAATATTATATTTCCCTTCAATACACTAAAAGAGCAAAAGATTTTAAAAGATGTTAATTACAAATGTAATATCAAAATATTATCTTACTTTTTGTGAAAAATCCATAGCAAATCGAATAAACCATACATCACAATCTTTGAAATCATAATACCATATTTGAGATACTGTTGTATCATTTGGTTTTAATTCTGTATCATTTAAGTGACCAGGTTTCCAACAAACCATACAATTTTCACATGACTGAAATACAAATATTATGATGTATTCATCAATAATAGTTATTAAAATAATTTTAAATATTAAATAACTATAGATTACTTTAGATATCACATAGTCTCCAATCCATCGTACACAATCTACATAATTACGATGTATATCTCGGGTTGAAAAAACTGGAAAATGTTCTTTAATAGTATCAAAAGGTCTAGCTGATCTGTTAGGATTAAATGAATATGATAGTTTAATGGCATCTTGAATATAATCTTTTTCTAAGCTCCATAATTTTAGTGAATGATCCATGCCACATGACATAATTTTTGTACCATCAATATTAAAATCCTGTCAGTATTTTTGTTAGATTTATAAAAAATTGATTAAAATTAATATATTAATCAAAGAAAAACTTTTTTATTACAGCTGAAAGCACTTCATCTCTATGACCTTCTGCTCCACCAAATATTACAATACAAACATCACTCTTAATGTTCCATAAGCGTAATGTATGATCTTTAGAAACTGAAAGTAACATATTAGTATCAATTGGATGAAACTGTAACTCATTAATTGCTTGACCATGTCCTAAATCACAATAAAATAAAATAAGTTTTACTTTTTTTTCATTAGATTTCTTTTTTAATTTTACCAATATAATGCCTAATAGATGACAAGTTAGCTGGACTTATAATACGAATAATACCTCGATTACCAGCCATAGCTAATAGAGGTTTGCCATTTTCATCTAAAGACCAAGCACACGTATAAAAAGTTTCATTGGACTGTGATAACAAATTTAAAGAAAATATAGGACTCATTGAAGTTTAAATAACTTAAAAATTATATTATTACAATTTTATAATTATATGATATTCATATTAAATTTAGATACAAAACAAAATTTTAAAGATTTTGCAAAAACTTCATTCAAAATTAAACAACAGAAAACATAATAATATATTACAGTTTCACATCATTATTATTGTATAAGGAAATGCCCAGTATAAAAGTTTTATTCTATAATTCAACGTATTTTATTTAACTACGATCAACACTTCACTATTACTCACTAATATTCCCTTTCAAGTTAAAGATAATAACAAAAATGTATTTTATAGGTCTATCATAATAATTCTATTTATAATTATAAAAATATTATAAACAATAAAATGTTTATGGTCATATTTAACATTTAATATGAATCACACAAAATTTAGATGTTTATTTTTTTAAAGTATTTCGAGTCAATCAAATGCGATTCTTATAAAAATAAATTGAATATTCATTTAAAATATAAAGGATACATCAGGATCTGCATAACTTTGTAGTAAATTAATGCTTCCATCATCTAAACACTGATATATTGATACTCGATTACTTCCAACAGAAGCAAATATTAAAGGCTGATCATCATTTAATAGATGATTGAACTGAACGCCAAATAATGATTGACCATGATCTTCTCTTAAAGCACAGCTATTTAAAATTACATTTTGATATTTAATATATATAAGTAGTTAACCACAATTTAGACTTACGAAAACTTGTATTGTAATTTTACATTTTTAGTATTATTTGAAGGTTTTGATTTTTTTTGTCGACCACGTTTAGCAGGAGTATGACTTCGAGATGTTCGATCAGTTGTTGAACTATCAATACTTGATGCATCGTCCTAAAATTCGTAGATAAATGATGATTTTAATTAATTAGTTAAAATTGTTGAATGTTTGACAGAACTTACAGATTCTATTAAATTTGCATCAGACATTGTATAATAAGAATTAAATTTTATAAAAACGACTTAACTGACGTTATTTTGAACTTATAATAAGTAAAATTAGTTAATTAACTTAAACTAACCAATAAATTTGAAAAGAAACCATTATTTTGAACAACTTGCACCAATGAAAAAATTAATATTATTGATAACATAAGAAACTACTGATAACAATTATCAAATTAATTTTACCATAATTTAAATAATTGTTTTTGCCTTTTAGACCTTAAACACTCCCAATTTTAAATCAGAATTTGGACACATGACTATTGTTCAGTTCTTTTTCAATTGATTTTGCCTAATTATGCGTTACAAGATCACAAATTTAAAATGTTAAAAAAAATATTTTAAATCGCTAAAACGTTGACGTCAACGTTAAATTATGTATAATTTAAGAGGTATAATATTTCAATGTCTCTATTTATAAATAAAAAAACATTTACTCAGTGAAGTATGTGCTATAGAAATTAACTTAAGTTATCGTATGAAAAAAAGTTTATTACCGGAGTTCGACAGAAATAATAGAAGTTTCTTAACATAAATTATTTGAAATATTGAGGGAAATTCATAAAGATTAAATGAGGCTACATAAAATCTTCTGCATACTCTTAGAGATGTAGGGATATTAGTTTGTTGATAAAATTATGTTTTGGAACAAAAATTTCATTTTTGTTTAAAAATAGTAAAATGCTTGAAAGCTTTAAAATGCTTAATGAATAGAACTTGATTTTCCCTATTCTATAATAAAGTATTATTATATCCTATAAAGAAGGAAAAATCTAAATTCTAAATATGATTTCGTACATTTTATTTTTATTGATGTTAAGTAGTTTTACATATTTGTATGTAAATTCTTTAATAGAAAAGTATAAGAGTACTTAATAATTATTATTGAAGAATAATTTAATGTTTAAGTATATTTATATACATAAAAATTTGAAATGACTAAATTATCATTTGAAGTTTATCGTTTATATCATACGAGGCATATTTACGAGAATATTAATAAATATCTCTATTAATAAATTAGCAGTCTTATGAGAAATAATTATTTTTTACCTTTCCTTGAAAACAATTGATTTAGATTTTTTTTATTATCAAATACATATGTAATAAATATTCTTAACAAATTTTAGTTGTATTTATAGAGTTATTGCGTAATCAAATATCTCAACAGAAATTATAAAGAATTACTAAAGATATAACTATGGTTAGGATTTCAGAGTCGACAACGGGAAGTACAGGACTCTTGACTGGGTCTTATTGATGCATCTAATAATATATAGAAGTCTTGTATACTTGTTTTCTTTTCTTTTATTATTTTTTAACTGTAGAGATATTTATGAAGGTTAAAAATTGCCTTTTGGGTAATAGTTAAAAAAAAATAAAATTTGCGCGTAGGTTTTTTCTTTTAATTGTTGTTACTTCATACACACATTCGCCATGTACTGCTGTAGTTCGTCCTTTGCAATAGTCATGCGCACCGCTGACAGTTCGATCCGCCGTACAGCCGCCGTCAACGGACCTCAGTGTTTACATCGGCTCCAGTACACGAATCGCACACGCACGCGGTGCACTTGAACAGGGCACAAGCCGGGTAAAAAACGGCTTTTGCTGTTTACGTGTTTTGATATTTCATCCGCAACGTTTGAACTAGAACGACCAAAAACACAGAAAACTGCATTTCTTCGTTATGCGGCCGTCCGCGGCTTTTGGTAAACCTTTTACATATTTAGCGGCCGTTCCGCCCACCGATCAGCCACAATCTCCGCCGGTGTCAATTGTTACTTCTACGCCACCAACACCGCCGATTCGTACTGTTACAAAACGAAAACCACCGGTACCACCACCAAGAGGTGAACAGACCAGGCTAACAACTGTACAACCTGTCTCAAAAACCGAAAATGTGCCAGTCTCTCAAGCTACAGTAAGTCCTGCGGTGATCTTAGCGTCATGCACGCCGGTAACGTCTGTGACAGCGGTTATGCAGCCTCCCATACATTTACCAGTTACTATAACTAGTAATGCTCCAGAACAAGTACCCTCTGTTTGTACACCATTGGAACCCGAGGAAGATTTAACTGCATCAGCTTTAATAAGTAAGTTTGAAAATAGCTGTGCTGTGACGTCATCGTTGACGGCTTCAATGGCAACAACCGTTACAAAGCAATCTGTTCAAGATCACCGGCCGTCTGAAGTAGATTCTGGTACTTCTACGCTAGCTGAAAGTACTGACGACGATGATGATAATGCAGATGCTAGAGTTGAAGAAGAAGACGACGGAGCGGCAGATATATGGGTGCGAACAATAGATTCACCGATAAAGAATGTTCAACATCCTCAAAAAGTTCGCCATAGTTCAGATAGCGCGATTAAAGCTTTACCGCGAGGGCCATCCCCGTTGGTGGAAAAACGAGGGAGTTTACCATCAGATTCCATCAAAGAGTCAACTGTACTAGACAAGAAGTCATCGCCTCCGTTACCAACAAAAGATCTTGTAAAATCTTCTTTTCGGTCGTCGAACGGTCGCTGTTCTTCACCTGCACTACTAGCTCTCACTAATCAACAATCGTCCAAGAAAATGAGTGCTGCCGAGGCACTTGGTGTAGTTGCTAAACCTTGCCCACGTATAATTCCATCCGTGTTTGATGTGAATAGACGTCAATCTTTAGGAAATTTATCTGAACCAAAATTTAGCAGTACGATTTCCACCCGATCATCTTGGGGGCAACCGTCCGGTGTACAAACAGACGTCGAGTCTACTCAAAGTGAACCGACGTTCGATTTTAGACGTAAAAAATTAACTAAACGATGTTCAAGTGCTGATGGTAGAAATCCTGTACATTTCCACCATCACCATCACCATTACCATACGTTGTCTAGTAGAGTGACGGCCGAACGTGATCCTAACTTTGGTGCCAAACGGGCGTTTATCCAAGAAAAACTTTCCGCTGCTCAATCTAATATTTTGACTCTCCCACGACCTCCTCTTGCCATACAGAATGGAAATGATTGTAAACCTTCCAATCGATCGTCATGTAATTGTGGACAACATCAGGCTACATCTAAGCCAATGGCGATGAATAAACGAACAGTTTCAGCCGAAGAATTGTTACCTCCATCCGAAATAGATGAGTTTATTACCGGTTCAATGGCTTCATCAACAGGTCGCGCTTCTTTTGGGAGGTCGCAACGGGTTACATTTGCTTTAGATCAACCATTTCTAACGTCCAGATCGGTAGGATGTGTACCAGATACAGCAAAAAAACCTATCAAGAGTAACTTAAAGGTTAAAGATACCTCCACAACTACTCCGGTAGAAGTACTATCTAGCAACGTCAATACTAGACTACCTCCTCAGCATCCACATCCTTATGGAATAGCATATCGACTTCCAGTGAATGCTACTGATATTTTGCAGGTTGTACGATAAAATACAATATATATCCCATAGTTTTTATTATTAAAAATAATTTTAAGTTGATTAAAAATTGTTTATAAGTAATTATTTAAAATTAAGTATTTTATTTGAATAGAACAAATAATTTAAAAATCATCATAATTTCTAGTAAAGTAGTATTTTGTGACACGGTAAAGTTTCAGTCTAAAAATAGATCTCAAAAAATCAAACTGATTAGTGTACATTTAAAATGATTCACTAGCCATTTGTTTTATTACAATCGAAAATTTACTGTACATCTATAAGTAAAACAAAGCGTTAAAAGCATTTTTAATATATAACTATTTTTGATACAGGGACAACAATATACTCACAAATTTGTTTAATAAACAAGTAATATTTTTTAATTTGACATCAATTTTTTAAGTTTTTAAGTTTTAAGTTCTATGTCAGGTAATAAAAGTTTATATTGATATTAAAATTTTTCTTAGTGAATTTCATTTAAATATATATATATATTATGTATCCATATTTGACCGTTTCAATATACTACTCTCTTTATAGTATCAGTCATTTGTTTATAATTAAATTTTAATTAATTTTCACACAAAAATCATCTGGTTCGGTTTGTCACTCTATCTACTTAACAAATTGTCTTGAAAACGATTTGGAAGAATAGGTTTTCTTTTGCGAATGTTTTTGAGAATATTTTTTAGATAAAATATATTTTAGTCGATGGAATTAATATCGTGTTACACTTTCTTATTTTTATGTTATGCATAGAGAAAACTATTATCTATTTCTTGTACTTTTCGCTTGCGTAAGTAGAGAATTAATATTGATAATGTAGTTTATGGCAGGAGTAATCTAAGTAAACAGCTGTCCGTAACAAATTTGCTTGCACCCCTATTCCAAAATATAATTCAAAACTTTATACCCTTTTCACTTATTTATACTCATATGGCGTTGTATAATATGAGTAAGTGAATAAATGCGTAAGTAATTCATAACTGATTCGTAACAAAATAGAAAATTTTAAACATAAAAAATATATATTATATAAGACGGCAATCTGTAATAATTTTACATAGTTTTTGAAGTATAACTTCTTTATAGAGGGTCCTAAAAAAATAGATTATCGAGCGTCACTGTCGGCTGTAAAGTATATTTTATAATATAATTTAGCACTGACGTTTCGAAAATTAAAGTAATTTTATTTAAAATATATTAAATAATTTAATTTCAAATAATTTTAATTGTGCATAAAAAATTTTATTGTGAACCACAATAGACGCAATTTTCACGTGATATCTATTAAACGAAAAAAGTCCATCGGCGCGTACTTATAACACGCACTGGTTTTTGTTATATTTTTAGCCATTTAAAAATTCATAGTTTTTATGGTATTTAATTGTTTTTTTAAGGGGTGTAATTCATACACATGTCAGTCATAGGAAAATTTATATTAACCTAATGTATGTTTTATAATTTACATCAAATAATATGAATTTTAATAACTTTTAATTAGAAAATTCAATTCAATTTAAATTTATTTACATTGATGTATGTTTTAATTTTTAAATAAAAAGTTTTAATAAATAAGTAAATATCAACAAATATTTTTGTTTAAAAAATATTATTACTTTTTAATTTTTTTAGATTTAAATCTTTAACTAAAACCAAAATATTATATTTTTATTAATACATATCATATTGGCTGTCATAGCCAGTTAAAAACAATGAAAATATTTCTAATTAAATTTTATTTTATTTAGTAATTTAACGTAATCCAAGTATAAATTTTTTTAAAATAAATTTTTATTTTTTCATGTTTATTATAATACTACAGTAATAAATAATCTCTATTAGATTTTTTTAAGTAAGAACGGAAGGAATAGCCATTATTTTAAGAAAAACGAGTTTGATGATATAGAATTAAATTATTTGCGAATGTATTTGATGTTTTTAAGATTATCAAAACTCTATTTATAACATTTATAATATTTATATCATAACATTTTATTTTATTATATAAATAGAGTGTTCAGTAATTAAGGAAACAGATACCTATTTTCTCATTGTTTGTAACAATTGACCTGTTTGCTTACTTACTAAACACGCTGTATATTGACCTTGTTGACATCCAAAAAGCATACATTTATTTTATCTTTAAAATGTTTTTAAAAAATTATTAAACTCAATATAAAAACAGTAGACAATAGATTTGAATACGTTTAGGAAATAATACGTAAAAAACGATTGTCATTTAGGACACAGCATAGAATTAAATAAAAAACACAATACATTTTGGTCATAGCATATTTGAGAAAAATATAGATGAAATCTGACAGTAATTAAAATCAATATTATAGAAAACGCTTCTATACACATCTCTAGATGATATTTAATTTTTAAGAAAAACTGTTGGATTTTTGAAAAATCAAATCGACTCCTATTATCTTAATTATAATTTAGTAAGTAGTAGTTGATTTGAAATTTTAAAACATATAACATTGATATATATATATATCCTTACAAATTTTATGATAGATAAGTATAACAAGAATAAATACTTAGTGTAGCAATTAAATGTAGTGCGAAATTGATATTCAATAATTTTGTGTTCTAGTTTTTACAGAGAAATAACAAAAAAATGCACAATAATTTGTAATTTGTAATTTTACAATTTATATGATTTAAAAGTTCACTCAAATTTTAAATGCTTGTTAAATATTTGCTTAATTAGAAATAACATTTTTTTTAAATTGCTAATTTTTTTGCTTTGTTTAGCATAAATGACTGATTTTGAAGTGTTAGGAATAGCAATGGAACATCTGCATCGTATAAAAACTAAATTATTAAAACTTATTTAATGTAAAATAAGATTTAAAATAAAATACTTTCTGATGACTTGTATTCTGAGAGTAATCGGTCTCTAAAAACAATTGTCATGTAATTTTTGGTGTTAAATTTTTTTCAATTTGTTTCCAATACACATCGAAGAGTTTTACGAAAAATAATTTTAATCACTGTCAAATTTGAAACCAATAGAAGTATAATTTATTGAAATCAATCAATACTATTCTAAATATTCCTTGATTCTCCACTTTAATTGATTTCTACAATACTTTATCTGTTGATGTTTATATTTAAATGTTATAATAACTTTTATTCTATGTGTGCAACTATATATTTTGACATTTTATTCTATGCACAGAATGATTTGTTCAAGTACATGTACGGGTTGAATGATTTTGTAATAAACTTATTTACTACTATTTTAAATATGATGACAATGTGAAAGGGATGAATAATTTTGAAATAAAGCAAAATATATAAAGAATTGGGAAAAAACGAAAACGGTAGTAATCCTAGAATGCATTCTTGTAAAGATTTATTTCAAATAATGTCAGCTGTGCACTAAAAAAAGGTTGATATATTTTGTTATTTGGCAAGATCACAGAGAACTCTTCTAATATAATATAATATGTTATATTAGACGTTGTAAGATTCACTTTGGGAAAACTTGTTCTTTTGAAATCTTAGTTATTGTTTTAATCTACTTGCATGCTACTAATAAATTCGATTATAGCCTAGTATTTGTGAATTAAGTCCGATTATGATTTTGAATATTGTACATTACATTTTTTCTTATATTATGAGTATTATCGAAATTTTCTAGAAATAATAGGTTTTAATAATAATTAAAATTTAAAATAGGCTATTAACACTAAAAATTAGGTTTATTAATTGATTCCTCAGTAATTAAACATCAAATAAAGAGTACAACTAAATTACTTTATTTTTATTGTTTGTTATTTTCACCTATGGAATTTTAGAGCCCACGTATATATTTTGTATGAGTTATATTTACTATTCTGTATGGAATATTAATTGGGGAAATATCATGCGCATCAAATAGTAATGATGTATAAGCTTATTTAAATATATTTGTATTTATGAGCACATGTGACATTCATTAAATATCATCATTTCCAATAAGACAAGAGTAAATTATAAACTTATTAATTTATTCAATTGGTGTGTTCTAACAACTAGAAGTTAAAATTTATCGATTGAATTAATTTGTTTCGTTTGAACAAATTAATCGGGTTTTAGTTGAACGCGCTAAAAGGGAATTCAACTGGGCACACGACAAGTAGAGTACTCGAACGTCATACTTAAAAAAGAAATTGAATTTTCTAGGCAGCATAAACCAACGCCTATTGAACAAAACATGAACATCCCATTAGCTATAGGAAAATCCTACTTGATCCTTCGATACATTAACAAATTATGTGATAAATAGCCGTTGAACGAATTATCGATAGAATATGGAGAGTCCGTGCACAGTAATTTAATGAAGCACTTTTTGTTAAGGTCATATAAATACACCATTAGAAAGAGGATAATAATCCGGTTAAAATCAATTAAATTTTACGGTTTAACCGTATAAATTTCAATATTTCTACTACTTAAAATGTCTATTTCTCTATATATATATTTTTTGTGTATAATTAGTAATGAAAAATTTATAATCTTTCATGAAATAAATGTAATCTTTAACATAGTTTTAAAACTTTTTGAATGATTGTGATGAATTATTATTTTTGTAGTTTATTGAGATTTGTCGACAAAATAACGAATTTTACTAAGCAAACTTACTTCTTACTCTTTTAAATTATTCTTTTTTTGAGAATCAATTGAATTGCGCCAAACAGAATTTCGTTTTCCAGGATTAAGTAAATCTGGTAAAATGTATAATTAACTTATTCAAACTTCAAAACACACACACCTAAATAAAGTTCAAATAACGAATTGAGTGTCAAAAATTAAAAACAAGTCTAAATAATATTTGTGACGTATTCATTCTATAAGTATTGATCCATAAATTTCTATATGTCAGTATATTTTAAATATGAATGTTAATTTTACACACAAGAAGTGTCATTTTGTCATAAAGTATCAAAAATTCGATCACAACTATGACATTTGTTTGTGATAAAAACTTCCAGTATATATATGTAAAAATTTAAACATTTTTTAAAGAATGGACGATGATTTTTAAATGCTATGTGTAGTTCTATCACAATAATAGTTGTGTTATAGTATCTATGTAGTGTGAGTAGACATAATAATTTTATGTTAATTTATACCATTCATTAATCATTAGTTCGACCTATTTAAAATGTATTAGTTAAAACATGAAACTGTGTTTTTTAATTTAAAAAAATAAGTTCTTAGATTTTAGAACTGTTTTTTGCTCGCCTGTTCAAGAATATAATGAAACAATTTTTTTTCGGGTTTTTCAATTATACTATTATGATATAATATTTAAATAAGATTTTTAGAATAAAAATTAAGAAAACCAAAATTTTTCCAACAAGAAGAATCGAGTAAATTATAATAAAATTATATACATATAAGTTTAGTTGCTAACATTTTTGGATGAAAATCATTCACTTCAAATTTAATAACTTTTGAGTCATTAGCACTTTAAAATTGAAAATTAACTGTATAATTTATAGTGTTATTTTTATATTCAAATAAAACAAAATTTCACACTATTTTTTATTGTTTTAGAGCAAAGGAAATCCGGGTGTGATAAAAACATTACACAAGCCAAAGGTAAGCTACGATTTTTATGTTAAATCATAAAAAGATAGACCATAGCTACCCTCATGTGTTATTCATCCGTCTTCAAATATACAACAATTAAAATTGTACATTTAATTTTAAAGTTTGAACTTAAAACATTTTTAAATAAAATAATTTTAATTTGCATTATTATTATTTGATTATACTATGCATATTTTTAAACTCATTATTTTATTTTTATTTATTTATTGATAATTTAATACAACGTACTTTATGCTTACGATTAAAGAGTGATTAACATTAAAGCGTTGAAATAAAGTTTTAGTACCTTTTTATTTATTTGTTTTAATTGTTAATTTGTTTTTTTTTTTTTGTTAATATATTATCTCTTGGTACATATTAAAATCATTGGCAATCCATAGAAATAGCTTAAATGCATGCTTCATTAATATTTTTAGCAACGTAAACAAGATTATGTGAATTTAAAACAAATATTTCAGTTGTTATATTGTAATCGTAATACTCTTAAGACAAGGATACAATTTTAAATTTATAATAAAAATATCGTAGCCAAACAAAAAAAAAACTAAGCGAAAGCGTTTGTTTTAAATGCGGTTAAGTTCAATAAGATCGATCAGGGGATGAGTTTGAATACGAACACCACAGGAATAAAGTTTTTTTAGTGGATAACGTCATAAATAATAATTGAACGCTCATTTCCTACGACTTTCAGGAAAGTCTACAGAACTCTGAACTTTACAGGATATATTATAATGAAATAGCGGTTTTAGACAAAGCAAGCTATGACCGTGTACACAACGTGAACACTCTATAAATCTATAAAATATATATTAAGGACGTCTGCATAATTAATTGAACACTAGTAATGTAGTAAAACTACTTACACAACACGTTAATGAATAAATATTAAATTTGACCGTTCGAGGCTATTTTAAGGGATCTTTGTGTTTGTTTCTTGTGTCCTTAGTTTGTGCATTCTAAACGCAAATAAAACAATTTAACTTTGTCTTTGATCGTATAGTTTTCTGTCAAATAAATTTAGGTTTTAACTAAAATGACTTAAAGCAATATTAGTTTAAAAATAATTTCATGTTAGATTCAATGAGACATAATATTTCAGTTTAATTCAATTAAAAAAACCAATTTATATCCCAATAAATAAAAAGTAATATCAATATTTTTAAAAAGGCTAATAATAAATACTTAATTATTGTAAATTATTTTACATTTTATTTATAATAATTGATAACATACTGTTTTTTTGTTTCTAATAAATCTTTAAAAGTATTGTTCTTTAAAACAATTAAACTGTTCATATTTATCTATTTAATATGTTAGTTATTCAATATTTCAGAATTATGATAATGATAATTATATTTTAAAACGTTAAAAATTGAATGTAAAACTATAAATCGTCTTAATTTATTTATATAAAAAGTTAAGAATATTTACACAATTCTTGACATGTTAACACATGATTTACACGTTTTCAATTATATTAAAAAAATAATAATTAAGTAAATTATTTTTAACTTTGTGAGTTGTATGAACATAATAATTAAAATAAAATAAAGCTGAAAAATATTTTAAAAGGTTGAAAAAATATGTACTAAAATTTAGATTATTCATATCGGGATACTTTCAATGGCACATTTGATTCGATACAATTAAGTTAAACAAATTTAACTTAAATTTCCTTGAAAGTAGAATTGTAATGTAATTTAAAACCGTTTATTCTTAATTAAACACGACTTTAATATTATTAATATTTTATTTTTTAATAAGGCAATATACAAATTAATAAGTGACAGTTAACTTGAACTTTTTGGCTTAACAGAGATATTTATATTTAATGTAAACTTAATTTTAATGTAATGTCGCTTTTATTCAATATTAATGAGAAATCGCCAACTTAACTTTTTAATTTTTAGATTAACTTTATCAATTAACTTGTTAGATTTTTAAAATGTAGTTTAATTTTAGGATTTATAAAAAATCCTTATTTTGCCCTATCTTAATTTTTATTCGAAATACCATAAGGTGACTTAAAACTGGATATTTAACTACAAGTCAAGAACAAAATAATGTTAGAATGTAAGGTTATGCAAAATATGTATAGTTGATTACATCAAAAGCAATATACTTATAACAGATTGAAAGACCTTTTTTTCCTCTCTAGTAAATTTATTTTAAAAGTTATACTCTTGTATTTTATATTTTGTAGACGTGTCTAAAAATGATATTCGTGAAACTTTCATTATTTTCTTTTTTTTATTAGAAATATATAGTTAACAGTTTATTATAATTTAAATTGCTTCTCTTAGTCTACTTAGGCTGATGAATATTATCGTGGAATCGTCTTTTATGGTATCTTATAATTTTTTACACATCGTACGTTAAGTATTACATTTATAGTGTTTTTTTCACGTTTTTATGTTTAACTATAGTTTAAGTTTCCTTTTTATCATCTTCGCCAAAAGTCTCTTTTTGTTATTTTTCTCGAGTTATGACTTAAACGGCAACTGAGTGGAATTATAAAATCGGGCACCGGACCATTATTTTTTTTAGTAGTGAGATTCAGGCAAAATGCTCAATAAAATACTAGTGTTTTTTGCTCCCCAAAATAGGCAATCGGTTGTCTTTCGAGGCGTATGCAGTTATTACCGTCGGTCCGACAGACACCCAATCGATTGTATGCACCCCTCATCCATGTTGGCACCACTGCGCTACGCCGCTTCATCGGTACCTGCTACGATCGTGTACGTATTCCCGTATTCCCAACCGAAAGGGGCTTTGGAAGTGGTCTCGTCGCGTCATGATGCAGTCCGTCTCTCACACACGCATGTTTCCCCTTCCACATAGTAGCCGCGCGCACAGCCGTCACCACCGCAACCGCCGTACGATTGACGCTGTACCACACCGACACGCGTTTCGGCCGACGGCAGCGCCATCGTTACTGTTGTAGACGTGCCGGTTCCCAAACGTGTAGTGTAGTAGTGTAATTGTTTCAGTGTATTCGTTAGGCCGTGTGCCGCATGAGTTTTTCTTTACTCGATGGTGTGTCGTCGTTGCGTTTGTGCTGTTTCGCGCCTTTTCGCGTGCCGCTTTTATCGCTGCGTTCAACTTATCAGAGTTTAAGCTTTTGACAAAATACATCAATACATCTATTACGGATTACATTCAGATTTTGCTTATCGGATCGAGGTTAGTAGTTATTTTGAAAATTTATAGGGCTGTAATGCCTAGGCGATTGTCTAGAAATCTTGAATAGTATTTACATATCCCGTCAAAAAATACCTGACTGGTTTGTTCCATTCGCAAAAGGCAATATTGAACCTGTTCGAATCCGTTGTATGGACAGTTCAAAGATTTATGTGAAACGACATTTGATGAGATGTCTATGTAGTATGATTTCAGTTATGTTTTCAAGATTTTTCGTCTAGGTATTACAATCATCACAGAATTGTGGCCCTTCAAAATTTCTTGTTAAGAAATTAACAAATTCAAAGTACCATAAGATTCGTTATACAACAAATATATAAACATAAATTGACCACGTCGTTCTTATCAAATGTGATCGATTTTCGCCATTCACTCATATCTGTCTATTATGTAATTTTTAAAAATATTTATGCACTGCATATTTTACACGTTTAGCGTTTTTTAATCAAATATTTCTATCGTAAAAATCACTAATAGAAGCGGTTATCATTTATTGTTTATTTTTACCATATCACTATTATCACCCTTAATGGCATTCATTAGAAACGGTCTCGGAGATGTGTTTGGAGAGGGCGACTACACGGAAGAACTGAAGGTAGTATTTAGATCTGTCTACACGTGACCATAGCTTGTCATAGACCGTTGTAAACTGGTTTTTGGCCATCACTCGACGTGTAGATCGCATCAATGATAATAATATTGTTTTACCTTAGGTTATTGCATGTTACGACTGTTCTAAAAGATAATCAGTTTTTACTCATTATCATATAAATATAACGGCGACAAAAAAAAAAAAATAACAATACCATTACGAAATTCAATTTTTTTACGGCCTTCGTATGTGTTGGATGGTTTGACTTAAACTGCCTTTAAAATCACATAAGCAGTTTACTTATTATTTTAAATGTGTTATTGTTTTTCGCTTCGGCTGCAACCCATAATAAAAATTATACTGTTAAAATATTGTTTTAAAACAATAAATTTGGAGATTTCTCTTTTACCGCGAGTAAAGACATTTTGCCCAAACACTTTCTCAAGACTTATTTCTGCCGTAGTCGGATCAGTGCGTTGTGTTTATTAGTCTAACGAGTTATGAAATATTATGTAATGTTTTAATTATAATTACTGATCAACTTTTTCGTCATAGTTTTCCTTTTTGTGTCTATTTTAACTCGGAGTTGAATAGAGTTATAATGTACTGTATATACAGCAGATTTACCCGACTGTTTGTTGTAATAGCGGCAACAACGACGTAAAACATCACTGAATTCTTCAATGAACATAAATAATTGCATTAAGGACTATAGCTGGTTGTAAAATAATAAACAAATAAACGTAAAGCGTTAATGGTAAGATCGTTTAGTTCATGTTCAACACTATTTACTTACATTGAACAACTATCAAGGAAGTAAGGTATTAATTTTTCCTTCGTGGTGAAAACATTTTAGTTTATTATTTATGGTCCACTATAACTCTATTAGATTAAACACTAAGTACGTTAATGTATAACCGGCAACATTATACGGTTTTCGTTTCATGTCGTCTTCTATTTTTTGAACTTTTATTTTCACACTTGGCACCGAGTAAATAGTGTATTTATCTCACAGTTTCGGCAAAGTCTTGTTATTTATTTTTGCAATAAATGCTAAAATTGTAAAAAGATATATTCGATAGTACATTAGCGTTGTTAAAATATAATCAAAATTTATTCATAAAATCCAAGTTTTTAATTACATAAAGGTTAGTGGATTCAATCTCGTATATTATAAACAGCAAGTTAAAATAAA